CGCACAGCATGGACTATCTTACTTACCATATACAGTACATTCTTTTGCGATCTGTACATACTGGTATTGTGTCATCCCTACATATGTTTCTGGTACGTTCTACATTGCTTCAGACTATTCTAGACACAGTCTAGGCAGCTAGGATTACTCATCCAAGGACTCTTTGACTCATTGTCGATTATGTTTTCTTACTCATCGCTCAGTCAGACTATCATATGACTTCGCTCTCTATGATTACTCATTGCTCTCCTACCTAGTATATAAGGAGAGCTCTGTACGCCTCTGCTCTTCAGTCGTTCTCTCACAGACTGAAGAGTAAGTCTCATTACATCTATGCCTACATACATGTTTACTTACTTGTACTTGTAGCCTCTCTTTGTGCGGCTTACAGGTACAGTTGCTATGCAATTGAGTCGTTCTCTCACAGACTGAAGACCTCTCTTTGTGCGGCTTACAGCCTTCCAGGTTCAGAGTTCATCAGAACATACACGTTCTCATACACAGCAATAATCTCTGAGATGTTGGACGCGTCAGACGAGGACATGTCTAGGCCGCGGCGGTGGGTGAGCAGGGCAAGTCGCAGTCGAAGGACGGAGTAGGTGCGAGAAATGAGAGCTGAGTGGTGTGGCTGCTTCAGATACTCAAGCCCAGGAGCAACTGTTTATGTATGGTATGCACATCAGTCTCTGCATGATTCCAATCGCGTGGAAGTGTTTGCGCCGCAAGATTGTTGCTAGTCATCGGTTTGATCAGGTGGGTGAGGTGCGTGCTCCGGATCCATTTCCAGCATTGCACATAGGGGATATGGCAAGACGGTCCCTATCTGCAAATACATAGCCCGAAGATTTATCTGTCTATGTGACAACACCCGTGTTAGGAAGATGCTCACCGAGGAGATTACCTCATGGCCTCTACCGCTGACCTCGCCCCGCAATCTCCACAAGATGGCGACCATGCGTGCTAGATGTCGGGCTCAGCAGTTCCTATGGCTCCTATATTCACCTGTGTTCATTTCTGTGGAGGTTCGCAGACGCAACGGATGGACATTTGATTCATATGGTGCTCGTCGTACTACGCCGACTGCCCATAGATCTGTGCAAGGCTGTAGTCCGTTCGTCACGCGGCCCAATCTGAGCAAGATGTATAAGAGTGGTTAGAAGCAGAGATGAATGTTGTAAACAAGGAATGCCACAGGATGGAGCGCAACTGTCATATGGTGGTCATTGAATGCTTCTCGCATCGTGAAGATTGAGGAAAGCGCCGCGCGCTCAGAACTAAGAAGTCAGATGTTCAACGAGGACGTATGACGCATAAGGCAAGCTCATTGCGTTCTCTGTGGAGATCAGGTCTCATTTGGCGCTTCCTGGACGACGTCTGATGACTCCAACAGTATACAACACCGGACTATGAGTATTTCTATATCCCTGAACCAACGTACCATGCGGAAGATATAGGCCATACGGTGCACCACAAGAGAGCGCAGTGGAGTGTCCAATCAATGGTCCCCAGAGTGCTTGCCTCGCGCGCCTCTTGGAACTACACCAGATCCTGTATGGGCTCCGTGCACTTCTCCGGTACGAGCGCAACCAGTACCAACGTGGACATCGTCACCGTCTCCGGGACCACCGACTCATCGCACACACGCCAAACTGCACCGCAACACCATACCGCGCATTGGCGTATAACGGCAACGGTTTCCTAGATCTCGCCAAACGAACACGTCAAGATCGATACCTCCAACATCGCCGACGGGTGCGTTAAACTTCTAGAGTGTTTATCATGTGGTTCCTGGTCTTTCGCCTACGCGCCGCGCCGCGAGGAGCACCTTCATCTGCGGTGTGGGTGGTAGTTGGCGGGATCGTTCAACAAACAGATCTCAATGTCCAAAGACCGTTCATAGATGCTGTCCACCATGATCGGTCCCGTGCACCCCGAGAAAGCGTAGAGACGTCTTTGGCAAGATGGCCACGTCTGATATGGCATCAGAAAGGGCGTGAAGTCAACGAGGACGGATGCGTCGGATGCGACCTGAATGACGCGGTCAGCGTGATGGTCGTCGACTCAGACGCGCCAGAATCAGGATTACGAAACTCAGGAGCGGATTTTGCACCGGTCCTTGAGTGCACAGAAGATGGCGCTGTCGAGCCGGTGCAGAGAGTCGGATGTCGGCGCTGGGAATGAGAGCAGCGCCAGGCAGTATATATTTCCTGAGCGGTGCTGAGTGTGTGGCGTGATGCGCCGCTTTCTCGACGTCCACAATCTGGAACACAACAGCAGGGAATGGAGAAGAATTTTTCTGCGTTATAATACAACACGGGGCGGGTGTGCAGCTGCTCGCGTTATGAAACGCGAGGTTGGCGAAGATGGGCAGATGCACGCTCTTGTAAGCCCAAGACGTGTGCGCGTGTGGGATGTCCAGCCTAGACAAGATCATCCGATAATACACAGGGCGCATAGACATACGAGACTAGTTTTAACAACTCAAGATGCGACATACCTGATGGGGGTCGCTCGGCCGTGTCCTAGGTCGTCGCGGAGATACTGTATACGGTTATAAGAAGCGCATCTTGCTGTCAGTGTGGGTACGTTTAGGCATATAGGAGAGCTGTGGAGTGACTTACCTGCCTATAACTCATAAAGAGGAAGGCTTGTACATGGTCATACAGTTTTCGCAGATGAGTTGTCATCCTAAGCCTTCGGGACTTCAGGTGAAAGGCGGAAGTGGGATTGTTGTCCACTGAGCCGACACGACGCAGTGGAATGGGAGATGAGCTGGAAAGCTTTCATACCCCTGTAGTTTTTCATGACGTACATTTCGAAGGTAGGATAGGCCTTTGGAGTGATAGGGTTGCATGGAGGAGACAATCATGGAGGAGCCATCATCGCGGTGTCCCGGAGTCCACGCTGGGGGACTGTCGAGAGTCGGAAAAGCGTCCCTGCACTGAGGAATCAGTTTTTGTAGACTAATAAAGCCATAGAATAGCAGCTATGGAGATCTGCGTTGGTATAAGCGTAGTGACATCGCAGTACGAGGACAGGCAGACGAACGCGCGCGATCTCGATACTGAATGGCTCGGCAAACGCCGTGTACAGGCGCTCGCGGACTGCGATCCTCCTTCTCATCGCCTCCACTACTAGTACTAGTACTCCTCACGCGCGACAAACAACACAGGCAAAAGCCTCGATGCCGATACGCTCAATATCACTGCTCTCGCCCTCTCACACATGGCAAAGGTCGTATCTAGGCCGTCGTGGGCGCGCGTCAAGGCGACATACGATCTCGGACACATCTTACCTGGACCTGGCTGCGTATGCTATAATAGCTGCCTACAAGCCAGGTATTTAGTGTCTTAGTGATCTATTAGCGATACTGACTAGGTGCTCACGGTATTTAGATGTGCTCTATCGACTATCCGCGTGTTCGTCGACTCTACCACGTCGGGCCTCTAGCTACTACGACCCCAAGCTGTCCGACATGCCCGACGATTTGTACCATACCCGCAACTGCATGGAGATACCGAGGCGAGCCGTCTCACCAAATGCTTCTCACCCTTCGCTCTCACTCTTTTGCTCATCTTGAACAGACAGAACATCTTGACACTTCCGGTCGACGCACAATCTGCTGTCTTCCTGTGCGTTAAACGGGGGGCCCTGAGATTCCTGTGCTTTTGGTTCCCGCTTGCTCATATTTTTCCGCTTACAGCTCCTCTGTTCTCTAAATGAGACTGGTACGGCACCAATGGTGGCGTTGCTACGGTGCCATGCAGAAGTTGAAGTCGCTTTCGCATGCCAGCATGCCATCAGTGCCCTTCACTCCCATGCTCAGAGCTCCACCGAACTTATGGAGGGACAGTAACATCGCCATGCGTAGTCGTCAGCCCATAGAGAAGGTACGTACTGTCCGCACATCGCAAAACTCTATGTCCTGAGACCGCCACATAAAAAAACGCCGTAGCGACGACCGGTATGTGTCCTCTCAGAGCGCACACACTCAAGCCTCGCAGTCGTTCTAGTCTGCCGTGTACGACATCATATCCTCAACCTCTACAAGGAGGGTGCTCTCGTTTACGATACTACCTCAGCGCGGCCTGTCAGGTTGTTGCCAACCCTACCTCGCGCTGAGCTGGTCCTAACACCATTCCGCAGTCTAAGCATAGCTCGTCGAGGACGTGTAAAACGTATGTATCTCCACCTCCGTTTCTGCCGCACAATCTTTCTCGCTTACGTCCGGTATAGAGACCTACATATGTATTCCGGGATGGTGCGCGTGCCATTTCCCCGCCTGGATTTGGCGCTACGGAGTATGAAGCCATGCAATAGCTTAACTTGGATGCTGTATTTGCGACATACAAACGGTTCATTGTGTACTCGTACTTTGTATTTGCGGATAAGTGCTCCTCACGCCCACGCTTTATGGACGCATATAACGATCCGCCGTGCCGCAGCGGGAACAGCATTCTCCAGACTTTCCGTGTGCATCGTACTGCGACGGAAGAGGCGCGCACGAGACGTCATTTGCGAGCGCCGTCGCATGATGCGCCTTCCATATCTGTCAAGAGGTACTGCTCCCGCCACGCGAAGGGATTACTGCGGGGATAACGCTCCGCCCTCGTACTAAGGCACCCGTATCCAACATGCTTTTGCAGAAATGTACGAGTCAGATCTGCTATCAATATTGCTTGTAAACCGCCAGGGCAGTGAGTCTTTACAAATGCCACAGCAGATAGAGTTTGGCAGGTCGCGTCGCGGACACGCGAGGTCGTTCGATCACCTGACCGCGTTTGCCAAATTCAAGCGCCGATGCCGCGTGTCGCAGGTCCTCCGTCGAACGAGTTATCCTTAGACCGCCGGTGTTGCGGCATTCTTTCACTCGTATGTCTTTAGGACGTTCTGCCTACAGCTGGTCTTCTCGTAGCTTCTGACTCCTACTCAGCGTCGTTTGCACGCCGGCGAGATAAGATGACGCCCCGGAAACGATGAGTCTGGCATGGAAGCGTACGGCTACTTCTCCCGCTGGCGTAGGTTCTCAGGCCTCAGGCCTCAGGAATCGAATCTCAAAGCCCAACTGCAGGTGTTCTCGCTATTGATCCCCAACTCCGCCGCTCTTTCTTCCCCGCCCCACATCTGCCGCCTTTCTCCACTATCCCCATACCTATACTCCCAAAAGACAACCCCGCCCTGGCTCCGGAACGCAGCAACCAGGGAGAAACGAGTCTGGCTGCACACAGAGCGTGTCCCCAAATCAGTGGCGCAGGATCCTCCTCACCGCCGGCGAGGTCAGACCCGCCGCCTTATCATCGAGCCCATCGTGGCGGACGACGTGTATGCGACACAGTACGATCAACCCACTGCGCTTGTCATCCAGAACGTACGTTCTGTAGGGGCTCGACACCGTGAAGACCTATGATACCGAGGACGACGTTGCACTCGTCCAGGCGGTGTATATGGTCGAAAACCGTCTGCTGATGCCGCCCATAAGCAAAGTACGTCTTCTCCCTTCTTGTCTAGGATAACGTTTGTAGTATGAAGCTACCATGGCTCGCGCAGCTCGACGTGGCAAATACACCCAAGCCCCTCCAAAACCTCGTCTTCGCGGGTACCGACTCCGTCTAGTGCGACGCCTAGCCTCGTCCGCGCAGTCATATTGATCCTGGAGCCGCTTTCCAAGCAATCAAGGGGCAAAACCTCATCCGGTGATAAGGGCCATTCCCCGTGCGTGATTCACGTCTCCTTCTACGTGGAGGGCCTGCTGTCGTACGCGAAGAAAGCTCATGCTGAAAGCAGGCTATCGCTGCCGATCGGGGAGGATCACGACACGCATCAGGTGTGCTCGGGAACGCCGGGAAGATCGTGGCGTATGTCGTCACATCGGTGAGCCTGTATGGGATCGTGGACGTTTTGTGAGGCCAGGGTATGCTCTCTATTAGTGAGTATCATATGTAGAGCTGTATATGCTCGTGCGGCAGAAACTGTCGTGGGTGTATGCCGCAACTTACAGCTGGAGCCTGAAATCTCCGAAGCGGTCTCTCAGGCTCTCGGCACGCAAACGGTGTTCGAGATTATCGAACTGTACGTCCCACCATTTCGTCCGTTGACTTGCTCTATGCACTCATGTACGACCTGTATCTCTGCAGAGAGCCGGAAAACACCATCAACTCCGAACACGGTGGGAACGTCAAAAGGTCCGTCCACTCACCGCGCTTCTACGCTCGAGCCCAACGCGCGATCACTCACCACACGCTCCAGCACATCGCTAGCTGAGAGCGGGTACCTGCTCGAGTACTCTGCGCTTGTGCGCGCGTGCAAGAGGACGAACTACGCTGCGACGACTGCGATGCTCGCGTTATTCGGACACCGCAGGCCGCAAACTAGGAGCTGACCGGGTTCTCTAAGGCATAATCGGTACGCACTCGCATCTGTCCTCCATTCAATGTTATATATGTTAACCGCTGCATACACGTACTCGACTGCCCATCCATGTATCGAGACCTTTATATACACCGGATGGAACGAACCGCCCTCATAAAACGACGCGACCCCACTCTCTTCTTCCACGCCCGGTCAATCCATCCGTGGCGACGCGGACTGCCCCTCTGCACGCGAAGCGAACCTTCATGGCTACGTTTACAGATGCAAGCATTTCGGAAGTCATTGTTGTATATCACGCCTCGTAAGTACCCGCACTACTATGAACACTACGGCGCATGTCTGACATATATGAGCAGGAGCGCCGCTGGCAACATCCTTTTCGACATCCCGAGTACGCTTTATTCGTCCGTTCCACCTTATCCTAAGTCGTGGGGTGCTAATTTAGCATCTCAACAACGCTGCTCGTGCACTACGCACTTCGCTGCATCCTTTGCATGGACCAGGAGGTCCGATACGTCTGGCGGTCGCCCTGGGTTTCTCGTAATGCATCGCGGCCCCTGTACACGTGCAACTGGCTCATGCCCCTGGTGTGGAATATCTTGTACCTGTCGTTGCTCAGCGATATATCTGACACGGTGAGGCACACTCTCCGTTTATACAACAACGACCGGCGCTGAACCACTTTTCTCCCTCTAGAAGTGAACAATCGCGCTTGTCGACATGCGTCATACACGCCCCTGACAACACGCCTCTGAGCAGCTGTACAGCGGTACGATGGGTCCTACGGATCATCGAGGTGCTCACCTTTCTTGGGTCTGCCAGTAAGTGCAATTCCGAGTTCATGAATACGGTTCCAACGTCCGCTCACGACATACTTTCGTTCAAGCATTCCCCACTCACAGAGTCTACGCACTCTCCGAGGGTCACAATGCGCTATCTGACGCTGTACTATCACTGAGCCGGGGGCCGTTCCTCCTGAACGAGGTATGTTGCCTCGCCAGCTCCGCAGTCAACATGTCTGCTGACATGGCGTATCGCCTTAGAGCACGTTATACCAAGACATTCCACTCAATATGCCTCATCTAGAGGGCTTTTCGATCGAAATGGCGACGAGTACAACGATCTATGTCGCGTGAGAAGTCCCGGCTGCTATGTAGCATCATCATATCACGCTGACATTTGCTTCCGCTCGGTGTAAGTCGCAGTCGGACGTTCGGCCGAGAAACGGTCATTGGATTTTCTGGATTGTGGCTGTCACAGCGAGGGTCTGTTCCATCGTGGCAGACGTTCTGGCAGTCGCCACCACCTGGTGGCGCACACATTCTGCGTACAAGACGTCGACGGACGTTCTTCGCAGATCATTTTTGGAATATATCATGTGGGAAAACGGTGGGCCAATGCGTTTCCTCGATTGCGTCTCGCCCGTATACTGATCCTCTATCTTCGGTGCATCGCGGGAAGGTGTATTTTTGGTGAAGGTCTCCCTATTCCTACGCTGCGCTGTTCACGCCGCTGCACGCACAGCACACTCGTGTCGCTGAACGTCGCGGAGGTGACTATGGTTTTGCTCACGGTGAGTGGTTGCCGACCTACAGGCCCGTCAATCGTTAACCAGCAGCATACTTCGCAGGTATTACCGCAGCCGTACCAAGTATTAAACCTCGTCAAGCCCTTTGTTGATCTGTAAGGCGGTCCGACCCACCGTTCTCCATCGTCTTCGCCGAACGTCCAGCGAACAAAGTTCCTGCTCGCCCTATACGAAAACAACCACCCTTAGGAACGGACGGCGTGGCAGCATCGTCTTCCGCCCCGTCTTTCGGCCAAGACCTTTGTGCGGGTTCGCCAAAGCTTGCCGAACTTCTCAACTCTCTCGGGGGGCCGAGTCAGTCCATCCCCGCCTACGAGCTGGAGTGGTCTACGCGGGTACAACGTCGCACGTCGCGATCGAGGTTGAGGCGAGGGCGGAGCTTGAAGCAGAGGAATCGCGTCGAAAGGTCGGAGAGCACCAGATGTGATCACCGTTTCCCTGTCCAACGTCTCGTCGCCCGGGCCTGCCTTGATTTTACTTGTCGGGGTAGAATGTATGCTATGAAGTTGCATCCGCTGGCTCTTTACACTAAATCTATGTGGGCTCCGCAGCCCTTGACTACTACGGTATCGTGCCGCTGATTTAGAAGGCCGGGGAACGCGCATTCGCCAAACTTGCGTACTTTGCTTCCGTCCCAAGACTTTGAGCATCATCATTTTAAGATGTAGGAGGATCCAGTACGTACGGAAGATAGAGTTTGGCAGCAGGTCGCGTCGAAGACACGCGAGGCGGGCAAGTCACCTGACCGCGTTTCGCAATGTAAGCGCTAGTGACGCGTGTCGCGCGTCGGTGATCCTCTCTCTCCACCACACCGCCATGGCCGTAAGCCGCAACTCTCCTTCACTACGAAGCGTTTAGTTTGAAAGTCTGCTTCATCCAGGCCATAGGAACAACTCGGTGCTAATTAAACCTATTAGACCTAGCTGAAATGCACCAGCAATACGAGAACACTAGTACTCGGAAGGAACATGCACGGTGAACGTCGACTAAGGGCGGAGCAAAAAGGCGCGCCCGGAAATCTCGATATTCTGCCGTACATATGGCGGGTGAAAAATGAGTAACTTCTCTTTCTCTCCAACTTGCGGATCAGCCAAGATTCCGTTCCGTCATGGATCCATGTCGAGTCGTCCGATAAAGCTCCTCGTCCTCCGTTCGCCTACCAGCCCACCCTCTTTCCATCCTTCTATCTACCTCCCCATTCGATTTTCGCCTCGCAAAACAAACCCTGCCATGGCTCTCCAGCGCACCAACAACGGCGAGTCCAAGTCCAGCGGCACACAGAAACCGCAGACACAGCCCAAGTGCGCGCGCAGGATCCTCATCACCGCAGCCGAGGGTCAGACCGGCCGCCTCATCATCGAGCTCTTCACGACGGACGACACGTACGCAAGCAAGTACGACAAGCTCACCGCGCTCGTCTTTTCCGAGCAGGCCAAGGCCGTCCTCGAGGAGTTCGACGCGGTAAAGACAATCGTGTACGACGCGAAGAACGAGGATGCGCTCGTGCAGGCGATGTCGCTCGTCAACACCTGCCTGCTCATCCCGCCCGCGCGCAAGGTGCATCCTCTCCCCCGTTTCACGCTACGATGCTGACGCGAGTCTGGGTATGTACAGGACAAGGCCAAGATCACGCGCACGCTCCTCTCAGCTGCCAAGGCCGCCAAACCCGTCCAAAACATGATCCTCCTCTCCAGCGCCGGCGCCGACTAGGCCTCACGCGCCACCCAGCCACGCCTGCGCGAGTTCATCGACCTCGAAGTGCTCGCCATGCGGCCCAAGGGCGACACCTTCGCAGGCGACACCGGCCACTCGCCCGGTGTGATAAGCGCCGGGTTCTACGGGTAGAACCTGCTTCTGTACGCGAAGCAGGCGCAGGGCGCGGGGAAGCTGAGGCTGCCGATCGGGGAGGACCACAAGTTCGCGCCGGTTGCGCTCGGGGACGTTGCGCAGATCGCGGCGTACGTGGTGACGTCGGAGGGGCCGCAAGGGCTTGCGGATAACGTGCGTGGGCAGGTTATCGTCGTTACAGGTGCGTATTCGTGGTTGATCGTGTGCTCGTGCGGCGCGGATTGACTTTGGGAGTCCACAGCTTACCGCCGGGCCCGAGCTCGCCGAATCGGCGTCTCAGGCGCTCTGCACGAAGACAGAATTCGAAAGCATCGACGAGTATGTCCTGCACATGAGTCATCCAGGGGTGTGCCACTCACGTCCTCCGCGTCTCGCTTCAGGGACACCGCGAAGAAAATCCTCATCTCCGAACAAGGCGAGGAAGTCGACGAAGGTACGTTCACACACCGCCCTTCTGCTGCCGAGCGCAACGCGCGATCGCTGACCCCGCCCTCTCGCGAACCTTCAGCCGAGCGCGAGTACCTACCTGCTCGAGTACTACGCGCTCGTGCGCGCGGGCAAGACAAACTACGTCGCGACGACCGCTATGCTCGCGTTCTTCGGGCATCGCGGGCAAGAGCCGATCGAGTTCTTCAAGACTTACTCTGTACGCCCCCGCTTTCTCTTCCTTCTCTTCTGCGAAAGGAACGCTGACGTCGTGTGCGGTTGGCGTGCAGGCGGAGTTCAAGCCCAAGACGCGGCGCACAATGAAGAACGGGGGCGCGGAGGACGCGACGAAGAACGTCCCGACGCGCGCGTCTGGACGCGGCAAGGGCGTGGCTGCGGCTGCGAAGAGCGCCGACGAGGAGAACGTCGATATGTAGGTTGGGGAAGAGGACACAGTGTCCGAAAAGGGCGGCGTGCGGCCAATGAAGACCGCGGTGTGCGCCTGGTACCCTAAGGGATGCGTGTTTAGTACCGTACTCCGGGAAACCGATCTCGAGGCGGAGTTAGGGCCATGCGCACCGTGCGTGCGTGTATATGTGTATCTGAGATCGTGCTCTGTGACCTTCGTAGTCTTGGGTATTGGCGATGCGTGTTGTTTCGTCGCGTACCACAGTCGGGAGTTCGGCCGAAAGATATGTTCACTTTCGTCCGCCTGTAGCTCGCGCGGAATGATCAGCAGAATGGGCTCTATGCTGCCTTTGGTGCGTCTACATCTCACGATTACCTATGTACCGTCTGACAGTATATGTAAGTGTGCACATACTGTTGCCCATGCCAGACGAGTGTCCGGGGGAGTTTGCACAGGTCAGCACCGTCGCAAAATCGTGAAAGTGCCGGGATTTCCCATTTCTAACGAGGAATCGTAAAGAAAACACACATTGTGAGATCAGAGCATTTGCGAAAACGCACTTACGCCGTGGAATCCGGTTCAGAGGGTGGTCAGAACGTTCGTGGTGCGAGTAAAAGAAATCAGCAGGTCCATAAATATTGCCTGGTACACAATTCGTGACGGTATCTAGGTGAAGACGAGTCTGGGGAAAGGGTCCGGAGTATGCTGAGATGCATTCGCCAGTCAAGAAGAGGAATTTACAATGAGAACCACATCATGCAAAGCAAACCGAGGTCGGAAATAAACAGTACCGCAATCACACCCGCTCGGAGCCTTCGCCTACTTCAATCGAGTCTGCCTGCACCTGTGCCTCGACCTCGGACCCGGACTCCGCACCCGCTTCCCCCTCGCGCTCTTGCTGCTCCGTCGTCGGCTTCGGGTCGAAGAGCTCCGGATCGTGGTCGGGGAAGGAATGGATGGGGCCGGCGAGAGAGTTGAGGAATTCCGGGAGCTCCGGAGACCCCGCTGCTCGCGGATCGGCTTCGCCGAAATCGAGCGTCGAGAACGACGAGGCAGAGGATCCGCCCCGCTCAAGGCGGGCGTTGGTCTCGTAGAGGGCCAACAGGAAGCGAGAGTTCAAGATTGAGCTGATGCTGTAGAAGACGGGGTTTGCACAATCATTTGTGGCGAGGACAATATACAAGGGACATTCTTACGGGTCGATCAGCAGAATCACATAGCCTGCTTGAATGAGATATGTTGTAATCTGCAAGATGAGCAAATGTTCAGTCAATAAAAGCTGACGTGCAATAGAGCTGAAACACACCGATATTTCCACAGCTTTGAGGACCACATTCGCTATGTTCATAGCAACCAATGTGCTGTCAATGCAGCGAGTTTGGGACCAAGTGCAGCATCAGAATGAGAGACAATGTACCAGAAGTAGATGTTTCCTGTGGATTGTATCTATCAGCCTGCAATCATGAGAACTCCAAACAACAATTTGGCCCACCGTTATCCCACAGGACTTGTTCCAGAGAAGACCGTCGCAAAACATGAGTCGATGCCTGGCGGGTAGCACGGGTGCGCCACCAAGTGACCACCAGAGCCACTGTGTCTGCCAGGATTATGCAGGTTCTCGATATGATCAACACTGTTCAGATGTGTGAATGGGTACATCTTTGCTCTGCATCTCAGGACTTACACCTGTCAAGTACCGGGGTTGACATGAGCAAGATTGACATAGAAGAAGTGAGAACTCACAACACATAAACCGTATTACTAACGTTAACATCATTGCTACAGTGAAACGGTGGTGGTAGGTTGACGGGTACAATCTGGTACAATGTACTCTATGATAGAATTCTCTATCAGCAAGATGTCTATGCATGCAATAATTAGACAGCATACTATATTGACGAGGAATGGACCCATGCTCAGCAGCAGCACAGCACCTGTCAGTATCTTGTTCGCTCCCGAGAGCGCATAGACTCTCAGAGTGGTGAAAGCTTGGGTAGTGCATGTGATGTGAGCAGAATTTCAACCTGCAGACCCATGTTCAGCGGATTCCCACTCACAGGCAGGCCCGAGCATGGTCAGAACATCCAAGACGATTCCGAGCCAATCAAGTGCAGTACAGCTGCTCGGTGGAACAGCGTGAGGAGCGCCCCAGATGTTTACATGCAAATGCAAGTGCTCACCCCTGGTGGGTATCCGTCCAATTCAGAGTGCATCGGTTAGACATCTTTCGCAAGTAGAACTCACAGTGTCCGAAATTGAGCCAATCAACCCAATGTCGAGGAGGTTCCATAGGATGGACATGTACCGGTTGTATATGTACAGGAGCCGCGAGAGCTTGTGCGAAGCCTTTGGTGCCCGCCAGACATATTGAACTTCCATGTCCATGCACACGATGGCATCATACAGAAGGAGAGCTGTTTGAGTAATCAATCAGTACCGCACGGAGATTCTAAGACATTGACACAGAAGAACCGAGCATACTCGCAATCACCACAGTTATGATGTGGTCCGTTCTCCTGCGCGAATGTATCTGTCATATACTCCAAACTACTTGAATCCTGAAAACCTACATGCTCTGATAGGCAGAAATGAGCTCTGCAGTGCTGGCAGAGTTGGACGAAGACATGTCTCGGCCACGGTGGTGCGTGCGCAGGGCGAGTGGCAGGTGAAGGACAGAGTAGGTGCGAGGAATGAGAGTCGAGTCGTGTGGCTGCTTCAGAGCTTCAAGCTCGGGGCAACTATTTATATCGAGTACGCACATCAATCACTTCATCCTTTCTACCGTGTTGAGTGTTCGCGGCGCAAGCTCGTTGATAGCTATCGGCTTCATCAGACGGGTGAGTAAGAGATTCGACACGATGCATGAGGAGAACGTGTGGTTTCTTCGTAGAGCTCGGGTCTCATTTGCTATCCGCCGTTCGGATACTTGAACAGTGTACAACACCGAAATACGTCTGCTACCGTGCCCGGAAGTCCCACACTGACTCGCATTGCCAACAATGAGCCATGCGGTACATCGCGAGACGGTACGATAGAGCACATAATCAATGTCCCCCAAAGCACTCGCACCGCGTCCCTCGCACAGCCTCGTCATCGACCATGTCGTATCTGCACACGTCCTTGCCACAACCACCGCGGGTGCCATCGTGTGCGTCATCTCAGTCTCCGGGACCACTGATGTGTTACACACCCGCAGAACCACACCTCGGTCTCCAAGATCTCGCTGAACGAGCACGTCGATGTTGATACGACCGTCGTCGCCGCCGAGCACGATGAACCTCTGAAGCGGGTGCCCTGAGGCCCAGAATCCCTTGCCTATGCGGAGCGGCGCGAGGCGCACACCCTTTTGCAACAGATGGTAGTCGGCCTTATCGTTAAACAAACAGGTATCGGCGTCTCGGAAGCCATGCGCGGGAGCCTTGCACTGCGAGCGGTGACTCCTGCTGCCAGAACACCAGGAGAATCAGGAACAGCACGAAGACACCTTTGGTGAGATGGCCGTGTCAGTGAGAATGTTCCTCTAATACGCGCGAGGTCAGCTCGCTTCACGAGGGCGGAAGGGTGAGACGTGCGCGACTATACGACCAAAGCGCGCGTTCCGTCGATCAGGCGCGTTTGAGGTCAGCATGTGGAGGGTTGGAGATCGGAGGCCTTGTCCGACGACCGAGACGCAAGTGAGCGCAGAAGAAGAGATTGATCTCGATCCAGTTGGAGGGTTCCAGCTGAGTGCCCGCGCAGAGATTGTTCGTTGCGAGCCGTACGCCACTGTGCCACTTAGGCAGATCCGACGTTAGGAAGCGCGTGACTTTAAGGGGGTGGACACATCGGGACCAACCGATATGACGCGGGCGGAGTGATGGTCGACGCGAACGCATCGGAACTGCGTACAATACTCGGTAATAAGTTGTAGTAGGCGTAGCGTCCAGCACAGCCATACTTCAGCGAAACCTTGAGCGTAGAGAAGATACCGCAGTCGAGCCGGTGCAGAGGGGGACCTCGGGAACGAGCGCAGCGCCAAGCAGTGTGTTGTGTCGCCCATGTTTGCGACGGGCGCAGCTTGGAGCGCGGCCGCAGGGAGTGGATTAGGCTACCTTGGTGTAAGGAATCCAAACTGCTCCCCGGCATGGAAACGCAAGCGCGGCGAAGACGGGCGCACGGGCGCTCATCATCCCGCCAAAGACGTGTGTGTGCGGGAAGTCCGGTCTAGCCAGAATCACCCTGATCTACAATCGGGTCGCATCAACATACCGGCCTGGTGTAGCAAGTATGTAAACGCGTCGTACCCGAGGGGGACGTCGATCGCCCATCGGAGCGCAAAACGCGCAAGCAAAGACGTCCACGACGAGGCCGAGTGCGCGACGTCTGTGGTCGAGGTGGCGAGGTACTGCGCGATTGTTGTTGGTACAGAAGAAGCAGGCCATGGCGTACCAATGTTGACTGCTTTCCGTGACGGCTTGCGGACTGCGATGTAGATCTGCCTGGCAGGCAGCGGGGGAGGGCGCGGCATGGGTCGTCGCGGACATACTGCACACGGACATCCGAAGCGCATCATGCTATCAATGTGTGTAGGTCTCTTCATACAAGAGAGTTACTTAGCGGCTTACCTTCCGATGATGTTTACTGAGGTCCGCTGGTATGCGGTCATTCGGTTATCGCCGATGAGGTGTTGTCCTAGGCCTTCAGGAGTCCACGCGTGAAAACAGGAGCGAGACAGGACACAGTGGGGGCAAAGGATCAGGTGGAGGAGCACATACATATAATTTTGATCAATAACGGTGAATGTAGCGCAGGTAGGATAGCGCTTTTGAGTGATAGAGTCGCATGGAGGAGGCGAACATGAAGTTGCCCGGAGTCCACGCCGATCGCCTGCTGAGCGTGGACAAAGCGATCAGTGCGAGGAGCAAGTTTTAATTGACTGAGAGAGTAGTTAGATATCCCCCAGGAATCTGTGTTTGTACAAGCGTAGTGACGTCGTGGTTTGGGGAGGAGAAGGAGGATCGCTAGGCGAGAGACGTAGGCGATTGCGTGGCGCCATACTGAACGCCTCGGCAGATGCCGGGGTACAGGCGCTCACGGGCTTTGATCCTGACCTGATCCTCCTCCTCACTCATTTCCTCCACCAGTCCTCCTGGCGACCCGACAAATAGCAAATACTGTACCATTTAGATCAATTCGACATGTCACGGGTCACAGAGGCCCCTGTCGGTCGAAATTTCCGGTCGTGTCACAGGTCACCAAGTCTGCCGTCGGGGGGGTCAAACGGGCGCCAATTTTCCGGCGCGCTGACGGGCGCCCAAATCGGTCGAAAGTGGCGGTCGGTCACACCGTCCGCCCGGCGCCGTCGAACCTGTGAATTAGTCGAACCATGTCACCGGTCACAGGCCCCGTTGAATTGATCGAAATGGTACAGTACACGAACATAAATACGGGATAACCCCATTTTCTCTCTTTGAGAACGTGCAGTTGATACCCAAGGCCCTCGTGGACGCAATCATCAGGAATGACCTCAGGAACCAGGGGCCCTATATGGTAACAGGTGGTTGGATTGAGCGCTGGAGACTCCCCCCCAATATGCGGAGACGCCCTGTCTCCATCCGCGGCCATATGGAGCCTATGGAGGCGTTCCCACGGCTTCCCCGCGCGACTCACCAACGACGCCCTCCCCGCTCACAATTAAAATCATTGCGGCCGGCCTACGGAAGGCCAGATATATGAGCTCGTACGTCGAAGCAAGCGCGAGATGAGGTTTGTCGCAGGGATGGAGAACGTGTCTCCATATGGAGGCCCCTGGAGCGCTGGAGTCGGGCGTCTCCGTCTGGAGGATTTGGCTTTTCCTGATGATGTTCAAGATCTCAGACTAGGACCTGGTGGTGTATGCTATCACGGCAGCATACGCGTGAGGTATGTGGTATTCTGCTGCTTCGTAAGTGGTACTGACGCAAGGAAAATTCCAACTCACTTTACTGCCCTGTATCCACCGTCGACGTCGTCGAAGAGTTTCGGCTTAGGCTTCTATCCACCACTAACACGAGCTCGAACTGTCCGATATCCTCGACGCGATGATCTGTACGATACCGGAAACTGCACACAGCTGCCGAGGCGAGACCCTTCATGACGCGCTTCTCACACTTCTATCCCACCAGCTTTCTCAGCTTGATCAGGCAGAATGACTGGATACTCCAGATCGGCGCAGGATGTGATATCTCCTCGTCTGTTTCTCCGGGGTCCCTGAGCTTCCTGTATGTATTTCATTATTTTCCAGATTCCGCTTGCTCGTATTCTTTACCTTGAATCCCGTCCGGTCTTTGGCATACACTGCTACCGCATCAGTGCTGATGTCGCTACGGTGCTATGCCGAACATGAAGTCGCTTTCGCCCACCGGCACTCTACTAATATACGGCCACGTCAAGAGCTCTCACGACTTCGCAGAAAGTGGCATCACCATGCGCGGTCGTCGACGAACTCGCAACCCAGGTACGTCCTGTCCGCACATCGCAATTTTTTTTCCTAATACTGCCGCATGAAAACGACGCCGTACTGACGACGTGTACGTTCTTGATCACGCTGCATTAAAACATCGAGCACAAAAACTCAAACCTCGAGGTTTTTGCAGGCCGCGATGTATCACATCATCTCCTCACACTCGACGAGCAGGTTGCTCCCGTATAGCGACGCTGCAGTAACGCTGCCTGCGAAGTCGTTTTCCGACCCCATCTTGCTCGGAGCTAGTCTTAATACCATGCCCCAGTCCAGACCTAGCTCAGCGAGGACGTGAACAAGGTACGTACCCGGGCTCTGTTTCTGTCGCACAATGTTTCTCGCTTACGTTTGGTACGGAGATTAATATATTCCAAGATGGTGGGCGCGCCGTTTCCCCGCCTTGAGTTGGCGTTATCGTGGAGGAAACCGCCCCTGTTCTCAAGGGATGCCGCATTCGTCGGATTTAACGAATTCCCCGTGTAAGCAAATCTTGTACGGGCGGATGTCCAGCACTCTTCGTGCTTTTGGACGCATATAACGACCCTATGTCACGCCACAGGAGCAACCTCCTCCATTTTTCTGTCTGCACCACACTACGACAGAAGAAACGTGCTCTGCGATGTTGCATGAATGAAATTCCAGATTTATCGAGTACTGCGCCCGTTCGGCAAAGGACCCGTATCAAAAATGCTTTTGCAAACATGTGCGGGTTAAATCCGCCATTTCTTGATGATCCCCGGCGCAGTCGAGTCTTTACGCCCGCCCCGGTAGATAGAGTTTGGCACGTCGCGTCGCGCACACGCGAGGTCGTTTGATCACCTGACCGCGTTTGCGATTCAAGCGCCGGTGACGCGTGCCACACGCCTCGGGCGTTGCAGCTCTCTTCTGCCTGCAGTCTCTAGGCCTTTCTGTCTCTTAGGTAGTTGAGCACCCTCATCATCACTCTTGGTTTGCACATCGGCGGGATGAGATGATGTCGAGTCTGGCAGGGAAGCGTACGGCTGCTTCTCCCGTCGGCGTAGGTTCTCAGGGATAAAATTTCGAAGCCCACATGCCAGGTATCTCGTTATTCACCCGCACCTTGTCCCATAAACCTCGCCGCTCTCTCTTCGCTGCCCCCATATGCACCCCCCTTCTCCTCTACCCCCGCACCTGCACTCCCAAGATAAAAACCTTGACAGAGCTCGCACCCGAGGTCTTCGTGCAGAATCCTCGCCGGCGCGGTCAGATCGGCCGCCTATTCTCGCGCTCCTCGCGACGCACGATGTATAGGCGACCAATTTAAAGTACGACGAGCGCACTATGCTTGTTATCATAGAACGGATCTAGTACGTGCTAGATGAACTCTATACCATGAAGGCCCTCGTGTATGATTCCAACGACGAGGATACGTCCGTCCAGGCGATGTATACGGCCGACAGCTGTCTGCTGATCCCGTCCACGAGCAAGGTACGTCTTCTCCCTACTCTTTCGGGAATAAAACTCGCTCGAGCATGGCTGTAGTATATAGCTGGAGTTACGCCCACGCTTCTTGGGATCGCGAAGAAATCCAAAGCATTCAAACCCCTGGCCGGGCGCGACGCCTACCTACGCCCGCCCGCGTCCATCGGCGTCTACGCGCTCAACATGCAGTCCAAGGGCGACATCTGGTCACGAGAAACGAGTCGCTCCACGTTCCTAATCTGTGCGAAGCTCTGCACGGATGGCCTGCGGCTCTACGCTGAGCAGGCGCCGGACGAGGGCAGGTTCTCTCTGCCAATCGTGGTCGTGTGCGTTGTGCTCGGGGACGTTACCCAGATCGCCGTGTATGTCGCTACATCGGGGGGATCATACAGACTCGGAGAAGGTGTGCAGAATCAGGATATCATCGCTATCGGTGAGTATATATGCACGGCTCTATGGCAAAATCTGATACTGGTGCAACCCCTTAGCTCACCGCGAGAGCAGATCTTGTCCATATGCGGCCTCAGGCACTCGGCGCGAGGATGGGGTTTGAGAGTATCAACGCGCAGTTTGCCAGGTATGGCAATACGCGATCCTGTTCGTACGCCTACGCCCGGAAGGAAGGTTTTCAAACCATCGCTAGCACCGCAATCGCTCTATGTAGCCGCCCCAAACAGGTTCGCATCGCGAGCTTACCTCCAGGTACTCGATTGACGAGTATTTATACCTTCTAGCTGAAACGAACCGCCCTCAACAAACGACACGCCCCAGCCCGATTCTCCCACATCCGCTCCGTCCCTCCACCGCGACTAGCCCTCTCCACGCGGTCCGAGACTTCATAGCCATCTCTACTGTCACAAGCGTTTCGGAAGTCGCTGGTGTATATCAGGCATCGCAAGTCCCCACACTACTACGAATGCTACGACGCATGTCTGACATATCTGAGCAGGAGAGCGACTGACAACATCCTCTGCGTAAGCCCAAGTACGCTTTCTGTGTCTGTTTCACCTTATCCTAAGTCATGAGGTGCTAATATGACATCTGAACAGTGCTGCTCGTGCTATACGCCCTCCTTTGCATAGACCAGGTGGTCAGATACGTCTGGCGGTCGCCCGGGATCTCTCGTAAAGCTTCGCCGATGCTGTACGTGTACATAAGACACATGCCACTGCTATGGGATATCTTTTACCTGTCGTTGCTCAGCAATATCTCGGACACGGTGAGGCAAACTATCTGTTCATACACCGACGACGTGCGCTGAACCAATTTTGCCCCCTCTTATGATGAACACGGCCCGTCGCCACCACCTGGTGGCGCACACATTCCGCGTACACGACTTCGACGGACGTTCTTCACAGATCGTCTCTGGAACAGGTCATGTGTGAAAACGGTGGGCTCGTCTGTTTCCTAACGCGTGTCTCGCACGTATACGGATTGTCTAACTTCCGTGCATCGCTCTGAGAACGTGTATTTCTGGTGAGCGTCTCCCGATGCCTACGCTGAACTTCTAGTTACATACCGTGGATATATGTCGCAGTCCTCGTCATGCTTCCGTACTGTGCAGTATCTAGCGCAGACTGCATGCATCAGGAACAACGTTGTCGCAGGCCCGCACAAGCGTCACTCACGGCAAACACCGCAGGATATCATGGCCCCAGAATGACTTTAAGATCGTGAAGCAAATTATAACTGTCACTAATCCTTTGTCCCCGTACAAAGAGATTTTTGACAGTTATCATTTGCTTCAAGTTCCTGGGCCTATCTGAAGTCCTGATATCCTGGGATGTTTGCCGTGACTCGCGTCATCTGCTTCTGCTCGGGGAGCTCGGGCGAGATGCTTTCTCGTGGATCCGGGCCGGTTAAACTGCGATCACGGCACGTGTGTGACCTCTCCTTGTATGCTAGCATATGGCTGGGACTTCTCGGGGCTCTGAGCGATCGAGAGCGCGGACAAAGTCGGTTTCGGTCTGGGCGGAAGAACATACATCCTGAGCCTGCCATTGGAAGTCATTCCACTTGCTGCATGGCTGAGTTCAGATGACTAGGAGCATGCCGGGCTCCATTCTCTCAGCGTCACAACGACCGCCGCCGGAGATAGAGTTCAGCTCGCGTCGAGGACACGCGTGGTGGGAGATCACCTGACCGCGTTTGGCCTTGTAAGCGTCAGTACCGACGCGCGTCGGCGGCGTCGCGCCTCGGTGATTGTTGGACCTCTCCACCACACCACCCACCCAAGGCGCAAAGTACTTTCTTTCGCTACATGTTCTCATGGGCTGCGTGCTCAATCTAGGGCTGACTTACCCTCCGCATCATGTCAATACCCCGAGGAGCCTAGCTAGCAAAAGCAGCGCTTTAGGCCATCGTGTCTTTCCTGCGCGACCAACCTAACTTGTCTGGGAGGCATCTAGTCAGCCAGCGGCCAAGAATAACGACACCTCAGGTAGCGACGAGCTCGGAAGGGTGTCTGAAAGATCCTCTTGCTGTCGCAGGTCCCCAATCGAAAACCAACGACCCTAGTTATTTCGTCATGGATCCACGACCTCTTGCATAAAGCCCGCCGCCCTCCGTTTGCCGCCCCCACGCGCCTCTCTTTCCCTCTGCTCCCACGCTTCCCCTATAAACCGACGTCTAGATAGCCCTCAAGCGGACCAGCAACGGCGAGCCCAAGTCGGCGGGCACGCGGCAGGTCCTCGTCCTCGCGCAAGATCCTCATCACCGCCGGCGAGGGCCAGACCGGTCGCCTCATCGTGGAGCTCCTCACTGCGGACGACGCGGACGCAAGTAAGTACGAGGAGATCACTGCGCTTGTATTCTCCGAAAAAACCAGGTCCGTCCTGAAGGAGTGCGACGCCGTGACGACGGTCGTGTACGACACAAAGGACGAGGAGGCGCACGTCCAGGCGATGTCTCTCGTCGATACCTGTCTGTTCATCCCGCCTGCGCGCAAGGTGCGTCCTCTCCTCATGTCCAAGCTACGGCGCTGAATCGAGTCTGGGTACCTACAGGACAAGGCGAATATCACGCACACGCTCATCGAAGCCGCGAAGAAGGCCAAACCGTCCAAAACCTCATCCTCCTCTCTCTCCAGTGCGAGCGCCGACTACGCCGAGTACTTCACCCAGCCGCGCCTGCGCGAGTTCATCGATCTCGAGACGTTCGCCAGGCACCCCAAGGGCGACACCTCTTCCGGGGACACCGGCCACTCCCCGTGTGTGATTCGCGCGGGGCTCTACGCGTAGAACCTACTGCTGTACTTGAAACAGGCGCAGGGCGAAGGGAAGCTCCCGCTGCCGATAGGGGAGGACCACAAGGTCGCGCCGGTCGCGCTCGGGGACGTTGCGCAGATCACAGCGTATGTGGTCATGTCGGAAGGACCGCAGGAGCTTGCGGATAACGTGCGCGGGCAGGTTATTGTCGCTACTGGTGGGTACTTACAATCGGTTGTGCGCTTTTGGGGCAGGAGTTAACGCATTTTTAGGTCCTCAACTTACCGCAGGGGCCGAGCTCGCCGAAGCGGCCTCTCAGGCGCTCGGCACGAAGATGGAATTCGAGAGCATCGACGAGTACGTCCAGCCCACCCCTTCGCTCTTCTGTCCACATCGCTGATATCTGACCGGTCTCACTGCAGAGCGACCGCGAAGAAAGTCCTCAGCTCCGAACAAGGAGAGGAAGTCGACGAAGGTGCGCCCACCCACCATTCTTCTGCTTCGGGCCCACCGCGCGATCGCTGACCACGCTAATTCGCGAACCTCCAGCCGAGCGCGAGTACCTGCTCGAGTACTACGTGCTTGTGCACGCGGGCAAGACAAACTACATCGCGACGACCGCGATGCTCGCGTTCCCCAGGCACCGCGGCCAGGAGCCCGCCGAGTTCTTCAAGACTTGCTCCGGACACACCCGCGTTCACCACCTCCCTTCCGCGCACTGAATGCTAACGTTGTGCTCAGCTGACGTTCAGGCAAAGTTCAAGCCAGAGAGGCGGCGCACGATGGAGAACGGGGCGACACGCGCGTCTGGACGCGAGAGGGGCGCGGCGTCTGCCACTGCGAAGAGCGCCGCCGACGAGGAGGACCTCTAAACGTAGTTGGGAGAGGAGGACACAGTGTCCGAAAAGTAAAGGTGGTCGGGCAACGACCACCACGGCACGGGGTACTTGGGTACGTAATTAGTGCCGTACTCTGAGAACGAGCTCGAGGCGGAGGTGACGCTGTGCGCATCGTGCGCGCGTGTATATGTGTATGCAAGAGCGTGCTCTGAGGTTGTCGGTTGTGTTGTGTTGTGGATCGGGGTTGCGTTATGCATGTTTGTGACACATCGGGGACGTCGGACGATGGCTAGGCTCTCTTTCGTCTGTCTGAAGCTTGGGCAGAACGATCAGCAGAACATGCAAGATGCTACTTTTATTCTGCGCGCGTTTCAAGATTGCACATGTACTGTTGGAAAATGTATGTAGGTGCGCGCATACCGTTGGTCACCTTATCCGAGTGTCCGGGAGAGTCGGCACAGGTCAGCATGCTCGATAAGTAGCGGAAGAGAGAGAATGCTATAAACCTGATGAACGATCATAAATCAAACTTAATATCGATGTTGTCCGGGTTGAGAATTCACGAGAACGCATTCACGAGCTCGACCCCGACTCAGAGTGCCCCCATACCCGCTGTGGTGCGAGTAACGAGGGCTGAGTACAAATCACTAGGTGCATAAATATAGCCCGGTACATAACGATCGAGGGTATCTAGGCGAGGACGAGTCCGGGGAGAGAGTCGGGCGTATTCTAGGATACATCCACACGTCAAGAAGAGCACTATAGAGTGAGCAACATATATGAGGAAAACTGACATCGGAAAGAAACAGTACCGCGATCACACCCGCTCGGAGCCCTCAACCACTTCAATCAACTCTGCCTGCGCCCCTACCTCGGACCCGGACTCTGCATTCACCTCCCTCTCGCGCTCTTGCTGCACCGTTGCTGGCTCCGGGTCGAATAGCTCCGGGTCGTGGTCGTGGAAGGAATGTATGGGGCCACCGAGAGACTGGAGGATTTCCGGGAGCTCCGGAGACCCTGCTGCTCTGGGATCGGCTTCGCCAAAATCGAGTGTCGAGAACGACGAGGCGGAGGATCCGCCCCGCTCAAGGCGGGCGTTAGTCTCATAGAGGGCCAGCAGGAATCGAGAGTTCAAGATCGAGCTGATGCTGCAGCGGGGGTGGTTAGCTCAAAGTAACATATGGTGAGGACAGTATACAAGGGACACTCTTACGGATCAACCAGAATGACCACATAGCCTGCTTGGTTGAGATCTGTTGCAACCTACAAGATGAGCAAATGTTAAATGAATGACAGCTGCCATGTACTAGAGCTGTGACGCACCGATGCTTCTACAACTCTCAGAACTACAATCACTATGTTCAATGCAACCAGTGTGCTGTAAACTTGATGAGTTTAGGGCTAATTACAGTGTCAGAACGAGAGAGATTGTACCAGAAGTAGATGTTTCCTGTGGATTGAATTGATTAGCAGATAAACCATGAGAACTCCAAACAACATTTAGACCCACCGTTCTCCCATAGGACGTGTTCCAGAGAGGACCGTCGCAAAATCTGTGTCGATGCCTGGTGAGCAGTACGGGTGCGCCACCAAGTGACGCCTAGGGCCACTGTGTCTGCGAGGATCAAAGAAGTTCTCGATGTGATAGCCACTGTTCAGATGTGTGAATAAGTACATATTTGCTCTGCATCCCAAGACTTACACCTGTCAAGTACCAGGATTGACATTAGCGAGATTCACACAGAAGAAGTGAGAACTCACAACACAGCAACTGTATTACTGATGTTAACATCATAGCTACAGCCATACGGTGGCGGTAGGTTGACGGATACAATCTGGTACAATGTGCTCTATGATAGAGTTCTCTATCAGCAAAAAATGTGGATGATTGTAGTAATGGGACAGCATACCATATTGACGAGGAATGGGCCCATGCTCAGCAGCAGTACAACACCTGTCAGCACCTTGTTCGCTCCCGAGAGCGCATAGACTCTCAGTGTGGTGAAAGCTTGGGTAGTGCATGTGATGTGAGCGGAAATCCGACCTGCAGCTTGATGTTCAGTGCTTCCACTTACCGGCAGGGCCGAGCAGGGTCAGATAATCCAGGATGGTGCCAAGCCAATTGAGTGCACTACAGCTTCTCGGCGGAACGGTGTCAGGAGCATACAGGATGTGTACGTGCAAATACAAGTCCTTACCTCTGGAGGGTGTACGTCCGGTTCAGACTGCATCATTTGAAGAGAGTTTACAAGTAGCACTCACAGTGTTAGAAACTGTGCCGATAAATCCAAGGTCGAGCAAGTTCCATAGGATGGACATGTAGCGGGTGTAAATGTACAGGAGCTTCGAGAGCTTGCGTGAAACCTTCGGTGCCCACCAGACATATCGGACTTCCATGTCTACACACAGAAGGGCATCATACACGAGGAAGGCTATGAAAGTGATCGATCAGCACCGCACGGAGTTGTAAGACACGTACGGAGAAGAAACGGACGTACTCGCAATTACCACACTGATGTTGTTGTCAGTTCTCCTGCACAAATGCATCTATCATATACTCCAAAATACATGAATCATGCAAACCTACACGCTCTGATATACAGAAATGAACTCTGCAGTGCTGGCAGAGTTGGACGAAGACATGTCTCGGCCGCTGTGGCGCGTGTGCACGGCAAGTATCGGGCGCAGGTCAGAACAGGTGTGAGGAATGAGAGCTGAGTCTGGTGGCTGCTTCAGAGCTTCAAGCTCGGGGCAACTCTTTATATCTGATACGTACATCAATCACTGCGTATTCCTCGTCGTGTTGAGTCTTCGCGCCACGAGATCATCAGAAGTCGGCTTCAGTACCCGGTGCTTCCTTCTTCGCCCACGCGCAGCAACGCGAGGCGTGTACCCTTCTACGACACAACAAAATGCCGTCCGCAGAGATCGTTGAACAATCAGGTTCCGAGATCTCGAAGCGATGTGTAACATCAGCGCGCCGCGAGCGGCCTGTGACCCGGGAATGCCGAGCGTCTGGAAGAGCATCAGAACTTCTTCCTGAGATGTTCGCATCCGTACGGTTGTTTCTAGTGATATACACTCAAAGTTGCCCCGGTCCGCGAGGTAAAAGGTTTCGTGCGAGGCGATGCGGCCGGAGCGGTGCATCGACCGAGCGCATCAGGAGCGGTAGTGGGCTTGTGATGTATCGCAACCACCTGGATGTTAGAGATAGCGTCAGAGGGCGACGGTGGTGCCCGCGGAAGGAGATGCATTGTTCGATGCGAGCCGTACACCACTGTGCAGCTCAGGCAGAACCGGCGGTAGGAAGCGCTTGAAGACGCCTTGCTTCGGAATGTCTACGTCCGTACAATCCTTCGCGAGGAGCTAGAGGTCGCACTCCGGACAGTTGTCCGGTGTGGTGATCGAGGCAGGCGCATCGGGATGGGGCCCACGATGTGCTGGATACATAATACATATCGCATCGTGCAGGCGTGTGAGAGCGCCGCTTCAGCCGAGGGAAGATTCCGTTGTCGCAATGGTGCAGAGAGTTGGATGTCGCTCTCCGGGTGCGTGGGCGACACTAGGTAGTAGGTTTGCTGTAGTTTTCCGCGACGCTCGTGGCCTGGAACGCGGCAGTAGAGAGTGGATGAGGTCATCTTTGTACCGGTAGACCACGCGCGGCGGGTATGCCGCTGCTTCTCGGAGTGGGAACGCGAGGTCGGCGAAGACGGACACATTGGCGCTCATCATTGCCGTCCAAGACGTGTGCATGTGTGGGATGTCCGGTTTATACAGAATCGCCCCGATCTACAATCGAGTTGTATGAGCGTACTTGGCTCGTGTGTCCGGTACAAAGACGCGACATACCTGAGGGAGGGCGTCGACCGCCCGTGCAGCGAGGGCAAGACGAGAAAGCGAGGACGTGCATGCTGACTGGGCGACGCGTGGTCGAGGTGTCGAAGGTCGAGGTACAGCGCAATCGTGGTGACACAGAGGAAAGTGCAAGACCATATAGATATTCACCATGTTCTGCGACAGGTCAGCCCCGGTGGTAATCGAGGAGGACCTCGTGCAAGCCGTGGTCCGTCGGGGAATTACTACACACGCGAGGCATATCCTGCGGTCAATGCGTGTCGTTTTGAAGAGCGCCACAGAGCGACTTACCTGCCGGAGATTTATAATGAGACCTGATGGTACGCGGCCATCGAGTTATTACAGTTGAGGTTCGTCCTAGGCCTTCGGGAGTTTAGGTGAAAAGGCGGAGGCGAGATGACACGTCCACTGATGCGATATGACCCACGGGACGCAGAGAACGAGGTCTAGGGACACATGCGCGTGTCAATGTTTGGTCATGGCGCACATAGGAATGGTATTATAGCGCTTTTGAGTGGAGCCGAAGGGAGAGGCGATCATGCAGGAGCCATACCAGGTGTCCGAGCCCAGAGGCTGCCTGCTGAGAGTCGGCAAACGAGCGAGTTGTGCATAACTGGGAAATCGGCGGAATGTTGCGCCCGTCGACTTCACACGGAACACTCACTCTAGTGGTCTGTAATTGTATGAGGGTAGTTCTATCGCGATTTGTAGCAAGAGGATGAGCAAACGAGAGACGAGCAGCTGGCGACTGCGCGCGATACCGAACGCCTCGGCAAACGCCGGGTACAGGCGCTTGCGGGCTTAGGGGCCCCTCACCTGCCGATACTCCTCATTTCCTCCACTGGTCCTTCCTACTCACAACGCGACATATAACGCATAAACGAGCCTCAATACAGGTAAGCACACTATCACCGCTCTCACCGTCTCGGCCAAGGCGAAGGCGGTACCTAGGCCGCCGTGGACGCGCGTCAACGCGATGAGTCCATGATCTCAGACACGTCGAATCTGGGCCTGGTGGTGTTACGGCCGCATACGCGGGTGGTATGTGAGCCCCTGATTCTCTACGGACAATACCAACACCATCAAAGGTGCTCACTTAGACCCACAGTGCTATCTCGACCATCAGCTTGTTCGGCGGCTCTTGCCAGGTCGGGCTTCCACCTACTACGGGCCCGAGCTGTCCGACGTCCCGACGATTTTTACGATACCAGTTACTTTACGGAGCTACTAAGGTGAGCTTTCTCACTACATGCTTCTCACTACTTGACCTCACAAGTTTTCCAAGCCCGATCAAACAGATCGACTCGATACTCCCAGTCGGCGCATGATCTGCAACTTTTCAACGTGTCGCTCCGGGGTTCCTGAGTTTCCTGTGCATATTCTGCTTGCTCATATTATTTACTTTAGAGCCCCCATGTTTTCGGACCAGACTGATACGGCACTAGTGCTGGGTGGTCACGGTGTTATGCGGAAATCGCTTTCGCATGTCGGCATGTTATAAGCGCACTATCCTTCAACGCTCAGAGCTCTACCCATCTCAGGGATAGTAGCACCACGATGTGTAGTCGTCACCCAGCAGCTCAGGTACGTCCTGTTTGCACATCGCAAGATTCTATGTCCTGATACCGCCACATGGAAAAACCGCCGTGGTGACGTCAGCGCTGCCCATCTCGCCGAACCCTACTTTGCGCCTGTCTAGACCCAGCTTATTCACCCCGACCTCCGTTTCTGCCGCACTACGTCTCTCGTTCACGTTCGGTTTGGAGACCCATGCACTGCGGGACACTGCGCGTGCCCTATCCCAATCTGGAGTTGACGCTACCGTGTACGAGGCCGCGCCGTCGCTCAAGGAATGCTGCCTTGGCTGCATTTAGATTTTTCTTCGTTTACGCATACTTTGTATCTGCGGGTGAGCACTCGCGCCTTCTGAACGCAGATAACAAGCCACCGTGACGCCGCCGCCGCATTCTCCAGGCTTTTCGTCTGCAACGCACTGCGACGGAAGGAGCGCGCACCGGACGTCATCGTTTGCGCGCGCCGCTGCATGGAGCATATTCCATATCTGTCGAGAGGTACTGCGTCCGTTCGCGAACTCCACGCGATATGATTATTGCGAGGATGACACTCCGCCCTCACTACCATGCAGCAAAGCACCTTTTCATAAATGCCTTCGCAGACATGTGCGGGGTCATTTCGCTATTGCTTGACAATCGCCGACGCAGTTGAGTCTGTACGACCGCCCCGGCAGATAGAGTTTGGCGCGTCGTGTCTCCAGGACGCGATGCCGTTTGATCACCTGACCGCGTTTGGGGGTCAAGCGCCGGTGACGCGCGCCGCGTCTGGGATCCTCTCTCCGCGGGCGACCGACGTTGCAACTCTCTTCTGCCCACACTCTCTAGGCCGTTCTGCCTCTTGGTTAGTGGAACAGCCTTCTTATCTCTCCTTGCTCATACTCAGCGCGGCTTGCACATCGGCGGGATAAGATGACGCCGAGTCTGGCAGGGAAGCGTACGGCTGCTTCTCCCGTCGGCGTAGGTTCTCAGGGATAAAATTTCGAAGCCCACCTGCCAGTTATCTCATCATGAGCCGACACCTTGTCCCATTGACTCCGCCGCAATGTCTCCGCCGCCCCCAAATGCCTCCTCTACTCCTACACCGACACTCCCAAGAGAAACCCTGCCCTGGCTCCGGAACGCAGCAAAAGCGGCGATTCTTGGAACGGCGAGGTCAGACCGGCCGCTTTATCATCGCGCTCCTCGCGACGGACGATGTGCCGACGACAAAGTCCGATGAGCGCACCACCCTGTTCATCTCCGAACGGACTGTATACCCGCAGGAGGAGCTCTACAACATGAAAACCTTTGTGTATGACTCCCCAGAAGATGATGCGATTGTCCAGGCGATGTACATGATCGACAGCCGTCTGCTCCTCCGGCCTACCGGCAGGGTACGTCTTCTCCCTTCTTGTCTAGGGTCAAAACTTGATCGATACCGTATTTGGTATGGATCTACAATGGCTCGCGCGCAGCTCTACCGCGCGAATACACCGAAACCCCTTCAAAATCTCGTCCTCGCGGGTACTGACTCCGCCAAATGCGACGCCTAGCAGCTCTGCGCAGTCATATTGACCCTCAAGCTCCCGCTTTCCAAGCAGCCCAAGGGCAGAACCTCATCTGAGGATACGGGTCGCTCCCTGTGCGTATTTCACGCGGCCTTTCCTGCTGCTGTACGCGAAGCAAGCTCAAGCCGAGGGCAGGTTATCGCTGCGGATCGGGGAAGACCATAACTTCGCATCGAGCGTGCTGGGGAACACCCGGTAGATCGTGGCGTATGTCGTCACGTTGGAGGGCGCGCGCGGGCTGGTGGACGATTTGTGAGGCCAGGGTCTGGTCTCTACTAGTGAGTATCCTATGTAGAGCTGTATGTGGTCGTGCGGCAGAAACTGACGTGGATGTAGACCGCAACTTACTCCTGGAGCCTGAAGTCGCCGAAGCGGCCTCTCAAACTCTCGACACGCAGATAGAGTTCGAGTGTATCGAACGGTACGTCCCACCATTTCGTTCGTTGTCTTGCTCTTTGCACTCATGTACGACCGGTGTCTCTGAAGAGAGCTGGAGGATACCATCAACTCCGAACACGTCGAGAACATCGATGAAGGTTCGTCCACTCACCGCCCTTCTGCGTTCGAGCCCGACGCGTGATCACCAACAGCGTGCTACCGCAAGTATCCAGCCGAGAGGGAGTATGTGCTCGAGCACTCCGCGCTCGCGCGCGCGGGAAGGACGAACTACACCGCCACGTCTGCGATGCTGGCGTTCTTCGGACACTGCGGACGTAGACCAAGAGCCGATCAAGTTCTTCAACGCCCAATCCCCCATTTACCCTCCATCCCAAGTAATCAATGTTAACCGCTGCCTCTAGGTACTGGGTTACACAGAAATGTATCGAGACCTTTGTATACACTGGATGGAACGAATCGCCCTCGGAGAACGACGCGATCGGACTCTCTTCTTCCATACCCGGCTAATCCCTCCGTCGCGACTGGCCCTCTCCACGCGAAGCAAGCCTTCATAGCCATCTCTACTGTCACAAGCATTTCGGAAGTCGGTGGTGTATATCAGGCATCGCAAGTCCCCACACTACTACGAATGCTACGGCGCATGTCTGACATATATGAGCAGGAGAGCGACTGACAACATCCTCTTCGTAAGCCCGAGTACGCTTTCTTTGTCCGTTTGACCTTATCCTAAGTCATGGGGTGCTGATATAGGATCTAAACACTGATGTTCCGGCTCGACGCACTTCTCTGCATGAAACAGGAGGTCAGATACGTCTGGCGGTCGCCCGGGCTTCTCGTAAAGCGTCGCGGGCGCTGTACGTGTGCATAAGACACATGCCACTGCTATTGAATATTTTCTAACTGTCGTTGCTCAGCGATATTTCGGACACGGCGAGGAAAACGTTCTGTTTTTACTACAACGATGTGCGCAGAGCCACTTTTGCCCCCTCTAGAGATGAACCCTGGCATTTTGGACATTTGTCCGGTGCGCACCAGGCAACGCCCCTCTGCGAAGCTGCACAGCTGTGCAATGAGTTCTACGAATCCTCGACTCCTCTTTGGCCTACTGGTAAGTGCGATTCCAAGTTCGTGAACACGGTTATAAAGTCCGCTAACGTGATACGGGCCGTGCAAGCGTTCCCCACTCCGAGAGTCTACGCACTCTCCCTGGGTCACAGGGCGCTATCTGGCGCTGTACTATGGCTAAGCCAAGGTCCGTTCCTCCTCAACGCGGTATGCTGTCTCACGTTTTCTAACGCATGAGAAGCCTCGAACGCTATCCAGCTCCAAATGAGGCTGATTTCCGCTTTTGCTAGGTCCAAGTCGCTGCCGGATGCTCGGCCGAGACCTAACCGTTGACGTTTCTGGACAGTGCCTGTCACAGCGAGGGTCTTTACCATCGTGGCAGACGTTCTAGCTGTCGCCACCACCTGGTGACGCACACATTCTGCGTACAAGACGTCGACGGACGTTCTGCACAGATCATCTTTGGAACATATCGTGTGGGAAAACGGTGGGCCAGTGCGTTTCCTCGATTGCGTCTCACCCGTATTCTGATCCTCTATCTTCGGTGCATCGCTCAGGGAACGTGTATCTCTGGTGAAGGTCTCCCGATTTCTATGCTGGGCTGTTCACGCCGCGGCATGCACAGCACACTGATGTCGCTGAGCGTCGCGGAGGCGACCGTGGTTTTGCTCAAGGTGGGTGCTTGCCGAACTACACGCCCGCCAATTGTTAACCACTCGCGTACTTGGCAGGTATTATCGCAGCCTTTCTAAGCTTTCAACTTCATCATGCCCTTTGTTGATCTGTAAGGCGGTCCGACTCACCGTCCAGCGAACCCGGTCGCCTGCAGAATCAGCTCAATTCTGGACTCCCGCTTCCTGTTCGCCTTCCACGAGACCAACGCACACTTAGAACGAGCGGCGCGGCGGCGTCGTCTTCCGCACCGTCCCTCGGCGGAGACCTTTGGGCGTCGTCGCCGAGCCTTCCCGAACTCCCTGGCTCTCTCGGGGGACCAGTTCATCTCCGCGTACGAGCGGGGGCTGCACGATGCGGGTCGCCGTCGCACACCGCAATTGAGGTGGAGGGAGGGCGGATCCTGGTGTGGAGGAATCGCGTCGGAAGATCGAACAGCACTCGGTGTGAGGGCACTTTCCCTCGCCCTCGTCCTGGGTTGTACTAGAGTTGTCAGGGTAGAGTGTATGCGATGGATCATTTCCGTTGAGTCTCTGTATCTAGCTGCATTCGACTACATACCGTGCATATAGATATCGCAGTCATCGTCATGCTGCCGTACTGTGCAGTACCTAGAGCAGTATGCAGGCATCAGGAAGAACGTCGGCGAAGGCCCGCACAAGCGGCACTCGCGTCATCTGCTTCTGCTCGGGGAGCTCGGGCGAGATGCCTTCTCGTGAGTCCGGACCCGTGAGGCTGCGACAACGGCATATTTGTGACCTCTCCTTATATGCTAGCATATGGCTGGGATTTCTCGGGGCTCTGGGCAGTCGAGAGCACGGACGAAGTCGGTTGAATTCGGTCTGGGCGGAAGGACATATATCCTGAGCCTGCCACTGGAAGTCCTTCCACCTACTGCATGACTGATGTCTGATGTGGATGAGCACGTCGCGTTCGAGTCTCCGCCGAAGACAGAGTTCAGCTCGCGTCGAGGACCAGGACACGCGAGGTGGGGGATCACCTGACCGCGTAAGCGCCAGTGACGCGCGTCGCGCGTCGGTGATCGTTAGACCTCCCCACCACACCACCCAAGCCGCAACTCTCTTTTCCTACATGTCTTCCTGGTCGGCCTGCTGAATATAGTGCTGAATAACCTTCCGCATCGCCTCAATACCCCTTGGGAGCCTAGCTAGCAAAATGAGCGCTTGAGGCCATGTCTTTGCCGTGCGACTTGTCCGGAAGGCATCTAGCAGGCCAGCGGTGAAGAATAATGCCGCCTCGGGTTACGGCGAGCTCGGCATCGTGTCTGGCAGGTTCTCTCGCTGTCGCAGGTCGCTGCTCAAACTCCAACCACCCTAGCTATCTCGTTATGGACCCACGACCTCTTGCATAAAGTCCGCCGCCCTCCATTTGCCGCCCCCACGCCCCTCTCTTTCCCTCCACTCCCACATTTCCCCTATAAGCCAACATCTTGGTGGCCCCCAAGCGCACCAGCAACGGCAAGTCAAAGCCCGCAGGCACGCAGCAGTCCAAGTCCTCGCGCAAGATCCTCATCACCGCCGGCGAGGGCCCGACCGGCCGCCTCATCATTGAGCTCCTCACAACGGACGACGTGTACGTGAACAAGTACGGCGAGCTCACTGCCCTTGTCTTCTCCGAACAGGCCAATTCCGTCCTCGAGGAGTTCGAGACCGTGAAGACGGTTGTGTACGACCCCAAGGACGAAGGGGCGCTCGTCGACGCGATGTCTCTCGTCGATACCTGTCTCCTCATCCCTCCCGCGCGCAAGGCACGTCTTCGCGCCGTCTCTGAGGCGCAACACTCATCTCATTCCCGTTATAGGATAAGGCCAAAATCACACGCATGTTTCTCGAAGCCGCGAAGAAGGCCAAAACCGTCCGAAACCTCATCCTCCTATGCAGCGCGGACGCCGATTACGCCGAGCGCGACGCCCAACCACGGCTGCGCGATTTCATCGACCTCTAGACGCTCGCCAGGCATCCCAAGGGCGACACCTCTTCCGCGGACACCGGCTACTCGCCCTGCCTCACCCGCACAGGGTTCTACGCCGAGAACCTGCTGCTGTATTCGAAACAGGCTCTGGGAAAGGGGAAGCTCCCGCTACCAATTGGGGAGGACCACAATTTCGCGCCGGTCGCGCTCGGGGACGTTGCGCAGATGACGGCGTATGTGGTCACGTCGGACGGCCCGCACGGGCTCGCAAACGATGTGCGCGATCAGGTTATTGTCGCGACGGGTGAGTGCCAGTTCTGCGCTTTTAGGGCACGAGTCTGACGTGCGCGGGTGTAGGTCCCCAGCTCACTGCGGGGCCGGAGCTTCCGCAGGCGGCGTCGCAGGCGCTCGGCACGAAGATGGAGTTTGAGAGCATCCACGAGTACGTCCATCCTATCTGTTCGCTGTGTTGTCGAGTAGCTCACGTCCTCCGCGGTGCGCTCCAGGGATACCATGAAGAAGATCCTCAGCTCCGAGCAGGGCGAAGAGGTCGACGAAGGTACGTCTACCCACTCCCCTTCTACTCCCGAGCCCGACACGCGACGACTGAGTTCGCTCTCCCGGACATCCAGCCAAGCTCGAGTACCTGCTCGAGTACTACGCGCTCGTGCGCGCCGGCAAGACGAACTACGTCGCGACGACCGCGATGCTCGCGTTCCTCGGGCACCGCGGCCAGGAGCCGACCGAGTTCTTCAAAACTTACTCTGTACGTGCGCACGCATTCTGCCTTCATCCCGAGTGCTTATCACCGACGTCAGTACAGGCGGAGTTCAAGCCGAAGAAGCCGCGCACGACGAAGACCGGGGGCGCAGAGATTGCATCGAAGAGCGTACCGACGCGCGTGTCTGGACGGGGAGAGGGCGCAGCTCCTGGTGTAAAGAGCGCAGGCCACGACGATATCGAGATGTAGGTGTGGCGGGCGCGCACAGACCGCTCAAAAGCTAGGGTGAACAATCACAAAAGCCACGAGGTGAGGCCCTCTGGTGCGCAATAGCGACACCAATAAGAAAGGTGCAGGCGCAGGCGATGTGCGCGAGCATGTGTATGCAGGATCATGCTCTGTGATTTTCCGACGTGTTGTCTTGTGTATCGGTGATGCGTGTTGTTTCCTCGCGTACTACAGTCGGGCTTCGGCCGAAATCCATGTTCACTTTCGTCCGTCTGACGCTCGCCTGATACAATTAGCAGAAAGCGCGAGATGCTGCTTGTATTCTCTCTGCCGCTCACGATCACCCATGTACCGCTGGGTACGCCGGAGAAAGGCTGTCGTGGCACAGATATTGTTGCTCACCGGATGCATTAGGCGAGACGTGGGCAAAGGACGGTCAGCATGCTCGCTAAACAGTGCCAGTGAAAGCGGGTGAATGTGGTAAGCTTGACAAACGGTCGTGAAACAAAACACCGGCGTTGTCCAGGTCGAGCATTCCTGATAGGCGTTCATGAGGTCGAGTTGAGCTCAGACCACTCGCAGGGCGGCTGTGGTTTGAGTAACGGGGGCTGGAAACACATCAGTCGGTCCATAAATACAGCCGGGTACACAATGCGGAGGGTATCTAGGTGAGGACGAGTCCGGGGAGAGGGTCCGGCGTACTCTAATAAATATACGCCAGTCAAGAAGAGCAATACGAGCAACATATACGAAGCAAACCGAGGTCGGAAAGAAACAGTACCGTGATCACACCCGCTCGGAGCCTTCGCCTACTTCAACCGACTCTACCTGCCCCTGCACCCCCACCTCAGACTGGGACTGCGCATCCACCTCTCCCTCGCGCTCTTGCTGCACCATCGTCGGCTCCGAGTCGAACAGTTCCGGATCGTGGTCGGGTAAGGAATGGATCGGGCCGGCGAGAGAGTGGAGGAATTCGGGGAGCTTCGGAGACACCGCTGCTCTCAGAGAGGGGGCTTCGCCGAAATCGAGTGTCGAAAACGACGAGGCGGAGGATCCGCCCCGCTCAAGGTGGGCGTTCGTCTCGTAGAGGGCCAACAGAAAGCGAGAGTTCAAGATTGCGCTGATTCTGCAGAGGAAAGGATCAGTTCAATGATCTACAAAAATGATAGTAGTTATAAATCAGCCTAACGGGTCAATAAATTCTATGACAAAACCTGCTTGGTATGCAATCTGCGAAATGAGAAAATGTTCAGTCAATGAGAGCTGGCATGTACTGGAGCTGAGACACACCGATGCATCTACAGATTGGAGGACCATATCTGCGATGTTCATGGCAACCAATGTGCTGTGAATGTAGTGAGTTTGGGCCCAGAACCATCCAAATGAAGCATCAGAATGAGAGGGATCGCACCAGAAGTAGATGTTTCCTGCAAATTCAATTTATCAGCCCATAAAACATGAGGACTCCAAACTATGATCCAGCCCACCGTTCTCCCATAGGATCTGTTCCAGAGAGGACCGTCGCAAAATATGTGTCGATGCCTGGCGGGTAGTACGTGTGCGCCACCAGGTGACGGCCAAAGCCAACATGTCTGCGAGGATCAAGGAACTTCTCGATATGATCGTCACTGTTCAGATGTGTGAAGGGGTACATCTTTGCTCTGCATCTCAAGACTTACACCTGCAAAATATCGAGATTGACATTAGCCAGGCACATGTGTCAAATAGGTGAACCTACGCTATATAAGCCGTTGTACTCGTGTTATATTCAATTGAGCAGCCGTATGGCAGCGGTAGGTTGAGGGGTACAAGCTGGTACAATGTGCTCTTTGGTTATATTCCCTATCAGAAAGATGTCGACTCATGTAACAATGAGACAGCATACCATATTGACAAGGAATGGGCCCATGCTCAGCAGCAGTACAACACCTGTCAGCATCTTGTTTGCTCCCGAGAGTGCATAGACTCTCAGAGTGGTGAAAGCTTGGGTAGTGCATGTGATGTGAGCAGAAATTCGACCTGCAGACTCATGTTCAGCGGATTCCCACTCACAGGCAGGCCCGAGCAGGGTCAGATATTCCAAGACAATGCCGAGCCACGTCAATGCAGTACAACTGCTCGGTGGAACGGCGTGAGGAGCGCCCCAGATGTTTACATGCAAATACAAGTGCTCACCCCTGGTGGGTATCCGTCCAGTTCAGAGTGCATCGGTTAGACATCTTTCGCAAGTAGCACTCACAGTGTCCGAGAGTGTGCCAAGAAACCCAAGGTTGAGGAGGTTCGATGGGATGGACATGTACCGGTTGTATATGTACAGGAGCCGCGAGAGCTTGCGCGAAGCCTTCGGTGTCCGCCAGACATATCGGACTTCCATGTCCATGCACAGAAGGGCATCATACAGGAGGAGAGCTGTTTGAGTAGCAAATCAGTACCGCACGGAGGTTCTAAGACACGTACGGAGAGGAAACGGGCGTACTCGCAATTGTTACAATTATGATGTTGTCCGTTCTCCTGCACGAATGTATCTGTCATATACTCCAAACTACTTGAATCCTGCAAACCTACACGCTCTGATATACAGCAATGAGCTCTGCAGTGCTGGCAGAGTTGGACGAAGACATGTCTCGGTCGCGGTGGTGCGTGCGCAGGGCGAGTGGCAGTCGAGGGACGGAGCAGGTTCGAGTAACGAGAACCGAGTCGCTACACTGCTTCAAAGGTTCGAGCTGGAGGCGACTTTTTATATCTGGTATGCAGCGGCCATCAATCACTGCATACTGTCTACCGTGTTGAGTGTTCGCGGCGCAAGCTAGTTGATAGCTAATAGCTATCGGCTTCATCAGGCAGGTGAGGTGCGTGCACTGTTCCGGATCCCTCCCCAAAATTGCGCATGGTGATATGGACAACAGGGTCCGTTTCCGCAGCTACAAAGCTCGGAGCTGCCTTCATCCAGCGTTATCAGACTACAATCTAACTTGTGTTGGGAGCATGCTCACCGAAGAGATCATCTTATGGTCTCCATGCGCAGCCCTCGCCCCCAACTCTCCGCAAGATGGCGACCGTGCGGGCGAGATGACGCGCTCAGCAATTCTTAAGGCTCTTAGATGCGCCGGTGATAGCTGCTACGTTCACGTCCAAGCAGGGTGGTAGTGCTCGCCCGCAGCACTCTTCCGATTGGCCATGAGTCGGTATGCGGTAGTCGTATGATTGTACGGTCGTCCGACCTGATATGGATGATGTTAGAGCCAGATTGAGTAGAGATGGAAGGGTGCTATCCAGGGACCTAACTCGATGTTCAACTGCTGGTGCTTGAACGCCACGCACGCGAAGTACGTCGTGCACATTAGTAAGGTCTTGTTCCGAAGTCAACTGCTCGTCGAGCAGTGAGGCATCGAGGGAAGGATGGTGTGCTCGGTGCAGAGTTCGTGATTCATCCGCCGTCAGCAGTCGCAAAGTCGAACGCAACATGCGGGGTTCCAGTAGTATACGTCTGGGCATTCAAGCAGTGCACAAAACAGGGATACGTATACTAAACGTGCACGCCCGGAGGTCCCGCCCCGACGTCTCTGCCACACAATATGCACCGTACAGTACACCGTGAGGTCGTGCAATAGAGTATCAAATCAATGCTCCCCGAAGCCTTCGCATCGCGGCCCTGCGCAGCCTCGCCATGGCCGGTGTCGGCTGCATGCACGTCACCGCTACGACCACCGCGAGTACCATCGTGTGCATCGATGTCTCCGGAACTACCAATGCGTCGCACACCCGCAGCACTGCACCTTGACCTCATTCCGCACATTCGCGTGTAGCGATAATGGTGTCCTAAATTTCGCAGAGCAAACACGTCGAGATTGTTGATGCTGACGTTGCCGCCGGCCGTGATGAACTCCGGAAGCAGGTGCCCCGTACCTCCTTCTTCGCCCAGGCATGGTGTCGCGAGGCGTGCAAAAGGGGGTCCACAGGGATCGTTGAACGATCAGGTCTCGAGATCCAGAGGCCGTGCGTAACAACTGCGCGCCGCGAGCCACCTGTGATTTGGGCATTCTGAGCGTCTGGAAGAGCATCAGAACTTCTTCCTGAGATGTTTGCGCCCGTGCGTTTGTTGCTAGTGATATACGCTCAACACTGGCTCGGTTCGTGAGGTAAGAGGTTCCGCGGGAGGCGATGCGGACAAAGTGGTGCGTCGAACGAGCGCATCAGGAGCGGTAGCGGGCTTGTGATGTCTTGCAACCGCCTGGATATGGGAGATCGCGTCAGAGGGCGACGGTGGTGAGCGCGGAGGGCGATGCATTGTTCGATGCGCCTCAGTCGTACACCACTGTGCCGCTCAGGTGGAACAGGCGTCAAGAAGGGCGTGACGACGCCTAAATTCCGGAATTTCTACGTCCGTACAATCCTTCGCGAGAAGCTAGAGCTCGCAGTCCGGACAGTTGTCGGGCGTGCTGATCGAGGCAGGTGCGTCGGGATTGGGCCCACGATGTGCCGGAGCTAGAAGATGTATCGCCTCGTGCAGGCGTGTGCCAAAGCAGCTTTAGCGGCGAGAAGATTCAGTTGTCGTAGTAGTGCAGAGAGTTAGATGTCGCTCCCCGGGTGCGTGGGCAGCACTAGGTAGTATGGTTGCTGTAGTTTCCGCCGTGCTGCGTCCGCGACGCGCGCGGCCTGGGGCGAGATAATAGGGCGCAGATTGAGCTATATTTGTACCATAATACTAACCTCTGCGGATATGCAGCTGCTCCTCGAAATAGGAATGTGAGGTTGGCGAAGACGGGCGCATGGGCGCTCGTGCACGCAAAGACGTGTGTGTACGGGAGGTCCGACCCAGACAGGATCGCCCTGATCTACAATCGGGTCTCATTAGCATACGGGGCTAGTGCAGTGAGTACGTAAACGTAACGTACCTGAAGGGGGGTGGTCGATTACCTGTCCGAGGAGCGCAGGATGAGCAAGCGAAGACGTTCATGACGAAGCTGAATGCGCGACGCGCGTGGTCGAGGTGGCGAGGTACAAAGCAATCGTTGTGGGTGCGGAAAAGCATCCCGTATTGTGCGGATAATTTCTGGGTTTTGCAATGGCTCAGCCCTGTGGGCAGTGGTGGAAGACATGGCGTAGGCCTCCGCGGAGACACTGCAGACTGTGACGGTCATAGCCAGCGCCTTCTGCTGTCGATATGCGCACGTTTCGACATAAAGCAGAGCCGCTGAGTGACTTACCTGCTGGTGATTCGTAAATATACCCCCTTGTACGCGGTCCTCCGGTTCTTGCGGTTGAGACGTCGTCCTAGGCCATTAGGGAAGGCGGGAGCGAGATTCAGTACGTCCACGATGCAGTGGATGCTGAAGATGAGGTGAACAGACGAATGCTTGAACAAACGAATGCATTTGGTTATGATTGGTTACGTTGCACGTATCGAAGGTATGATAGGTCCTTTGAGTGCCGGCGTCGCATGGAGGAGGGCGATCCTGAAGGTGCCATGCATAGTGCCACTCGCCCGGAACGGTCCACGCTGGCCGCCTGTGGGCAAAGCAGCCCTGCGCTGAGGAGGGAGTTGTGGTGGGCTGGAAAAAGCAGTGGAATAGCATCTCAAAGTCTAAGTTCGTATAAGCGTAGCGACGTTGTAGTACGAGGACGGGCAGACGGGAGGCGAACGGGCGGCTGCGTGCGATACTGAACGCCTCGGCAAATGCCGTGTACAGGCGCTCGCGGGCTCTGATCCTCATCTCCTCCACTGGTCCTCCTCACGCCCGACAAATAACGCAGGCACGAGACTTAATACGGATACGCTAAATATATCTGCTCTCGCCATCTCGGATAAGGCGAAGGCGGTACGCAGGGCGTCGTGGGCGCGCGTCAACGCAATGTTCATAATCTCGGACACTCATGGACTTCGCGGTGTTTGCGATTACGGCCGCACACGCACGATGTATGTGGGCCGCTTGTGCACGACACGCAATGCTGACTCAAGGCAAGGTTCTTACGTTGTTTAACTATGTTCTATTGATCCTCGGTTTGGGCTTCTGGCCACTACAGGTCCGAGTTGTCCTATATCTCCGAGGATCTTGGTACATGGTACGTACCCGGGTCTCCGTTTTAACCGCACCGTCTTTATCGCTCATGTCCGGTTGGGAAGCCTATGCATCCAGATCCAGGGAAGATGCGGGTGCCGTTTCCTCAGCTGGAGTTGCCTTCACCGAGTACGAAACCGCGCACGCTTTTTGGACGTATATAAGGAGCCGCCGTGACACCGAAGAAGCAGCATTATCCAGGCTTTTAGTCTGCCGCATACTTCAACAAGAACACGCGCACGAGACGCACATTCAAGATCTATCAAGAGGTACTGCACCCGTTCGCGAAGATTAACTTCACGATGAGATCACCACGGCAACAAGGCGTCCGTCTCCAGCATGATGAAGCTACGATGTGTCGGTTGAACTCGCTATTTTTTGACACTCGCTGCCGCAGTTGAGTCTTTACGACCGCCACCGCGCATAGAGTCGCGTCGCGGACACGCGAGGTCGTTTGATCACCTGACCGTGTTTGCGACAAGCGCCGGTGATGCGTGCCGCACGAACTCTGAATTCGCCACGGACCACCGGCGTTGCAACTCTCTTTCATTTGCATGCGCATCTTTTAGGCTGTTATGGCTTCTTATGATTGTAGTCAGTGATGGCACACCTTCTTCATCACTCTGGACTACTCAACGTCGTTTGCACACCGGCGAGATAAGATGACGCCCCGGCAACGGCAAGTCTGGCGAGGAAGCGTACAGACTGCTTCTCCCGCTGGCGTAGGTTCTTCGGGATAAGATTTCGAAGCCCACCTGCTGATTATCTCGTCATGCCAAGCCCACGCCCTGTCCTGTAAACTTCGTCGCCCTCCCTTCTCCGCCCCCACATGCCTCCTCCTCTACCCTCGCTCCAACTCTTTAGAAAAACCCCTGCCTAGGCTCTGCTAGCCAGCCACTACAGCGAGTTCAAGTATGACGACATGAAGGGGTCATAGTCGCAATCATCTCGCCGGATTCTAACCACGGCCGGCGAGGGCCAGATCGGCCGCCTTATCGTCGCGCTCATCGCAACGGACGACGCGTACGCGAGGAGGTACGACGTCACTGCGCTCATTTTCTCGGAACAGGCTATATTCATCTTAAATCTAGACATAATGAAACACACTGTGTATGACCCCAAGTACGAGGATACGCTCGTCCAGGCGATGCATATGGTCGACGACTGTCTGCTCATTCCGCCCACGCTCGAGGTATGTCGTCTCCCTGTGTTCTCACAGTCAAGACCTTGTTCTCCTCTGTAGTGCGGGCACTGACTACGCCCGCGCACGACCCGCAGCTCAAACAACCTCACGCGCCTTCGTCGACCTCGAGGTGCTCGCCATACACCCACGAGCGACATCTCCGCCGGCGACACCGTCCACCCCTGGTGCACGATCCGCTCGATGCTCTACCCAGAGAGCCTGCTACTTTACCCTAAGCAACAAGCGCAGATGTGCAGGTTCTCGCTGCCAATAAGCGCGGGCCACAAGGTCGCGCCGGTCGTGTTCGGGAACGTCACGCAGATCGCCGTGTTAGGCTCAGCGAGGGCCCACACGGGCTCGTGTGCGATGTACGGAGGCAGTTCATCGTAGCAACTGGTGAGTGTCCTCTTCTGAGCGGCCATATACGCTCGTGCGGAAAGATCTGATATCGGTGCAGGTCTTTTGCTCCCCGTGAGACGGAGACAGCGTCTCAGGCGCTCGGCACATAGACGGAGTTGGAGAATACCAACCAGTGCGCCCCGTTCCTCCGCCTGCCCGCTCACTATCTTGTACAGCAAACACCCGACATATCCCGCTTCAGAGAGACCTCCCAAAGGATACTCCGCTCTCGGCAGGGCGAAGGCCTTGACAAAGGTGAGTCCGCCGATCCCTTATGCTGCGTGGGAAGTCGCTGACGACGCTACGCTTTTCAGATAACCGAGCGCGAGTACTACTAGAACACTACGTTCTCGCGCCACTGCATGCGGAAACGACACACTACCCTGTGACGCCTGCGATGCTCGCGTTGTTGGGTCACCGCGGCGCGGCAGGACCCAGCCAAGTTCTTCGAGACCCACTCCATACACGCCCGCACCGACCTCCTTCCTCCCATGTACTGAATAGGGACCTCGAGCTCGATGCGCAGTTCAAGCTGAAGAAGCCGGGAACGATAAAAAACGGGCCGACTTGCGCGTTTGGATGCGAGAAGGACTCAGCTGTTGCTACCAAGAGCAGAAATGACGAGGACGCAGTGCCCGCAAGGCTGAAGTCCTCGCGCATGGTCCTAACCACCGCCGGCGAGGGCCGAACCGGTCGCCTTATTGTCGTGCTCCTCACGACGTACGACGCATATGTGAGGAGGTACGACAAGCTCCCTGCGCTTGTTTTTTCGAAACAGGCTAAGTCCATCTTATAGCTCGACACCATGAAGACCATCATGTACGACCCCAGATACCAGGATGCTCTCGTCCAGGTGATGTATATGCAAGGTATGTCCTATTCCGACTCTTTCAGGTTCAAAACTCATGCTTGAAGTCCAAACCCTTTCCGGGCGCGACGCCTATTGGCGCCTGCCCCTGCTGATCGACCTTGAGGCGCTCGTCATGCAGTCCAAAGGCGACATCACGTCAGGAGACACAAGTCACTCCTTGTTTCTCATCCGTGCGGAGCTCTACGCGGATGATATGCTGCTCTACGCCGAGCAGACGCAGGCCGATGGCAGGCTCCTGCCGCCAATCTGGGCGGACCACAAGTTCGTGCCTGTCGTGTTCGGGGACCTCACGCAGATCTCTGCGTATGTGGTTACGTTGGAGCGACCGCATGGGCTCGTGGACGATGTGCGGATTGAGTTTACTGTCACAGACGGTGAGTATCTGCTTGCGGCTCTATGGCGTAATCTGATATTTGCGCAGGCCCTCCGCTCACCGCCTCGAGCGCAGAAGATTGCCCTAACGGCTCATCAGGTGCTCGGCACAAAGGTGGAGTTCAAAAGCATCGACGAGTACGTCTTGCTCATCTGTCTGCTCTTCTCTCCATATCTCTCATGCCAAACCTACCCTACTGCAGAGCAACCGCGAAGGAGATCCTCAGCTCCACGCAGGACGAAGAAGTCGACGAAGGCGCACCTACCCACCCCCCTTCTGTTTCCGAGTCCAACGCGCGATTGCTGACCCCGACCGTCTCCCGTGAATCTCCAGCTGAGCGCGAGTACCTGTTCGAGTAATACGTGCTCGTGTGCGCGGGCAAGACGAACTACACCGCGACGACCGCGATGCTCGCATTCTTCGGGCACCTCGGCCAGGAGCCCCACGAGTTCTTCAAGACATATTCCGTACGCGCCCCATTCCTTCCCTGTCCCCTCCATGAGCGGAACACTGACTTGGGGCTCGATTGGCATGCAGGCGGAGTTCAAGCCCAAGAAGAAGAACGGGGGCGCCGACTCGGGGGTGGGGAAGGCTGCGGGGACGCATGCATCTGGACGCGGGAAGGGCGCGGTCTCTGCTGTTAAGAGCACGGGCGACGAGGAATACGTCGAGATGTAGGCGGGAGAGGACACAGATGCCCACACAGAGAGGGCGGATGATCACGAAGATCACGGAGGGCCTCCGGTGCGTTATTGGTAGTATACTAGGTTGTACTGTGCAAACGAGCTCGAGACGGAGGTAAGGCTGTGTGCAGTGTGCGTGCGTGTATGTATGTATATGTAAATTTGTGTTCTGAGATCATTGAATGTGTTATCTTGTGTTTCGGTGATGTGTATTGCGTGTTATTTCATTGTGTGCTCCGCTCCAGACTTCGGCCGACAGATATGTTATCTTCAGCCATATAAAAGCCCGCGTGAGATGGTGCATTTGTTCTGTCCGCGGTTCACAATCGTCCATGTACCATTGGACAATAGATGTACATAGGTTTGCACATACGTTATCTTAGCGGAGATGATCTGGAATCTCCGAAGAAACCACACTCGAAGAGGGTCCATGAAGGGGCTTTCATGAGCGACGCACGCACGCTCAGCGTGCTACAGCCATATATACAATTCTGGAGTACATCTATGCGAAGACACGGCCAGCCGGATCCAGAGAGAGGGTCTGTAGATACATAGAACAGTAAAAAAAAGAATGAATCCAAAGTAGTCTTTCGAACTGGAGCGAAACAACATTGAAAAAGGAGAGCGCCATGATCACACTCGCGCCGGCCCTTCAACCTCACCAGTGGCCTCCTCTACATCTCCCGGTTTCTTCGCCTGTGCCCCCACTTCAAGTTTAGATTCCGTGCCCACCTCCCCCTCGTGCCCTGGATCTTGCTGTACCGTTGCCGGCTCCGGGTCAAACAGCTCCGGATCATGGTCGGGGAAGGAATGGATGGGACTGGCGAGAGAGTGGAGGAATTCCGGGAGCTCCGGAGACCCCGCCGCTCTCGGATCGGCTTCGCCGAAATCGAGTGTCGAAAATGACGAAACAGAGGATCCTCCTCTTTCAAGGCGGGCATTTGTCTCGTAGAGGGCGAGCAGAAAGCGGGAGTTCAAGATTGAGCTGATGCTGCAGAGGGATAGGTTAGCTCGATGGCATGCGGCAGAGACAGTCACTAGGAGAAGGCCTTACGGGTCAATGAAGAAGTCAACATAGTTAAATGCATTGGCCACATCTGATTGGTTTAACTGTCGGATAAATACCGCACAATTCAATGTTTCAACAATCACTGACATGTGAGCGAAAACGCACCAATAATACGACAATGACCATGTCTGCTATGTTCAGGGCTACCAGTATGCTGTATAAAGTGTTAGCTTGATCACAAGTGGCAGGCTAGGATGAAAGGCACCCTACCAGAAGTAAATATTTCCTGTGAGGTAGATTTATCAGTACACAAACTGTGAGGACTCCGAAGAATGGTCCAGTCACCGTTCTCCCACAAGACTTGTTCCAGAGAGGACCGCCGCAAAATATGTGTGGAAGTCTGGCGGGCAGTACAGGTGCGCCACCAGGTGACGATCAGAGCCACAGTGTCTGCGAGGATCAAGCAAGTTCTCGATATTATGACCGCTGTTTGTACGAATCAATGAGTGTGTATTGTATCTGAGCGGCATCTCGAGACTTACTCCTACAAAATTTACATTAGCGAAAATCAAGCAGCAAAGGTGATAATTTACGCTATGAAAGTTGTTGTACTTGTGGTAAATGCAGATATACAGCCGTACGGCGGTGGTAGATTGCTTGGTACAAGCTGGTACACTGTGCTCTATGATAATAGTATAATTCAGCAAAATGTGGATGTATGTAGTAATGGGACAGCATACCATATTGACGAGGAACGGGCCCATGCTCAACAGCAGTACAGCACCGGTCAACATCTTGTTCCTCCCGGAGAGCGCATAGACTCTCAGGGTGGTGAAGGCTTTAGTAGCGCATATAATGTGAGCTAACCTTCGACCTGCAGATCCATGTTCAGTGATTACATTTACCTGCAGGCCCGAGCATGGTCAGATTGTTTAAGATGATGTCGAGCCAATTGAGTGCAGTACATCTGCTCGGCGGAACGGTTTCAGGAGTGCCCAGGATGTGTACCTGCACAGACAAGTGCTCACCTCTGGAGGGTGTATGTCCAGTTCAAAGTGTGTCATTTAGGTATCTCTCGCGAAGTAGTACTCACGGTGTCCGAAATTGCGCCAATAGTCCCAAGTGAGAGAAGGTTCCATAGTATGGACATGTACCTGTTGTATATGTACAGTAACCGCGAGAGCTTGCGCGAAGCCTTGGGTGCCCGCCAGACGTATCGGACTTCCATGTCTACGCAGAGAAGCGCGTCATACACAAGCAGCGCTATATGAATGATAAATAAGTATCACACAGATGTGGTGAGAGGCTAAGAAACCGAGCGTACTCGCAATCAACATGTCGATGGTGTAGTTCGTTCTCCTGCACAAATAATCTGTCACATAACCCGAAGAATCTGAATCATGTAGACTTACACGCTCTGAGATATAAAAACAACCTCTGCAATGCTGGAAGAGTCGGACGAAGACATGTCTCCACGGCGGCGGCGCGTGTGCAGGACAAGTCGGACGGAGTGAGTGCAAGGAACGAAAGACGAATCGTGTGGCTGCCTCAGTTTTTATAGCTCAGGGAAACTCTTTATATCTGGTACGCACATCAGTCCCTGAGTATCTTTCATCATGTTGCGTGTTCGCGCCCCGGGATCGTTGCTAGAAGTCGGATTCATCAGGCGGGTGAGGTACGTGCAAAATTCCGGACTGGTGCATGAGGATACTAACAGGAGGGTTCGTATCCGCAACTTGAAGACCCCGAGATATCATCATTGATAACCACCTCACAGCGACCAAAATCGTGTTAGGAGCACGCCCACCGACGAGATTGTTGTATGGTCGCCATCCGCAGTGCCGATATGACCTCGACGAGATGCGAGTAACCTTGTGGGACAGATGTTTCGTTAAAAAATTCCTTCAGCTCTCAGATGCGCCAGACTCATGGCTACACCCATATGTACGCATATCCACCGGCGGCGCAGCCAAGGGACGTTTGAGTGAGATGACGCCCGCCGTATCATGCCGACTGCCCATAAGTCGGTGTTTGACTGCAGCATGTCTGCGTTATGTGGCGGTCGCGAGATCATCCCATTGTCACGCCACCCAATCCGAGAAGATATGATGGAAGCAGATATGAATGTTGTAGAGAAAGAATACCACCGTACTGAGCTCGATGGCCAAATTTTATTGTTTCTACGCTTCTCAGGCGTAGCGTGTGTCGTGCATTGACGACGGCGAGCTCAGAAGTCAGAGCTTCGACACGGTGCATGAGGAGAACCTGTGGTTTCTCCGTAGAGCTCGGGTCTCACTTGCTATCAGCCGTCTGGGTACTTTAACTGTGTACAACACCGAAATACGTCTACTACCGTGCCCGGAAGTTCCACACTGACTCGCATTGCCGACAATGAGCCATACGGTACATTGGGAGATGGCGCGATAGAGCATAAAATCAATGTTCCCCTAAGCACTCGCACCGCGTCCCTCGCACAGTCTCGCCATCGTCCATGTCGGCTCCGCGCGCTTCTCCGCAACGACCACCGCCGGTACCATCATGTTCGTCGTCTCAGTCTCCGGAACCACCGACGTGTCGCACACCCGCAACACTGCACCTTGACCTCATCCCGCACATCGGCGTAGGGTGGTAACGGCCTCCAAGATCTCGCTGAACGAGCACGTCGATGTTGATACGGCCGACGTCGGCGCCGGGCACGATGAACCTCCGAAGCGAGTGCCCTGCGGTTCAGCGTTCATTGCTGACGCGCAGCGCTGTGAGACGCACACCCTTCTGCAACAGATGGTAGACTGCGTGATCATTGAACAAACTGATCTCGACGTTTGGACCTCGTGCGCGAGAGATTTGCACTGCGAGCAGTCCTGAGAGCAGAACACCAGGAGCATTGGGAAGACCGCGAGGTCGCCTTTTCTGAGATTATCATATCCGTGAGGTCGTCTGCTCGAGACGCTCAAGGTCGGATCAGTTCGCGAGAACAGGGGGCCCGTATGCGACGAGACGGCGGCTGCGGCCAAAGCGCGAGGTGCGTCGATCAGGCGCGTTCGAGGTGGGCATGCAAGAGGAAGCTTGTGATACTCGGAACGGTTTGGACATCGCAGGCCTCGTCCGACGGAGAGGCGAAATATTCGCGCTGAGTGCGCGCGCAGAGGTTCGTTGCGAGCCGTATGCCACTGTTCAGCTTAGGCAGATCCGGCGCTAGGAAGGGTGTGAATTCACCGGAGGTGGAAGCGTCGGACGCGTCGGGGTCGACCGAAATGACGCGGCTGGAGTGATGCATATGGTTGACGCAGACGCGTCGGAATCGGGCCTACAACACTTGGAGATGGGTTGTAGTAGGCGTGGCGCCTGGTGGGGACCTACGTGAGCGCAGCCTTGAACGTAGAGCGTGGAGAAGATGTCGCAGTCGAGCTGGTGCGGAGAGCAGCATCGGGAACGATAGCAGCGCCAGGCAGTATGCTCGCTCTAACCTTCCTCAGCCGTACTGAGCGTGTGGTATGCCGCTCGCTTGCGACGTGCGCGGCATGGAGTGCGACCGCGGGGAGTAGAGCGGGATGCCTTGGCACAAGGAGTCTACGCTGCTCCTAGCTCGGCGAAAACGGGCGCATGGGCGCTCATAGAGACCAAAACGCGCGTATGTGCGGGATGTCCGGTTTAAAAAGGATTGTCCTGATCTACAATCGGGCTGCATTAGCATACAGGACGAACGTGATGAGTATCGATATGCGACGTACCTGATGGGGAGTGTCGATCGCCCGTCCGATGAGCGCAAAACGAGAAAGCGAGAACGTTCATGACCAAGCTGAGTGCGCGACGCGGGGGCGAGGTGGCGAAGCGGCGAAGTGCAGTGCAACCATGGTATGTCCAGGGATAGCCTGCGGGCGATGTCGTGATTGGGTTCCGTAACGAGTCGAAGGCTGCAACGTAGATCTGCCCCTGCGGCAACGCAGGGAGACGTGGCATGGATAGTTAGGGAAATACCGCACACAATCATGCGAAGCACATCCTGTGGTCAGTGTGTGTATGTTGTCTTCGTAAAAGATAACCACAGAGTGATACACTTACCGGGTAGATATGGTGAGGCCTACCGGTATGCGGTTACCCATTCATCGTGGATGAGGTGTCGTCCTAGGCCTCCGGGAGCTCACGGGAACAGGCGATGCAGCGGGGCGGAGGATGAGGTCGAAGGACACGTGCTTATGTCCTCGATTGGTCATGGTGCACATATCTAAGGTGGCATCGCGCTTTCGAGTGATAGAGTTGCATGAGGGAGGCGATCTTGAAGGTGCCATACAAGAAGTTGTCGCCCAGTGGCACTGATGCCGTACTGTGCAAACGAGCTCGAGAAGTAGGCGATGCTGCACGCATTTGTGCGTGAATGTGTGTGTGTAATTTTTCCCTGTGTGAGCGTCGATTGTGGCATCCGTGATGCATGTTGTATCGTTGTGCCCTGACATTCGTTACATCCGGCGCTTTGGCTGATAGATATGGGTCTTTCGGCCATACGGGGCTCGTGCGGAACCACTCTGCGACCACACTTCAAGCTTCACTGCCGCGGTTATGTACAGCTGGGCGATGAATGAAGGTATCCAGCTACTATGTCTCTTCCTGGAGCGGCCGAGGAGCGTACGCCAAGTTGAACTCGAAGAGTGTATCCCGACAACACGCGACCAATCTGTACTGATTCAATTCTGGGATGGGTCCTGTACGAACGGTAAAATAGCTAGTGTCGAATATATTTTTATCCAAGTGCCCTTGTGCATCTCGTCGCATGCGATGAGGGTAAGGTTGCCGTCACTGTGCCATGGTTCTTCGTCGCGCGTCTTTGCAATGTAATATATCGACGATCCCAGGCTTGCTTTTTGAGAACGTCAGGAACCGAAGACGTTTATGCCCGCGTTCGTGTAACGCGCGTACTAGACATCGTGTCTGTCAGATGATCGTAATTAGTTCGAGTGCAACTACGATGTATATGGTGAATGATACCGCTAGCCTTACCGGTTCCATATTGTTACAATAAACATGCGGATGCAGGAAACAAGTGTACCAAGGCTTAAAGCTAGGGTATCGGTCCTAGACGCAGCCTGATTCAAGGACCTCCGCGGCAGGCCAGCACCGCGCACGGACTGTGACAGGGTATCACGTGCTCGTGACTGCACGCGATGACATTTGCAGCGCTGGCGTAAGCTCGCAGCAGAGCTGCCTGAGCCTGAGCCGCCGTATCCTGCAATATCTCTCCAAGGAAGAAAGGCAGCCAATATAAGCTCGGAATAGCGCAGAATAGTAAGTTTCAAAACAAGAATCTGCGCCAATATATACACTACAACTAACAACACAGCTGAATCAGTCGGTTCTGCCAGCTGACAACATCCACTCTCCTTGATACACCTCTGAGCTGCGTAGTGACGCGCTGTATTTCCATGTCGCGTAGCTCTACGGCTACCCAGAGTCCTAGAAGGACAGAATCCGATGCTCAAAACGACAGCGTAGCGTCCGCTGCTAGCGCTGCGAGAACCAAAGACCTAGAGTTTTGGTTCGAGGACGGAAACGTCATCCTTGTGGCACAAGACTACGAGTTCCGCGTATTCAAAGGGGTTCTAGCCCACCACTCATCCGTTTTTCGCGACATGTTCTCGCTCTCTCGACCTATCTCTGCCGCTCCCGTGGAAAGCTCGGCCGTCGTCGATGCGTGTCTGGTCGTCCACTTGAGCGACTCGCCGGAGGACCTCAGGCACATTCTACGAACGTACCTACCTGGAATCAATCCGAAGTGACTTCATTCACCCTTCTCATTGCTAAGCGTAACACTAATCCAGACAGTACACCATGCAGGTTCATGCCATTGACCGAGAGTCAACAGAACCCCTCCTTCGACGCGGTCTCTGCCCTCATCCGCCTCGGCCACAAGTACCAAATGCAGGCGCTCGTCGCGCAAGGCGTGCAATACCTAAAACGCTGCTTCACCGACGACCTCCGCACCTGGTCCGCAGGCAAGTTCTACGACTCTAATTGCCCAATCCAGAAACGGCACGCAATCGGCATCGTCAACCTCGCCCGCCTCATCAACGAGCCCTCGCTGCTCCCCACCGCGCTCCTCATCTGCTGCGCGCTCGACAGCGACATCGTGTGCGGGTACACGCGCGAGGACGGCACGCAAGAGACACTCACGCTCGCGGACATCGGGCGCTGCTTCGCCGCGCGCGCGGGGCACGGTCGCGTTCGCCGCGCAGATATTCAGGCCCGTCGTGCGCGGCGCGGACGCGTGTGCCACTCCCTTGGAGTGCGAGCAGGCGCTGCAGGAGATGCTGCTCGATGTGGCGGCCAACATGGAGTACTTCTCGCGCTTGGATGTGTTCACGCCGTGGCCGGAGAGGTATGAGGATGGTGCGGGCCCGACTCGGGCGCGGTGCTGCGCGAGCTGCCGCGAGCTGCTGGAGAGGCGTGATATGGAGGAGCGGCTGAAGCTGTGGATGAGACTGCCTCGAATTATGGAAGTGCATGTGGACGGTTGGAGTACAAGGGTCGCTTGAGGGGTAAAAGTAGCATTGTCTGACGGTTCTTCCGCATCTGATTGGTATGTTTACTCGTATATAATGACCGCATCACGCTGACAAGGTGAACCTCAGGTGTACATTTACCCAATTTTCTTCGCCAGAGTATGCGGCAAGGCATATACGTCGGAGGCTGACAGTGGCGATCGAGGGGTGGGCTGGATTGTACAAGCAATCAGCGGCGGCGGGGTGATCTCGCTGCTCCAGACCTCATTGTGTATGATAAAAATACCAATCTCGACGCATAACTGACGAGTGGTTCATCTCATGCAAGATTCTCGTCGCGAGTCCGTTTCTGCTATGCCAGGGTTATCCCGCACAGGATGTGCGTGCAAAGTTCCGAAGGACAGGAGGATTCACGCTACAGAGCCCTGAGTTGTCTTCATCGAATTGTACCTCGTCGCTACAAATTGTGTATTAAATAATGCTCACCCACTGGATATTTACCACCCAGAACACCGAGGTGTAGAATCTTTAATTCTGCTCAACGGATCTACATGTAGGAGATGCAGACGTGCCGGATGATCCTGATGAATCCCTGGAGGTCGTTGCCGCCATCGCAGTCGAGCGCATCCAGCACCCGCAGTCGGTTCACCGTGCTGCCAATCTCTTCGACAGGATGCAGAGCGAGGCGCGTTCGAGCTCTGAATCACCATAGCTTGTCGTCTGGCCGCACGCGTCGGGCGCACGCTACGAGGGGCGTGTATCATTGCCATTGGGCCACCACGGGCGTCGTGAGCGCTCCTTCTGGGCACGCCAGCGTCTGGGTCATCGTTCGTGCATCATCGTGGTATGTTGGGAGCACTGGGCAACGACGGCGCCGTAGTGTTCTTGGTTACAGCGAGCGCTCACGGAACGCCGGCTCGACCTCGAAAATGACAAGCGGGGTGCACGGCGGCAATGCGGACAAGAAGCAGATTTCGGCGAAGATGGAGATGAGTACCGCAGTTGACAGATGGGCTCGACCGCCGGGTGCGTGTTCGTGCTGACAGACTCTGACAAGGAAGCCCTCGTCTACGGCCGAGTCGCAGAGGACCCTGGATAGACGCGGTATGGATGGAGGCAGAGACGCGGCATCTCTGGTAGGGGCGGTAATCGCTGCTTCGACGAGTCCGAACGAGATGGCCAGGAGGTTCGCGATGACTACGTAAAGGCGATGCATGATCGAGGTGGAGAGGTATTCCAGTGTGGTCGTGATGGACGCCGGCAATGCGGACCTGCAGATCGCGCCAAAGACCAAACTTGACGAGCGCCTGAACGCGCGGGTTGTAACGGTCGTCGCAGAGATGATAGACGGGGGGACGTATACGCGGACCTGTATTACACGTGCGGCTTGGGCATCGAATTATCAACAAAGCGAGGAGCTAGGGATAGGTGCACGCCATGTCGAGAAGAGACGAGAAGGTCAACGCCGGGTTCAACGATCCACCGCACAGCGCCATGAGATATCAAGCGATGGAGATGGAGAAAGCTGCCGCGTAGGCCGCCGAACATACACGACCAACCGCACGTACGAGAGACGTCCGTCCCTAGCTCCATATGTTGAAAGCCAAGTTGACGTCGACACGGGGCCGCCATAGAGCCGCAAAAGGGGAGTGCGATACCAGCGGCGTCCGGTCTGGGAATCCTCCGCACGAGACAAACACCACCGCAAGGAGTAACAGAGAGCTCCGTTGGCCTACGATGTGGAGGTTTGGGACCACTAGCGGTTTGATTTTCCGTCAGCGCTTTGGACCTTGAGACGAAGAGCGTATACGTACTCGTACTCGCCGAAAATTACGCGCGACTGAGACTGAAGGCGTCCAAAGTAGATTTGGATATCTGTGACCAATTGAAGTCAGCCGCGGATAAGAGCAAAACTCGCCACGGGGTTGTTTCGTGCGTAGTAAATGAATAGTCACCTCCTCGCGCATTGGGCTCCACAGGCACGACATATGGATATAATCGAGACCATGGAGCACGGGTAACATATTGAGTACGCATGGCCCACAGAAGACCAAATGATGGCCTCCAACCTCGTCGGCGTACGCACCTCCGGAGAAAGCAGTGTAACGAATGCACGTACGTTTTCGACATATGACATATCCTCTACAATACGCGCCAAATATCCAGCGTTAGAGCTGTCAAATACTCGCTATGTTTCCAAGAGAGTGCTGAGACTCTGCTGATGGGCAGCGATCGTAGGAGGGAGGGCTTTCGTCCTCCCGAAGTCAATATGATAAGAGACAAAGGTGAAATTGTGGGCATACCGATGCAAAATAGAGTGACACATACTCAAATATCTGGACATGCATTGTTTATGTCCCTGGCGTGTATCTCCCGAAGATCAAGCATTGAAGTAGTCGCACAGCGGACACTAAAGAGATGGAGGAGCGGGAGCTCCTTTCACTCTAACCACCATCTCGGTCGGGTTTTCCCACGGTCAAGTTCTGGAGCAACCTGACCGTGGGGCACATAATCTACGACGACAAAAGCCCTACGATCCGTAGAAGTGTCGGCAGGACATCACGAGGCTATTATATGACGGCCGACACGCGTCCTGCGTCTGAAGTATGATATCCGACAAAATCTGTGTCCCCGACAACGCCAAAGCGCTAAGACTACTCCTGACCGGACTCTCTATCCGACGAGCACACGATACAGCGCAGCCGTCCAGCGCCGCGCGATACACCAAACGAACGATGCTACATGCACTTCCTTGAACGTCTCAGACGTCGGCCTTGTGCCCTATCCCCTCGAGGGAGCCGTGCCCAGCACGAAGTTTTCTCGGGCGCCCTTCTGACGCCCGGAACAAATACATACACACAAAGACTCGCCGAGGCTGCAGACTGATCCAGAGCCGACGCTACCGAGCCCGAAGCCCGTACCTGCCAGTGCTCAGAAGTAGACTTAAGTTCGCCGACTCAGCGGTCTCAACCGTGCTTCATCGCGCAGAACACCTTTAAAGGGGCGCTATGGACTCGTATATCATAGCCTTCCGTAGGACCTTTTCATAAGAAAAGAGGTGACATCCGTAGCAGCCCGCTAGTGCCCCGGGTGGGCCGGCAAAGAGACTACTCGGCGTATCGGCCCCGCGCACCGCGAAACAGACGCCCATATGAGCCAGCACAGCGGACACACTTGCGGATGAACTCTCCCCCCCCCACCAGTCCCCGCCGTGCCTAACGCACATGGCTCTCCAACAGCTGCAAACAAATCACAACGCTTGCTCCGCCGAAGGAAACGCAGTAGCGTAAAGAACTCGGAACCAAGTGTACAACACATGCAAGTAATGCCGCTCAAATACGGGACAACCACGAAGCAGGATGGAGTAGTACATACTCGTCTCCCGCGAGGAGGGGAGCCCGGGTAAGCACACCTGAGCCTGAAAGGCCGTCCCCTCGCACTCTCCCCAACCCCCGCGTAAAGGCTCTTGCCCGCCGATTGAGCTCAGCCAATGAGTGCCGGACCACTCCGGGACGCAGCGCAGGTACCAAGGTACGCTCCGTACCAATTATATGCCTGGCATTGCCGCTGAAATCTCAGGATTCGCCAAAGGTGTCCGTTTTCGTAGTGGCTGCAAACGTCACCGCCTGGCCCTCTAGGAGTGGAACACGGCAGACGTCAAGACACGAAGACACGAATGAACGACCACAACCACGATACGCAGTCACCCTCGCTACGCATACAGCGCACTCCTTGTGGATGCAGACGACTGAAGCGCAATTCCGCGGCTTGGTCGAGCGGGCAGAAGTCCGCACGAGATTGGAGCGAGACGCCAGACGCGGGACACACCGGGCTCACACCAGTACCAAGTGAGTACTCGGACCAATCGCGAGCTGCGAATTGACATTTCAGATGTCCAGACACGTCCTGCCTACGGATGGACGCCCTGCCCCAGCGCAAAGGATAATCTGTGGGACCCACGGAGTTACCGGCGCCGGTACAGAGTCACCGCCGTGAAAAAGAGAGGGAAGAGAGACAGCGCACCCCTTCGCTCCCCCTCCCCTACCTGACGACACCCACCACCTCGCTGCATACACCTTCCTCGCAAAACCATGCCCCCACGCAACAAGTCGACACGCCAATCAAAGGCACGCAATGTAGCCAATGAAGGCCTGGAAGGATCACCCCTACCGCCTGCTACAGCCGCCGCCCAGGCTACATCGCCTGAGCTCGAAAGTCTAGAGACCCGCCCATCGACGCCAATCTCCCTCACCCGAACCTATGCGCAAGCTGTCGCGTCCCCGCCCAGCCCATGCCTCGCAAGCGCGTCGCCTCCCAGCCCACCCGTCGCTGTCGCGGAGTCCCCGCTCAGCCCGTCCCTCGCCGATGTGTCCCACCTCAGCCAACGCCAGGGCGGGGGAGAAATTCCCCCGACACCGAGAAGCACCTCGCTGGCCGTTCCTGCCGCTGGGAGCCTCGCCGCCGTGTCGGTCGACAGCCATGAGCTCACAAAGCCCGGGCGGTCTCAGGGCTGTGTAGAGGCAATGTCCACTGTACGTCGTCGCGCCTCCGGACTATGAACACAGCGACTAATGTCTTGTAGGACACCCGACCTCAAATCTTTGCTCACGCCCTCGGGGCCAAGGCAAAGACAACGGCACGCACGCACCAAGCGTCCGCTGTTGAGCTTTCGGCCATAGTCGCCGAAGCCGCAACGCCCACACTCGTAACCACTGGAGATGTCGGCGCCAAGTTGCTCGACGACTTTCCCCCCCTGCCTCTGCTGCCGAGCTCTATCCCGACCACAAAACCACCCTCCACGAGAACAGCGCCTCCCGCGCCAGGACCTCGTCGAGACAAGGGTAAAGCAAGAGGGCCTGCGGGTCCGCCTAGCCCCACGACCACCCCTGCCAAACGAGCACCTCCGTCCCCAATCCCAGCGGACCGCGGTTTGGCGCAGCACGATGGAGCATCGCCCTTCAATGTCACACGACATGTCGAACAGACTTTTGGAGGATGGCCGCAAACGGCGTGGACTCCTGCCCAACCACCGCACACCTCCACCGCTCAAAGGGGAAACGACGAGCTCCCCACCCGAGAGCCGAAGCGAGTCCGCCGTTTCCCACCTCCCTTCTATGCGCAAGACGACTTCACTCCTGTCTCGAAGGATCTCGAGCGGACGCGCCCCATTTTTGAGGAGCCCGCCTTCTTGCCGTGGATGACCACCCCTGCCAATGTATGGATTACCACTTCAACTCGTAACGAGTAATACTGACGCATACGAAACCAGAATAACACGAGTCCGCCGCACCCAGGCGATGACTCCGTGCAACGTGCATATGCGGAAGGCCTGCTCGCCGGGCGCCAGCAGAACACGAGCTTTGGTGACTCAGAGCTGCCTGACCTTGTCCCTATCTCTGACGACGAGGACAACAACGACAACTTTCCCTCTGCCCAGCCGACCGGCCGACCGGAGGCCGCTACAGCTCAGCAACCGAGTTCTCGGTTGCCACACTGGACGCCAACGAGTGGTCCGACGAACGCTGCACTCCCCGAGACTCGAGGAGAGCGAAGGCCACGCCAAATGCCCGAGCTCTACCCGACTGTGCTCCGTGACGTGACAAACACACAGCAGTCCGCGACGAGCTCATCCAACCACACCCACGCCGCGCCCCCCGTACGGGCCTACTACTCGGCGCGTCCGGGCGATCTGTTAGCCCGCAAACCTCCTAACACGGCCTGGGAATCACGGAGCAGCCATCCACCCCCCGCGCCTTCCAGCAACGTACCACTCTCGTGGGGCATGCCTCACGCAGCTGAGTCGAACGGGAGACAACGATCCTATGCCCACCGTCCACCAACTCCCTACCCCGCCGTCCCTGGAAGTAGCCGGCACACCGCCGAGTACGACGAGCCGCCATGGCTACGCAGCCCAACTCGGCAGAGCGGCCAACCCGGCGCCGCGGAGATCGTCCCATCGTCACTAGACTACGCGGAACCGGCTGGCAACGTCCCTCCGAACCATGGCCGGACCTACATCGCTCGCCTCGCGACGACGGAGCCCTACGCCCCGCAGCCCCTCAGCTTCACACCGAGGCCAGAGGAAGGGTGGGAGACAATCCATCGCAACGACCCTGAAGAGCTCATCGCAGGCATGTGTCCGGAGCGCCTCCGAAAGCTCTGGGAAGAAGAAGCGGCGCGTACTGTGCTAGTTGAGTTCTTCAACATTCGCTACCCCGCCCCGCATCAAGTCCGGAAGATGACGGAGACCCTCACGACCATCATCCGCGAGGCCACCCACGAGACGGCCTTCAAGATCATACCTCCGGAGCCTGCCTGGAATGCCGACGGCTCTCGACGTGGCGAGCCCTCCGCCTGGGCAGTGGTCCGCCTGACAGAGAGTGGCGCACAACAGCTTATCGAGCGACGTGTCCTCTCAACACCGATAGGAACTGTCTTCACGAACGCGCGTGCTCCGCAGATTCCGTCGTACCTCTTCACCCTTGGAGGGTTCGCACACGACGAGGATGGAGATATCATCCACACGGTTTGGGAGACCTTCAATGGCCCCCAGATCCTGCCGGCAATCATCCGTCTCGTCCGAGGCAATCCAGCATTCGCCAATCTGTCGCCGGAAGAAGCAGCGGGGATCATTCTCTCTTCACTCGAGGTGCAGGTGTCGACACTCGACAATGGAAACCTTGTGGCGGCTGTCTTCTGCGACTCACCCACCGCGTCCATGTCCCTCTGGCGTCAATGGCGCGACGAGATGCTCAGTATACGTTTCCAGAGCCTCTTCAACTCAACGGCCACTCCGCGACGCCTGACCCGGTGCGTGGGCTGCCACAGCGCCTCGCATCTCACCCATCTCTGCCCTTTCCCCTCCGTGCCTGGCTGGAACGCACCGCCCGCAGTCGTGCACGAGCAACCGAACCCGAGACCCACCTCGGACCGAGGATTTCCCCAAGGAGATCCTGCAGCGCCCTCTCTGTTCGGCCGAGGGGCGCGCGGTCGTGGCGGTGGTGCCAACAGCCGTGGAGCCCCGCGCCGCCGGTTTGGTGATAGGCGTGGACCGCGAGATGAGCAGGACCGTTATCGCGAGAAGGACGGGTTTGATCGTGACTAGCACCGAACACCTGTAGCACACACGAGCTTCGTGAAAATGTAATGCACTCAAAGGGCGCAAACTAATGTATCCTCTCATCCCTCCGAACTGTGCGACGTGATTTACTTCTCCGCGGGAGTCGGCTGTCGCATAGTCTAGCTCAGGCGTAGAAGCTTATTTAGGCACGACGGCTACGCAATTGAAGACCTCCGTGCCCGCACACGGCAGGTTCCGTCCCCCGGATGAGCGGGTCATCTCATCGTCCCCGGCATTCTGGTCGAAATCCGGGGCACTAAACCGACTGCGAACAACCTAAACACACCAAATACAACCAACGGAACACATAATACGGCTTTAGGAAACACGCGCCCTGCTCAGCTCAGACAGGACCGCTCTGTAGCTGCCCGGACGGTCCTGGAGGACGGGCCGAGCGGGATTGGCGGTAGCACGCAGAGTCACGATGAGATTCTGCGTTGTCCCTCCTCCCCTCCCCCACCACCGAACCACTTAGTCCCACAGGCGGCTACAGCGCGCAGACCCCCGACGACGCGCTGCCGCCTCAGAATGGGAACATTAAACATCAAAGGTTTCGGACCTTCGCCAATTAATGGCGCGCCCGATAAATGGTTGTACATTAACCAAGTTATACGGGAGAAACGACTCGCCGTACTGGCCGTCCAAGAAGCGCATTTGACGCCCGAGAGAGTATTAAATCTCAACAACCTATTTGCTGCATCCCTGCTAATTCTCGGCTGCCCAGACCCAGATAATGGCTCAGGTGCGAGAGGAATTGCCTTCGTAATTAGCAAACGACACCTTGCAGGCCGTGAGTGCTCGGTTGATGTGGTTATTCCTGGCAGAGCCGCCGTCCTCCGCCTCCCCTGGGGCCGCGAGAAGACGATCTCAATTGCAAATGTATACGCACCAAATGCGGCGACAGAAAACGCTGCCTTCTGGGATCAACTCAACATGGTCTGGTCTGATCCGGGAAGAACGAAACCAAATGTCATCCTCGGTGACTTCAACATGGTGGAAAATGCAATAGATCGGATACCTGAACGTGCGGATGCATCTGCCGCAACAAACGCTATAACGTCCCTTCTCACTAGCCTCAGAATGCACGATTCCTGGCGCGAAGCACACCCCACAGAGCGCGCTTTTACGTTCCGGCAAACAAACTCGGATAGTCAATCTAGACTAGACCGCATCTACGTTGATCTCTCCCTGCGTCACGCAGCGGCCGACTGGGACATAGACAGCCCAGGTCCACTATCAGACCACTACCTAGTAAGTCTGTCTATCGCCAACTATCATGCACCACATGTTGGCCCCGGCAGATGGACTCTCCCGCTGTCGCTTCTCGACGAACCAGAGTTCATGGGTACTATGCACCGGATGGGCTTGGAGCTCCGAGAGAATCTAACAAATATACATACCCGTACAGACACCGTGAATGCCCAGACAATTTTTCATAGCTTCAAAATTAAACTCGCAGATGCCGCTCGCACACGAGCAAAAACATGGATGCCAAAACTCGACCGGAAGATCTTGATCTTGAAAGAGCAACAGAGAGCTATGCAAAACCCACCAGATCATGGTGAGGCACTAACGCCAGACGTTGCGGAGACCGCCGCTATAATAAGCGAGACACTCCAATCGCTACAAGCAAAACGCTTCGGGCTTCGACGAACTCGGACGGCGGCACGGGACTGGATCTCTGGAGAGAAAATCGGAAAATACTGGATGCGTCAAAATGCGCCCAGTAAGCCCGACAGTACAGTCTATGAACTGCAACGTCTAGACGAGGTCAGTGGCTATGCCAACAGCACGAAAGAAATGTGCGAGGTTGCAACATCCTTCTTTGATGATCTGCAATCTGTGGATCCTCCCGAATCTGAAGACGCTCACCAGCAATATATTGCAGTGGCGCTGGAGGGCATGGAGGCACGCCTGTCAAATCGCCAAAAAGGTGCTCTCGCAAAGAAGCTTTCTAGTGAAAATGTTCGCACAGCGATACTGGATGCAGCACCGGGAAAGGCAGCAGGTCTTGACGGGCTCCCTACAGATGTATGGAAATCATATCTCGCAAAATTTGACCATGCATCGAAAAGAAACCTACCTGCTCTTGACATTGCAAGTGCTCTCAAGCAAGTATATAATGATATTGAAACATATGGTGTCTCTCAGCATACACATTTTGCTGATGGCTGGATCTGCCCTCTGTACAAGAAGAATGACCCGCGAAAAATCACCAACTACCGTCCTATTACGCTCCTAAATGCGGATTATAAAATCATGACAAAAGCGCTTACAACCAAACTATGCGAGTGTGCACCGTCTCTCATTCACCCAGACCAGGCCGGCTTTATTCCGGGTCGTCAGATTATTGATCACATAAAACTTACCAAGCTCATGGTAGACTATGCTGAAGCGGAGGAACAAAATGGGATTATCATTTCCTTGGATCAAGAGAAAGCATACGACCGAATCAACCATATGTATTTATGGGAGGTACTAAAACATATGAACTTCCCGCAAAACTTCATCCAGACTGTCAAAGCGCTATATGAGAGAGCATGCAGTACGGTGATGATAAACGGGAAACTAGGCCGAACTTTCAGTGTCTCCCGTGGAGTACGCCAAGGCGACCCGCTATCATGTCTGCTCTTCAACCTAGCCATCGAGCCATTAGCAACCGCCCTTCGGAACTCAACCCTCGAAGGTTTCAAAATACCGGGTATAACCGAGCGCTTAATCGCCGCACTCTTCACAGACGACACCACAACCTTCCTGAGCCACACGGACAGCTTTGACGAACTCCTCCGGATCCTCGATGTCTGGTGTAAAGCTTCACGTGCCAAATTCAATAAAGACAAGACCGAAGCGTTGCCCGTAGGCTCACGAGAATTCAGAGACCAAGTTGTACGTACACGAACCTTGCAGCAACATGGCAACCCTCTCCCGGACGACGTACGCATAAAAGCGGACGGCCAAGCAATGCGTGTCCTCGGAGCGTGGATAGGAAATGGAGCAGACCCGACAGCTCCGTGGAAACCCATTGTTGACACGGTGAAACGGAACCTAGAGCGGTGGGACCGCCGCAACCCGACCATGTACGGTCGTAAGTTGATTATCGGCCTCGAGCTTGGTGGGAGGACTCAATTCCTCACCAAGGCGCAGACTATGCCAGTTACAATCGAACGCGAACTTAACCGGGTTGCGACAGGTTTTCTCTGGAAGGGAGCAGCACACCCGCCGGTGAACAAAGACACGCTGTGTCTCCCCATCACGCAAGGTGGCTTGAACCTTTTGGACTTAACAGCTCGGAACGAAGCTATTGACCTCATATGTCTTCAAAACTACCTAGACCTTTCGCCGAGTAGGCCACGATGGGCCTATCTCGCCGACGTCCTCCTTGCAAGGGCGGTGCGCTCGTCGCATAAGCATCTGGACAACACGAGTAAGATAAACACTTTCTTACAAGAATGGGAGGTTTCAACGAGACAGCCGCACAATCTCCCAAGTGACCTACTACGGATGCTCAAAGCTGCGAAGAAATACGGGGTACGTCTGGACGTGAAGAACCCATCCGAAACTTTGAAGGAGGCGCTCCCAATCTGGTCCCACATCGGCGTCATGCAAGGACGGGTGATGTCCAACTCCCGAACTTCAAGATGCATTCGCGAGAACCACGGTGTTGTTACCGTAGGGGCCTGTCTCAATCTCGCCCGACGCTTGTCCCTACCGAGCCGGACTGCACAAAACGTCGCACACGTCCCGTCCGCGAGGTGCCCATGCACCGAATGTGAGGCTGATCGCTCCGAAAATGGATGTACTAACCCGCATCGATGTGCAGCTGCGGCGCACGACTTACTTCGTAAGTTGCAGCCAGCCTGGGTCCCAGACGGCGCAAGACACAGTGACGGCCTCTCACTGACGAAGTCACGGAAGCGAAAAAACACGACCGCACGAGAACACCGGGATAGAATCTTATTCAATCCCTCTGCCTCATCCACACTGCCCCTAGCAGACACAATTCGAGCCTTCACAACCTCCGAGGAATGCCTCACCGTGGCGCGCCGCCCCCCGCGCCCCTTTGACGTACCAACAGAAGAAGTCGAAGTATATACGGACGGATCGTATAAAGACACGCCCGCAACAGGCCCAATATGCGGCGCGGGGGTTTGGTTCGGCCGAAACGATCCGAGGAACCTGGCACGTCGTGTGCCGATAGCGGGAGGCTCAAATCAAGTCGCGGAAGTCCATGCCGTCTCTCTCGCTGTCGACAAGGTACCGCCTTTCGCGACTCTTACCATTAAATCTGATTCGCGACTAGTTGTCGACGGACTAACAATACACCTCCCGAACTGGGAAGACCGAGGATGGATGGGTGTCGCAAACTCGGAACAACTAAAAGATGCCGTGGCACGGCTTCGGGCACGGTCAGCACCGACATACCTGCAATGGGTCAAGGGTCACTCGGAAATCGAGGGGAACGAGGGCGCGGATGCTCTTGCAAAACTCGGTGCAAACACCGCGTGGAATGAGACGCTCGCTCTCTCTGAACACAACCCTGCTTTCCTGGCGCGCGGCTGCAGACTCGCTGCGCTCTCGCAACGTCTTGCGTACATGGCCATCAAACTCTGGAAAGAACCGAAGCAACGCCGGCGCACTGAACTGCTCACCGAACGAACAAACGCGGCGCTACTCGAGGACTGGGGCATGACTCTCAGGGCGGGTACTGTATGGAAGGCGATTCGCCATAACGACACGAGACGAACACTACGAGACTTCTGGTGGAGAGCTATGCATGCAGCTCTCAAGGTGGGGACTTACTGGGATAATATCCCGGGATATGAACAACGCGGAGTGTGCGCACACTGCGGTGTCCCGGACACCCTCGAGCACATCTGGCGGGACTGTGATGCCCCAGGAGCGGCGGAGATCTGGCTAGGCGTTGCGGACCTCCTACAGAGAAAGAACATAGCCGTACCGGGCCTATCCTTCGCTGTCCTCCTCGCAGCCCCGGCCCTCAAAGTCCGGTCGCCAACTGGACGCCCATCCGAGGCAAAGTCACGCTTTCTACGGATCCTTCTCACGGAGTCCTGCCATATGATTTGGAAACTACGGTGCGAGCGTGTCATTGGCAGGGAAAATGACCGCGCACGATACCACACAAAACCGGAGATTCGTCGACGCTGGCTCCATGCGATTAATCGGAGGCTGAAGATAGACCAGGCGCTGACCGCGCCGGCCCTCCGCCGGAAAGCGCTATCGAAGGCGCTTGTCTGCGCGACATGGCAAGGCCTGCTGGTCGACGAACGCGCTCTTCCCGAAGACTGGACATATACTCCGGGGGTTTTAGTGGGTACGCCTTCTTTCTGGGACCATGGCTAGACATCGGTACCCGGGGAAGGAAGTCCCACACTACAGTTCTCGTAACTGTGTGCATAACTAGCATTTCCCCCCTATGGTGATTTGGGTGAAATTCCCACCAACCTCTGCAACAAGGCTCAGTCAGCGTGCTTCTGCCCGCCCTGAGCTGCACCATAAATAAAAAAAATAAAAAAAAATAAAGAGATGGAGGAGCCGTCCAACGTCGCTTGGAGTCCACGAGAGCCATCCGCCAAGTCTTATCAAGCAGCGAGTACAAAACAGGATTTCTCAGTTGCCTGAGAAGTAGAGCTGGCAGTCTCCAGAGGTCTGCGTCCGTAGCATAGAAGCGTCGTCACTGCAGGACGACGAGAGACGAAAACTCTGACGGGCGACACGGGACATTTCGGCAAACGCCGGACAATAGACGCCCATACTCCCAATGGAAGTCGCCTCGACCGCGGGGCTCCTTCTCACCACGATCAGCATGCATTCGCCAACAACTGCATTGTTCAAGCTCATTACACTCATCTTCACCATGCCAATTTCTACTTGAGGAACTCGATAACGGCTGCAGATCTTTGTGTATGATCTCATGGAACAAGCCTGAAGGTGCTCCACCGTGTCAACTCGATCGTACCTACAGTACCGTTCTACTGCCGTTTTGGCTTTACGGCTGCACATAGGACGCAAAGTATGTTCTAATCTCTGGGATGCATCTGCAGGTCATCAATGTGGTACGATATCTCCGACGACGCTCTCCGATGCATTTACAGCCGAGTGTGATATGCACGAGTCTTACGCCCTCCTTGGTGCGGCCCGCAGATGAACCGTAGTGACGGTGAAGGTCCGCCAAGCTCGCGTTCTTTCGCCACCACGGCCTTAGGCGTTGGAATATTTCCTCCCGAGCGAGTAGGCTTGTTAGGCCTTCATATAGGTGCACTTCAATTCAAAGACGCCGCACACGATGAAGGACGGAAGCGCAGACGGCTCGCCAACGACCCGAAGACACGCACATCCGGGCACGGGAAGGCAGCGTCTTGTTCCTCAGCTACGCAGAGCCAGAGCGACTTAATCATCATGGCTCACCGTTTTATATGTTAGGAACGCTTCGGATGTGGGGTCTCAGAGTGACGCGTGTCCGAATGGATCTGTAACCGAGGATACATACAATAGTGAAGGTGATAGGTTCCAAAATACTAAAAAACTAGGTAGAATAGATAGCGTGAGCAACACAGTCGCACCCGCTCCGAGCCTCAGGCAAACTCTCCAGTTGCCTCGGAGTCTACCCGCGCCCCGAGCTCTGTCTCTGCGCCCAAATCTGCCTCGGTCTCACGCTGCGGCGTCGGCTCCAAGCTGAATAGCTCTGGATCGTCGTCGTCGATGGAATGAATCGGCCCTCCAAGAGACATGAGAAATTCTGGGAGCTCCGCCGGTTGATCTGCGCCTGCAAAATCGAGTGTGGAGAAAGACGAGGCTGACGTGCCTCCCTTTTGAAGATGTGCATTCGTCTCGTAGAGTGCCAAAAGGAAGCGAGAAGTGAGAATCGAGCTGATGCTACAGAGGACCATTGCCAGATGAGCTTGGTGTTCTATAGCGGACACGGTGTAGGGAGTATGACCGTACGTACGGGTCAATGAATTGTATCACATAGGTCGTGTCACCGAAGTCTGTTGCGATCTGCTGGACAAGAACATAATTCAGCAATGACTAGTGTTCGACTTTTCAGAAAAGACAAACCGATGACACGACAACTTGCAGGATCACATTCGCTAAGTTCAGGGAAACCATTGTGCTAGGCCGCACGTAGTTACTGGTCTGAGTGCAATTGCGGTGCAGAGATACGAGACATCTTACCAGAAATAGACATTGCCTGTGAGTTAGACCTTTCAGTACACCCGTCAGGGGGACCCATAGAGAGGCTCACCGTTACACCACAGGACCTGTGCCAGTGACTTAGACCGCCGCAAAATATGTCTCGATGCCTTGCGTGTAGTACCAGTGTACCACCAGGTGACGACCACAGCCACACTGTCCCCAAGGATCAAGCAGCTTCCTGATATAATGATCACTGTTTGAACTGGTCAGCAAGTACTGCATAATTGCCTGACATCTCAAAACGTACACCTGCCATATAACTAGATTAGCCTCAGTCAGATGTACGCATGATGTGCCCGTGAAAGCTCACGCAGTGTAGGTTGTTGTACTTGTGGTGACTTCATCCAAACAGCCGTACAGTAGGGTAAGATTGATGGGCACAATTTGGTACAATGTGCTCTGCGAGTACGCCGTATCAGCGAGTGTTTCGCGTCGTATAGGATTGGAACAACATGCCGCGTTGACCACGAATGGGCCCATGGTAAACAGCAGTACCACGCTCGTCAACGTCTTATTCTTTCCTGAGAGAGCATATACTCTCAGAGTGGTGAACGCTTGCGTATCAAATCTGATGTGAGCATAACGGTAACCTTCTAAACTGGTTATAAGTGAGTCCACTTACCAGCGGGACCTAGCATTGCGAGCACTTCCAGGATATAAGCCGGCCAACTGATTGCTGTACAGCTGTCCGGCAGTATGGCCTCAGGATCGCACAAAATATGTACCTACATGGACCTGTGCTCACCTCTGGAAGCGATATTTCATGTTCAGATGCGTCATTCAGATTTTGTTTGAGAGAATCACTCACGGTATCTGAGATCGTGCCGATTTTGCCGATTGCCAGAATGTTCCATACAACAGACATGTATCTGTTGTATATGTACAGAAGCCTCGAGAGCTTGCGCGAAGCCTTTGGTGAATGCCAGACATATCTGACTTCCTTGTCTAAGCAGAGAAGTGCGTCGTACACTAGCAGCGCTGTGTGAGTCGACTATCAGTACCACATGCAGGCTTTGGAACTCTTACGAGAAAATACTAAGCGTACCCACGACTACCACATCGATCATGTCTCCTGTTCTTCTACGCAAATGTATTAGTCATACTACAAAGGATATCTACTAGCACGTCAACATACACGTCGTGGGCTGCATCAACAATCTCCGAGACGCTCGCGGAGGTATTCGAGGGCATGTTTCGGCACCGCGTGCAGAGGACGAGTCGTCGTAGTATAAAGACGAAGTACCAGGTGCGGGGAACAGGAGCCGGGTAGTGTCACTCTTGAGGGCTGAATACCTCACAAAAGCTGCTTTTATCTGTTACTCATGCCGGTCTCCCCACACGCCAGTGGCTTGCGTGTGGTCGCATCATGTTCCAGGTTTGCACTGCAAACCCCAATTGTGGTTTACATTGCGAACCCTAATTTCTGATAGCACAGCTCGGATCCTCAGCCGCAGGGTCGTGTGCGAGCTTCGTTTCTAATGCCCTAAACCGCGCATGGAATACAGATTTCCGGGGGAGTGGTACTCACCTCGGACTTATGGTCGTCAACCTCTAACCCTGTTCTGCAGTATCAACGCGATGCGTGGTAGGCAGTTGCTATGATTCCCAGATTACCAGATATCTATGCAGCTTCTCCGGTACGCCTTGGGTCCAGGAGCCCAGGCGAGCCGCCCTAAGTCTTCCAGATGGCCTAGGTTGGAGGATGGCCTAGCGCGCGCATCGGCTTCGCGCACTTCTTTCTCGCCGCAACCACCACCAGCGTCATGGTGCACCGTATCGCCACCATCTCCAGCGATATCGACTCATGACATGCTCCCGGAGGTCCCGCACCCCGATGCGCGCTCCGCCCAAATAGCCATGCCGCATGCAACCGGCGGCCAACGACCGCGCGCGTAACCGGACATCGAGCTCAGGATCTTCAGCAATCTCTCGGTAGGATGCGCCCCGGTGTCAATAGATGTTGGCTTTGCGTTATGTTCTGCTAAAGATATTTGTAGCACCGGAAACCTGCTACTAACTTCATCGTGCCTGCAGGTGATGGTGATGACGACCTTAGAGCGTTTAACAGAGCGATCTTGCACGACTTGTTCACTACTCGTAGGTGTTCCGCGTGGGACCTGGAGTGAGTGCCAAGGGCAGCGCAAATGGACTTTCAAGCTCTCGGAAGTCATCCGAGCTCGAGGTAGAACCCGTCCTCTGAGACGGATGTCTCCGAAGCAAGCGGAGTGTCTGGTATTAGGGTGGATCCAGAATAGTTGCGGAGAGAGCGCGTCGGACGCGGCTTACAATTCCAAAGATCCAGGGTGCGATCTGTGAAGATGTAAGTGAGCGAGATCCTCATTTTCACAAATAACGTTCGCGAGCTTGAAGAGCGGTATGTGAGGCCTTGAGGAGCGTCGGTCGCATGTACGCGCTGAACGTCGTGGACGCTTGTGAACACTGTAAAGGTAGGTGTCGCGTTGAAAAATATGAAGCTCAAAGGAGGCGACAACGAGCGCGAACGAGACGCGCCTGGAGGGACCTTCATGGGGATGCACTTACGACGGACTTCGAGACAAGTCGGCGCCATACTACAAACAACACCCTGAGTGGAGTTGCTTTGGCCGAGTATAGGATACATATCGAGTACAGTTGACGAAGAACTAGTGAAGATTGTCTGCGTCGAAAGTGATTCGACACGAGGACGAAGGGAAAGAAAGGTCGGGACAACATACCTGCTCCGGGTCTCTAACCTCTCCCCTCAACCGGGACTCAGACTCTACCTAGGCCTAGGACTCTGTCCCTGGCTCAATTTCTTCTTCATTGGGGCACTGCGACGTACTCTCCGAGTCGTATGGTTCTTGGTCGCTGTCGGAGATGGAACGGATAGAGCCAGCGAGAGAGCTGAAGAATCCCGGCACGTTTGTCGATGCCGCCGCCCGACCGGCCTCGCCGAAGTCAAGAGTAGTGAAAGACGAGGCGACGGATGTCACGCCTCCCCTTTCGATGTTTGCATTCGTCTCGTAAAGAGCAAGCAGGAAGCGAGAAACCATAATGGAGCTGATGCTGCAGAGAACGAAGTCAGCTCAATAATGGTTTGGGGCAACGTTAGGTTGGAGATGGCCGTACGGGTCGACGAAGCCGAGGACGTCGAGGGATTCATCCACATCTGTCGTAATCTTCGAGATATGATGTGATTAGCGCCATTACTGACATGCACAGAGACGAACGTACCGAGAGCACGACTGAGATCATATATGCTAGGTTCATGGCGACCAGTATGCTGCGCACGAAACGAGTGTAAGCGCAAGTGCGACTTCGGGACGATGTCGGATGCCCTACAAGAAGTAGAAATTCCCTATGAATTGGGTGGGTCATAACTCATCAGTGCGCACTCCATGCAAACTCGAAAGCATCGGGTGGCCCACCATTCTTCCACAGAATCTGCTCCAGAGAATATCGGCGGGGATTCTGGGACGCCGTGCGGCGAGCAGGGTGTATTCGCCACCAGGTAATGACCACAGCCAGAGTATCCGCGACGATCAAGCAACTTCTCGACGTGAGAACAACTGGTCAACATGTCAACGGGTACCCGCTTGCTCGGCATACGAAGACTTACGCCTAACACATTTCGAGATCAGCGCCAGTCAGATTCACGTCGCGAAACGACTCACGCGGTATAGGTTGTTGTGCTCGTGTTGATTCCAGTGGAGCAGCCGCCCGGAAGGTGCAGATTGATGGGGACGTATTGGTATAACGTGCTCTACGATAGCACAACACATCAGCCAATGCGACGAATAGCGTGGCGAGGAGAGTGCATACCACATTGACTAGGAATGGGCCCATGCTTAGAAGCAATACAAGACCTGCCAGCATCTTGTTTCCCCTCGAGAGCGCATAAACTCTCAAAGTGGTGAAGGCTTGCGTAGTAAGCGTAATGTTAGCATGAGAGACTTCGACACATGAGCCCGATCTTGGTCAATCCACTTACAGGCTGGACCGAGCAAGCTTATGACATACAAGACGTTGTTGAGCCAAAAGAGCGTGGTACAGCTGCTCGGAGAGACAGTGTCAGAATGCTCAGCATGTCTGTCTGCAAAGGCGAGGGTCTACCTCTGAAAGGGATGATGTTAGCTCAGGAAGCGTTGTGCGCATATGGTCTGCGAGTAGCACTCACAGTGTCGGACATGGTGACTGTAAACCCGACACTCATGATGTTATACAGGAAGGGCATGTATCTGTTGAACGTATACAGGACCCGCGAGAGTTTGCGAGAAGTGTTCGGCGATTGCCAGACATATTGGACTTCCTTGTCCATGCATAGAAGCACATCGTATAGCAGCAGCGCTATCAAAATCGCATATCAGTGCCGCACATGGAATTGAAATCGCCGACAGGAAAAGACCAGACGTACTCGCAACTACCACGAAGATAGTGTTGGCGGTTCTCCTGCGCAAATCGAGCTGTCATATACCGCGTATGATCGAATATCATGGAGACTTACAAGCCCTCATATGCAGCAGAGATCTCTACACTGCTTGCGGACGCGGCAGAAGACATTTCTCGGCCTCAGAAGTAGTGAGGCGGGCAAGTAGCACGCAAGGGACAGGGTGAGTGTGAGGAAGGAGCGCAGGCTGCTTGGGTGGGGTCGTTCCCCCAAGGCGTCCGCGTCAATCGTGACAGCGCCCCGTTTTGTATGGCACGCCCGTAAATCTCGGCACAAGTCTTGCAAATCGTCGTATCGCGACGCTGCGTGTTCGAGCCGTGAATCCCGAGGCGTTTTCATCAATAGGGTGACGTGCGTGCGACGCTGCGAGCAGTGCGTCCTGTTCACGCAGTGGGTACGGAGCGGAATGTGCATCCCCAGGCTATGAAACACCGTCAAGTGACCACTGTATCAGGGCATCAGAAGGACGCTTGCATCAAGAGCGTAGTCACTTACAACATTATTCTATACTCGAAGGCGTCGCACTCCTCCTCGATCATCCCTCGCAACCAGCGTATGTCGCTTTTGCAAGCTGCGCCTTGCGGTGAAGAAGTTGGCGACTACATTGCGCGATATGCCAGACACCCCTCCTCGCCGTTATGTCTGGAGGAAAGCCGGAAAGGTATGCCGTTTACTTCCGACTCCCACACTCGGCGTCCGTAGACATCTTCTTGACGTCAGGCGCTGATGCTGCTTCGCACACTTCTCTGCCACGCCCACCAATGCCATCATGTGCGCCAACACCGCCTCCGAGAACAGCTCCCGCACGCCCGCAGCCCGTGTATCCTGTGCGCGCGGAGCGCTATGGTTAATGATGGTGTGTAGCAGATGGGGAGCAGTCGCGCAGGGGGCACCGAATGATTGAGTAGAGCCCAGTGTCGTGCATCCGATGCTGTGATCGTTTTTGTGATGCGCAGCAGGGGACCCACGCTTCGCAGCACGACGTAATCTCGGGGAAGGACTGAACAGCTCGAAAACGGCGACTGGCCTGCCCCGCAAGCGGTCATCCTCGAGCGGCATAAGCTGGAGTTGGTCCGGTTCGCAAGAAAGGATGGGTTGAACGTGAAGAGGTAGCATATGGAAAATGGTTACGAGGGCAGAACCCAGATAGAAACTGTGGCCATGTCATACTCGCAGCTTCCTAAGCAGGAATGTGCAACACGTTGACGCGAGCCGAAACACAACTCCGGGATCATGCGAGCGCGCCTATGACTAGCGCAGTGGGGGTGGAAAAATCGTCGACAGCGCCGACGAGCGGGATATTCATGCGCTCAAAAGGTATACTTAGCAAGAGGAGTCAGACGAGTTCCGCGCGTATGCAATTGCGACGCACCTTTGGGAGTCTTGCACGATCATGTGTTCTACCGGCGGCTGATACAGGATTCGGGGTCCTGTCGAAACTCCCAGTAACCTGACGCGTACGTTGTAACCGCCAGGCTGTGGCAAGATGCAAGCGCGGTACAGGCTGCGTGCGATGAGAGGAAACGCGCTCGGAGGCGCGAGGTCCAAGTAGCCGTGACCGGCCCAAGCTTGTCGACGGGGATAGATGTGGACAGATTGTGGCTCTGCGAAGCTAGAACATATCCCACCGTGCCACTGGGGGAACGCGTATGCTCAGCCAAGTAAACATATGTTGACGTCCAGAAAGACTCACCGTCGGAGAGGGATGCGCGCTTGGGTCTTCCGAGAACGCCGCTTGAGCGCGCTAGGTATCTGAAGCATGAACTTGTCGGGGCGCAAGGCGTTTGAGGTAAGGGCAAGCCTCTAGCAGTCAAACACTCTATTCGATATGCGGATTTGAGGCCTCAGTGCCTTGTAGTTCCGAAAGCTGTAGAACGCTGCGGTTTAGGAGGCGGAGGAAGGGATCGAAGGAGAAAACACACGGCATCGCCCATGTGGAGCTCACAGCTCCCCCGCACGACTCTCGCGCGTGGCCGGACGTCGAGTGAGCACTCGTATTCAACATCGTAGATAAGCGTACAACCCGCCCTGCGCACCATCGCAGCTATCCGCAGCATGCTGAAAGCTCGCTGCCAGGGCTCACCGTATCATGCGGCGATAGCAACAGCGAGCTCTACGACGCGCAACGACCCGGCCCAAACCGGGGTACATCCAGAAAACGCGTGGAGGTAGGGCCGATGCTACTTTGGAACGGGCTGAAGCGCGGCCGGTGAAGACGTACGTGAGTTCTGCCTTGAGCGCGGAGAGTCCAGTCTGGGATTTGGTGCAGCGTCTCGGACAAAAATACCGAGTGCATGAGCGACACCCCCATTTGCTCCAGCTGCGTTGTATGTCAGACATGAGCTGTTGTAGAAGAAAGAAAAAGGGGCGAACAGGGAATTGCCGACAAAAAGCATGTCGAGGAGCACAGGTCGAGCTTGCTGTTCTTCGAATTGAACTCCTAGCGTGATGCGATAGTACAATCCATTCAAGCTTGAAACATCTACCAAGATATAACGCACACTCATCGTGCGAGCCCTGTCTTGACGTGCCTGAACTGGAGAAGTGGTAGCAATGCTCACCATAGCCTGGACGAGCCGTAGCCACGCGAGCGGATACATTGCTCCTCTGAAGCTTGAGGTGAAGACTAGAGCACGTGTGTGATAACCAACTCATTGGGAGTTGTCAGTGAACAGGGATATCATTGGAAATCCGCTGACAACGGACTATCGCAGAGGTTGTCGTCCGGGGCCACGCAGTAGAAAAGGGTAAGAGCATGCGCGTACCGGCGTACTGATGTGGCATGTCGCAGCACGAGCATGTGTCAAAGTCTGCATGCATATCTGTTATGTCCCCCGTAGCAAATAGAGCGTAAGTCAGGTGTAGGCTTCGAGTGTCGGATTCGCACACCAGAGATGGAGGAAACGCAGCAGCCAGAGTGTTTCTCGGAGTCCGTGAAGTGCGTAATTTTCGAGTAGCGAGTACCAGGAAGAAGCAAGAGCAGCTGATCTAAGACAAGAATTGAGAAGCCCCAGTAGTCTGCATCGCCAGCACAGTCCCGTCGACGTGGTATGCGGGCAAGCGGAGGGACGACAGAGACACGCGATACTGAACGCTTCGGCAAATGCCGGATTTCAAGCGCCCGCTAGCTGGTACCGGGCGCCTAACCTGTTCTCTCACCTCGATATCGATCGAGATGCTCTTCCTCGCTGTCTCTCCTCCCACGTCCTCGCTCTTCGTGTTGCATGACTTCAGCTCAAAAACGGCACACATGTAGAACTAGCTCGTCATTGCAGTGACCGGCGCGCACGGGTAAGCATTTCAGCGTCCAGACAGCAGAGCACCCAACCGAAGCCTTCTCAGCGGGGTGGGGTTCGGGATATGTCACCGCCTCCTCGTCTAGCTCTCCTCTTGCCATCTTTTGAAACGTGCATCCCTACTCCGAGCAGGAGGAGGCGCAGGGTCTGGAGCGGACGCAGGAGTGAAGATCGTCATGGCGTGCCGCGACACGAAGCGCGCGCAGGACGCGAGGGAGAAGCTCTACCGCCCACTAGACAAGCATATCGCAACGTACAGGCAAGGAACGGAAGATCACGGATACGTGGTCGCGGAGAAGCGTATGACACGACAAGAGCGTACAGGACTTTGGTAAGCCGTAGATGTTCACATGGCCGCTTGCTGAATGTATCTGCCCCACCGCATGCTGACTCCACCCCCAGTATCGCTCGAGCCCGCGTCAACATCAAACGTCGCGGCGCCCAACGGCGAGTTCCACCATTATATTGTCAGCCCAGGCATCACTGCCATGAACATGAATACGTTGCCCAACATTTCCATACCTGGCTACCGCTACCTCATGCTCGCCTCATTCTACGTTGTACGCATACGCTTTAGCTCCTCATTGATATTCGCTGACATCTAAACAAGTGCGCTTTATCGGCTCGCCTCACGTCCTCCTGTCGCTACAGCGCAGCCGTTGCGGCAGTCTACCTCGCACTGATCCCGCACTTCGCGATTCCGACACCGCGCGACACCGTGCACGTCCCGCCCGAGGATATCCCCTGGTCAAGCTGGCACTCGTACTTCGGTAAGTTCACGAGGGACGCGGCGCCCCCGCGTGTGCTCACGCTCCGCTTTGGGTCTGAGAACGACGGGTGGGTGAACGGCTGCCCTAGGGCGATGGCGATGCCGGTGTGGGACGAGCACCAGTGGGCGAGTGCGCAGCTGCTGGAGCGCTTCAAGCGACTGTACCAGGTTTCCGTGCTGAAGAAAGCAGAGGGCGTGAGCGACACGGCCGCGAACGAGCACGCTGAGTGATGACTATGTGTAGGTTGGGCGTTTTACATGGTAGGCAACCCCCTGTGTATATTACATTCCGGTGATACTTTTGCGCCTCTAGGAGATGCAGTGATTGGAAGGTTCTGTTGCGTGGAGTTTTAGATATCCAAGGATAATTAATGCCTGCACTGGTGACTTGAAGATATGTGGTAAGAAGGAAAGCAGAATGTCAACGAAGTTACGTCGACGCCGCCGTGAGATAACCTTTACTCGTGCGTGTGTTCCTTCTTCGCGCGTCACTATGATGTGTCGCGCTGCGGCCGAGCATGCTGATGTCCCCAAGGTGAGTACAACTCCCGCCCATGCGTAGTCGTGTGTTGTTAATTGAACGTGCACATCCAGGAGTGGATCGCGCGGGCGCTCGCGTCTTGGGACGTAGCTCGTTTCAAAGCGACCACAGACTGTGTTCGTACAGTCCATGTTAGGGGCTATCAATACACGTGTACGTACGTGAATAACCCGTAGCTGCAGATCAGTATGACGCCTGCTGGCATACACAGCACAGCGGTGGACACTACACACTCTCAACGAGTCGCCACACCACCTCCTTCAGCGCGCTGCATCCTCTTCATCGTGGTAGTTGCTGAAGATTTTTGTACTCAAGTATGGGCCCGGTGGCGTTGTCGTACTGGGATAGTAGCAAGTTCTAGTTGGCTGTGGTCAGTGGCGGGCCTAACGTTTCTGGATCGGCAACTCGGCGCCGGGCGCCAATGATGGCTAGAACCGGTTAGCGCCGAGGTCGTGGCTCAGTGGCGTGCACCGCGACGAGCAACCTCAAACACACGGCGACCGCTGAACGCTCACATTTCATATCTTGCTTCAAAAGTGACTGGAGCCGTAAGTGCTTCCCATACATCAGCGCTTTCTCCAGCCGTGAAAAAGTGAGCCAACTTGGCCTCGCAGTCGGAATCCATTTTTCGATCTCGCTGACCAGGAACTACCTAGATTTATCGTGCACGAACCTTAGGACAGAGGGTTTTCTTTGCTGTACACTACATTTCGGCGAAGGTAGCTATACGAGCCACTACTCCCAACCCGCGTCGCTATCTGAACACCGAAAAGTGCGTCCAGGAAGATCTACCAGCCATAGATCGTCAAAAGGCCACACCCATTCTTCCTCCATCGGTGAGTTCATGGATCGCTGGATCTGTCCAGAAGAGACTATTGCTGACGGTAAGCTCCGACCGCTCCATCATTATACATTGCATGACCTGTGATCGGCGCTTGGGCATCTCTCTCTCTGCCTCTTTTATTCATCTTAGAAACCTCCCCGAACAGAGCCAGAACTCGAGCGCAAGTGCAGGACTATAAAAGATGTCCGTCTCAACATGCTCCTATTGCAACTCTTCTGCATACTACTCAGGTATGGCTACTAAGTCCACCACCCGATTCGTCAAGAGCCAACACGTAGTCCGCTGCGATGCAGACGTGAAACAGTCGAGCGCCGTTGCCAAGGACGCCTGGTCCAGCGAGCTCAGCGGACGTATCCACACCTACGGCGACACCGCCAACAAGTTCATCGACACACTCCTCCCTTGCTCCATGCCCTACACGCCAGATGGCAACATACAGAATGTGTTCGACGCCTACGCCCCCGGGCCAGGGAGAGAGAGACTGGAATATAACAACCTGGTACGCACTAGCCACACGCCGCTGCGCTTTCCGCTCTGACGAGCGCCCCAGGTAAAGGGACTCTCAAAGCTCGTCAAGCCCTTCCCAGCTGAAACGAGGCCCGAATTTGTCAACACATACAAGCAACAACTGAAGTTCCCCTACAGAGATTTCGTCACCCATCATCACCCTACGGCGCCCGACATTTCAGTCTCGTTCCCAGGAAAGCCTTTGAGCAGACCCTCGTCATGGCGATCCATCTCTACGGTCATCGAGAGCAAGAGCGAGGCCACCCATGACCCGTTCATCCGGGACGGGCAGTCGCACACCGAGACGATCGAGCAGCTCGCGAAGAACGCGCGAAATCTCATGCTTACTCACGGACTGCTCGCGGCATTCGTCGTCGGCATTTACGGGAACACCGTCCGCCTCGTACGCTTCGACCACACATGCGCGCTCGTCTCCATGCCGTTCAACATCAAGAAGGACGGTCCAAGGCTGCTGCAGAAGTTCTATTGGCACTTCACCCACCCCGTCGTCGGCGCGCACATTGTCGGAAACGACCCAACGGTGATGAGCTTCACCAGTGCAGATGAAGAATGGGTGAGGAGCGAGCTAAAGAAGGCACGGGTATTGCATTGGCAGGTGCGCGTCGCCGAGATCTCCAAAGGACGACGCGTTGAGGTCTACGACGAAGCGACTGGTCGCTGCATTCCCTACCTGCTCTACCAGGTGGTCGATGTGAACGGACGGTTGTTCTCACGTTCGACGATGGTCTGGAGGGCAATCGAGGACACCCGCATCTGGAAGAACGGCCAGCTGGAACCAGATCCTTCGTGCATTACTCCTGTCAAACCACGGATCATGAAGGAAGCGTGGAGACAGCTAGTCCGGACGGCGGAAGCGAAGTTCTACCAACGGTTGCAGCGCGATATCGATGAAGAGGACTGGCATGGCCTCGCCACCATGGTGTGTGGCGGCGATCTTGGTGAGTTCGAGGTGCGGTGGTGGAAGGAAACGGAGCGCCGTCGCAAAGATGCAGCGGGGGAATCAAGCCTGAGTGACGCGGAGCGTGTCGAGGATGTGCCAGAGCCAGGACCATCTAACCCAGGATCTGCTTCGCGACTATTCTCTTCCATCGGCAGTGCGACATCTCCATCAGCATCGAGCATCGACTCTCCAGGCGATTATGTTCCGAGCACGGACTTTCCGCTCCCACATACACAGCACCAGACGTATTCTTGGCGACTCATCTTCAACGACAAGAAGAGGAAGAAAGAAGAGACCGAGGAGCTTTGGCATCGGGAGCGCAGCCATATGCGCATAGTGATCGACGACGTAGGACGGCCACTCACAGCGTTCAAGTCCACTCGCGAGCTTGTCTGCGCCGTACGTGATGCCATTCGGGGTGAGTCGCGTGTTAGCCTCGCTGTTGAGTCCTTATACTAATCATACTCTAGGTCATCAGCTAGCATGGGAGAAGGCGCGCGTTTTGCATCGCGACGTCAGCGTCGGGAATATCCTGATCGCAGACGAGCTGCGACCCGGACAGCCTGAGCCTAAGAAGAAGCAAACTGGGTTTCTGCATGATTACGACTACAGCGCGATGGAAGCCGACCCTTCTGAGGCGGACGATGATGCTTCTGCCCCCTTATCTTCGTCCTCTCCACAGTCCGATGGAAACCATACCGAGACGACTGATCCTGATGATCCCGCTCAATTCAAGGAACGCACGGTAGGTTGTCTCTGAATGCCTTTTCTTCACATCAACTGATGACTTGCTCAGGGGACCTATTACTTCATGGCGTGCGAACTCCTCGAGGTTCCAGGAATTATCCACAGGGCCCACCACGACCTGGAATCGTTTTACTGGGTCTTACTATGGGTTATTGTCCGCCACACGAACCATGGTGATTCGAATGGCAAAGCACTGTGCAAACTGATATTCCAGTTTGGGAACGACAAACTCAGTGCGCGCGCGAAGAAGGGGTGGGTCGACAGCCCGGAGGCGAAGCTCAATATTGTGCGCAACAAGCCACTGTCCCACCTCATCGCAGGCTTCAACAAGCTTGTTCTTTACCACCTTCCTACGGAGCGCGATGATACCATCCGACGGCCCCTCGACTATGAGTCTGTGTTGAAGGTCTTCGACGAGGCTATTGCAATGCCGGGCTGGCCTGACAACGACTGGATACCTTGCACCTTGCTTAAGGGCGACAACCGGACCGGGATGGCCCCTGTCCGCGACCAGAAGGAGGAAAAACCGCAAGGCGTTGTTACAGCCCCCTTCCCCGGCACCGCGACAGCCGCCGCCACCGGACGGCAGCCTGCTAGACAGGTGCACTTCGCTATGCTCCCTCCCCTCCCCACTCACCCGGGTATCCCTGCGCCGCGAACGTATCATGGCGAGCCTCAGCAACCCTTCCGCGATCCTTCCAAGAAGCGCTCGCACGCTGTTGTGGAGGGATCTTCGGAGCTCGACTCGCGTGGCAATGCACGGACGTCCCAGGGCCATTCGAGGGGTAGTATCAAGCGGCCGAAGACGAGCGAAAAAATGGGACCAGTGACGAGATCACGGTCGCGAGAGGCGTCGCAAGCGGCGACGCAATCGTCTGAATCGGTGCGGCGAAGTGCGCGGATACAGGAGAAGAGGCTGGCTTCTGGGGAGGCATAGGCTGGAGTTCGAAGAAAGGTTGTTGCCGGCGGAGTCGAGATTAGAGCGAGTGTTTCATGGATGCTTCTGTCACGGGTTTCTCTGGTTGTGTCTGTATAAACTAGTGGATTTGGATTTGGATCTGTATCTCATTTTCATTCTCTGCGTTCCGCCATGATTACAGCGTGTCTCGTACCGTCCTCAAGTTGGCTTCACTGATGAAGCTACGCTCATTAGAACACCACACGCTCGAGGGCGCGCATTTACGGGTCAATATCGTGGCATGCCCTTACTTGGGCGGCGCTACCGATACTTCCGCGCTGGCCGCTGCTTGCACAGTGGTTCGGCGCGGAGGAAATCTGGTATAAGGTATGCGGGCATGATGAGTATCTGGATTCAACTCGCGTGCACGCCTCCCGCCGTCCGTGTACATCTCGAAGCACTCATGGCCCTAATCTATTCCCGAAAGAGTCATCAAGCTCCTGAAGTATTAGTATTAGGAGCACAGTAGAGTGCATAGGCCGACGTCACCTCGACGACGACATGACTGGAACTATGAAAGGTAGTCTAGCCTCAAAAACAGTTATTTTGATGGAGCGCGGGTGCAAAGGGAAGAAACACGCTCACACTGAACTTCCGACCTATCCATCAGACACCTCCGCCGCTTCCGCTACCCAATGCATGCCTACTTCCTCCTCACCCTCCGACAGCGGCGCTGGCGCCGAATCCAATATTTCCAGTTCACCGTCGGGGATGGACTGGATCGGCCCCCCGAGAGAGTGAAGGAAGTCTGGGAGCTCCGGAGATCCCGCTTGCCCCAGATCGATCCTTCCCATGCCAGCAGAAAACGACGAGAACGACGAGGCCCCCCTCTCAAGTTTGGCATTCGTCTCATACAGGGCCAGCAGAAAGCGGCTATTCAATATCGCGCTGATGCTGTAGAGGACCAGGTTAGCGTGATTATGTCTGAGTAGACAACATATGAAAGACGGCCTTACGGGTCGATGAAGTAGATCACATAGAATGCTTCATCTGATAGCGCTGCCATCTGTGAGTGAAGATAATGTATCATGATCGAATGGGGCGCACTTAAGATCTAGCTCACCGGCGGCGATAATACGACAAGAATGATATGCACTATGTTCAGGGAAACTAGTACCCTGTGCACGGAAATAGTATAAGCGTAAGTACGATTCCGAGAAGACAGATGTCCTACAGAAAGTAGATGTTCCCTATAGATCGGGTGGTCCATTATATATCAACACAGAAATCTCCAGTACCTGAAGAAACACATAGGCTCACCATTTTCCCAAAGCACTTCTTCGAGTGACGACCGACGGGGAATACAAGATGACGTCTTGCGGGCAGCATGTGTGCGCCGCCAAGTCACGACCAGAGCCACGACGTCTGCGAGGATTAAGCACGCTCTGGACGTGACGACTGCTGTACGGGAAGGTTAGTGATCACATAATTGCTCTGCATCGTGCTAGAACGTACTCCTGCCGAATGACGAGATTAGCGTCAGTCGAATTCCGCAAACTGAATAGCTCACGCAATATATGTTGTTACACTTGCCGCATATGCAATCGAACAGCCGAATGGCGGGGGTGAATTTACAGGCACATCCTGGTATAATGTGCACTGTGGTCGCGCGGCGCGTCAGCTCATGTGGGGTCTCAAATAGTAATGAGATGACGAACCACATTGACAAGGAACGGGCCCATACTCAGCAGGAGTACAACTCCGGTCAATATCTTGTGTTGTCCAGAGAGTGCATAAACCCTCAGCGTCGTGAATGCTTGCATATTAAGTACAGCGTGAGTGAGCTTGGCCTCATATAAACGTGTTCAGTCAATCCACTCACAGGCAGGACCAAGTAGTGTTAACACCTCCAAAACATCGATAGCCCGACTGAATGCGGCGCAACTATTCGGTGGTATAGCATTATGAGTGCACAGGATGTACACCCGCAAAGATAGATGTTTACCTCTGGAGGAAATCTATGGTTCAGAATGCTTTATTCATATATCAATCATGAAGAGCACTCACCGAGTCCGAAAAAGTACCGACCAACGCAAGGGTCAGGATATTCCATATGACGGACATGTACCTGTTGTACATGTAGAGGATCCGCGAGACCCTGCGAGATGTTTTCGGCGATCCCCAGACATAATTGACTTCTTTGTCTATGCAAAGAACTGTGTCGAACAACAACAGCGCTGCCGGATAACACATCAGTACCGCATACAGCCTGCGAAAAGCTCCGAGAAGCACAAAACGTACTTGTAGCCGCCACAGTGAGAGCGTAGCTTGTCCTCCTATATAGCTACATCAGTTCTATGTCAAATCATCGGCATTGCCATGCGAACTTACGTTTCCTGAGAGAGATATGTAAGTTCTGCAATGATGTCCGGAGATACGGAGGAAGACATGTTTGCACGCGCGTGGAGGGCTAGTCGCGATCGGAGGATGGAGCGAATGCCAACTCGAGGGAGAAAACGGGGTCGTCGCTATTTTAGAGCTGTAACTTAGCATTGGTGGCTCGTCATATAAGCTCCCCAAAACATGCTTTGTGAATTGCTGTACCACGTTGAGCCCGAACCTTTGCACCGCGAGGCCGTTTGTGGATGTAAGTAGCTCCATCACGCACCTGAGGTGAACGCGATAATCTGAGTGCCTTCTCCGCTCATACCAGTATACCGAAAGCGGATCTCCCGCCAGACTCGCCGCAGTATATCAGGGCGTCGCAATTGCAGCCGAACTTGCTCTAGGGCAAAGTAGAAGTACTCACCGACATCATCGCATGGACGCTATGGGAAGGATTCCGAAGTCTGGCAGAGATCAGGACCCATTCCTGCCAACTATACAGTCCACCAAGAGGTTATTTGGTTTTGATACCATATGGAGAGATCGTTTGAACGTGTGCATGCCTTCGCAGATCCCCCAGCATGCGGGCGATCCACTAACGCTTCCACAAAGTGAGATGCCAGCCATTGCAATCGCCGCCCGGAGCCGTGCCAGGCCGATTTGTACTGCCCCAAATCGCAACCGCGCTGTATGATTGTCGAGTAACTCGGGGTGGCTCAATGCAAGGATGGAGCCAGGAGGGAATCGAAAGAGTTCTTGTGCCACAGCTTGTGGTTCGGGCGCTTTGCATGCGTAGTTAAGTTCCACGTGGTACGGCCCTCCTACTGCGGTGTATGTGAAGCAGCTGAATGCCTTTCGTTATTCTCTCCATATATCCATCGAGGGAGATATGCGGGGTGGCGCAGACGGGAACCTACATGCGCATACGGGCCGAACTGATTCCATACCACCAAGTTCGACTGCGTGTACCAGTGATTGCTCGACGACGATCCATCGGTATGGCGCATAGACACATAATCATCATCGCAACCCTAAATAGGACAGCTTCGCCACCGCCCGCATTATTTCCGCGCTCTTCTCTGCCATGGCCAACCGCATGCGCCATAGTCTGCGCCGCCACAACATCTGGGAACAACCGCAGTCCGCATACGTCGTGCACGCGCAACCCCGCAGTGTTCACCACGCTCAGTCGTGCCCCATGTGCCTCTGCGTCCGTGCGATACGTCAATGTGTAGCGAGGGCAGTCGCGCAGAATCTTACTGATACACCTCGAGCGAGCTGTTGTCGCGGCCGTCCGGCACAATGAACACCTGAAGCGGGTACCCCGTGTGCAAGATTTCCTCGGCGACCCGCAGCGCAAGTTGGATCCCCCTTCCTGAGTGGCCTGAGTGGGACACAGTCTGTGGGACGGGTGAGCAATCCGAGCTCGAGTCACCGTCTGGTCGCCCGCGCGGGTGGTTCACCGCCAGTCATACACGGCCCCCGGACTTGAATACGTTGGGAGGAGCATGAAGACACTCACGCCAAGTACGTCCGTGCCCGTGCAGTCCTTCGCGAGCGCCATGCACTCGAGGTAGGGCAAATTTGCAGGCACCGGAGGTCAAGCGCGAAGATGCGGCATTACACATGCACCCACTCTGAGTCTCCAACCTTTCCGCTCGGTGACTCCTCCACCGCCGCCTCCGCTCCCATCTCTTCTGCTTCGACTTTGCGCCATGGTTTTGCGTAGGAGTCAAACATCTCGGATCCATCGTCGGGGATGGAGCAGATCGGACCTGCGAGAGTGCTGAGCAGTTCCGGGAACCCCGATGGAGCCTCGGGATTGGCCCCGCGGAAGTCGACCGTCGAGCCCGAGAAAGAGGACGTGGATGCACATCCCTTTTCCATGCGCGCATTCGTTTCGTAGAGGGCCAGCAAGAAGCGCGAGTTTGAGGTCGAGCTGATGCTAAAGAGAGCAGAGTGAGTTCGACGAGGATATTAAACAGGAGATGGTCATACGGGTCTATGAAGCAGAGGGCATCGAGTCCCTGACTCCCGTCCGTCATGATCTGAGAGTGAGGGCAATATTTAGCCATGGCTGGCAGTCGCGTGGAATAAACATACCGATAGCAGGACGAAGATCATATACGCTATGTTCATGGCGACTAAAGAGCTAGGATCGAAGCTTGTCTGAGCGCAAGTGCGGTGTCTGAACGGGAGAAGTCCTACCAGAAATATATGTTTCCTGTGGGTTGAATAGTCCCGAACGCGATTCAAAGTTAACGCTTAGATAATGAACACTGCCGGGATCATGTTTGCTTACCGTTCGCCCACAGAATCTGTTCTAGAGAAGATCCCCCAAACATACTCGATGTCCGGCAGGCCGTATGTGTGCGTCGCCAGGTGACGACCACTGCCACCAGATCCGCCAGTATCAAGCAAGTTCTCGATGCGACGACCGCTATGCAGGCGAGTTAGTGGGTATCTGCTTTTTGCACATGGCAAGACTTACTCCTGCGAAATGGCAGGATTAGTGTCGGTCAGTTTCATGTACAAAAGTCGTAGCTCACCCAATATAGCCTGTTACACTTGTGTCTTGAACACCGAGCATTGTACAGTTGTACAGTGGGGGCAGGTTGATGGGAGCAGTTTGGTACAACGTGCACTAGAACAGTACTCTGGATCAGCGAACGTAACGAACGATACAGTAAAAAATAACCTACCACGTTGACGAGGAACGGGCCCATGCTCAACGCGAGTACGATACCTGTCAACATCTTGTTCCTTCCCGAGAGCGCATAGACTCTCAGTGTGGTGAATGCTTGCACGATGTCGAAGTGAGCGAGGCTGAATCATATAGGCTTGCGTTGGAAAGATACTTACAGGCAGGGCCTAGTAGAGCCAGGACATCGAGGATAGCCCGGGACCAGTATAGCGTATTACAGCTGCTCAGAGGTACGGTGTTAGAAGCGCACGGAATGTGAAAGGACAAGTGCTTACGTCTGAAGAGAAATGACTGATTCAGAGCGCGTTGAAGTTCGACGTTGTTAAAAGTACTCACATTATCCGAGACAGCACCGATCAATACGGCGTTTAGGATGTTCCAGAGCATGGACATATACCTGTTGTATATGTACAGCACCCGCGAGAGCTTGCGAAAGCCCGAAGCCGAGGCCCGCCAGACATACTGGACTTCCTGATCCATGCAGAGAAGCGCATCATACACGAGCAGTACTATTTGAATCGCGTATCAGTACCACTTTGAGGGTTCAGAACGTCTGTAAGGAAGGATGAAACGTACCTGCGATTGCCATATAGATGGAGTTGAACGTCCTCCTATGCAGATACATATGTCAGAGACTCCAGGCGGATTCGCATCTGCAAACGTACATGACTTGGTATATTGCGGCGATACCTGCGATGCCCACAGAGATAGACGAATACATGTCTCGGCGGCGGCGACAGGAGCACAGGGTAGTTGGAGTGGGCGGAGAGGGCGCGGGGAACGAGAGCCAAGTCGCGTCGCAGCCTTTAATCTTAAAAGCTGGAAGCTGTAGTGCTTCGACAGCCGGTAGGGATGATGGAACGGTGCACCGCCGACTAGATATATCCTCAGAACGCTTCTTTGCCTGTCATCGAACATGGAGCATACCTGCCACCGCTTGCACAGTGGGGGCGCATCAGCTCGATGGAGTTCAGGAGCGTTCATGGTGTCATATTTCGAGTTTCTGCCATACTCGCAACATGATCGCGTGATCTCGCGGCCGTATAGCTGAGTCTGCAGAAAAATCGGAGCGCAGAGACGGATCTGCCGCAAATTGAAGAGATGGCGACCAAGATTATCTGCGCAGCTTCTTGACTGAGTTGTACATCTTCATTGCGGTAAGACGCAAGCGATCATCCGGAAGACCACCGCCAGCCCAACTTCAGAACTTCGCCGCTACCCGGCATCGCCTTCTCACACTGGTCCGTCAAGACCGCCGGCTCTATCATATGCGGAGCGTCACCACGGCAGACGCCGATATGTCTCACAGCTGCAAATCTCTCGACACCACGCGCACCCATAGTACAGCATGATAATGAACCCATTCGGACATGCACCGTCATGCGCTGATCCCGTGTCGACGTGCAGCGGAAGCCATTGCACAGGTTCTTCCTAAAATTGCCTTCTCCGCATCGCCGTCGAGCACTTCTCACGGTAAGACTCAAAGGTTCTCTAGTCCACCGGAGGGCCCATATTGGAGGTGCCGCCACGCGGGCCACATCTGGAGCATCGAGAAGAGGCAAAAGAGGTACTCACCGAGATATCCGCGCCCGTGAAGCATGCGCGAGCGACGCGAGATCGAAGGCGATCCAGTATGCGGGGAAGAAGGGACCCGGTGGCTTAATGCCGGAGAGGCGGTCCAGCAAGCGCCGCGAAGCAAGGCGCCCAACGCTTCCATGCTTCAAATTTGAAGCGTACCGTCCGGGAAGGGGCTGTGTTGGCTGAATGTGCAGTCAAATGCGGCCGTATTCGAGAGACATCGCTGTTCATCCAGCCGGTTCAAGGACGCCAGTGGGCATGGTGCAAACGGAGACCTACTAGACAGGACGAAATTTGCATGGCAAGCGCATACAGTGTCTGCGCAGGAGGTCAGGCATCTGTGCGTGCAGAAAGAGCGAGTACTTGGGAGACCTAAACCCTGAAGAGATGTCTCAAGAAGCAACATAGCAGCGGAGTGCTGGTCTGTACTGGTAGGAAGAGAGCCAAGCCGATTGAGGCCGAGCGCTGGCCTACCAAACGTCTCGGCAGATACCGGAAGCTGACAGGCGCTCGGACCCGAACCAACGCAGTCAGCGCTCACTGCACCGGCGCCATCTCTCTCTGGACCATGCAGAACTGATATTTGAGGCTTCTGGTATTGAAGAGTTCCCCGCCGGAGTACTGAGGTACCAGACACCGTCTGCGTTCAAGACACAAGTTCATGGTCGCTAGTATGGGTTTCTCATGCAACTCGGTCGTGCGTAACGCATGGTCTCTCGGCATCCTTTTGAAACGAATCTTACGTCGTCTGGATTATAGGACAAGGCGAGAATTCTGCTTAAGGCCGCTAAAATTGTAGGCTTCATCTCGCCTGCCTGCACGCGATCATCGACGGCATTCGAGTTCTATGACGGGCTCGCGATGCAACCAAGGAGCTCTGGCGCGCCCGAAACTGGCGCTTTCCATAAGCGATTCTTATTAGCTTCCATACGTCTACCCTGCTGCGATTGAGACTCGAAGCAGACGCAGTGCAAGGACAAGTGCCTGCTGCCGATCCGCAGGATACGCTTTCCATAGCACTCAAAAACGTCGCGCAGATGTCCTTTAGGTGTCTTTCCTCGCTACAAGTGAGTAAGTGTATCTATTATGTCTTCGCGGAGATTAACATTAACATAAGAGGTGTGCTTCAACTACTCTCGCGGCTGGAGCCAGCTGAGACCTTCACAGTCCAGACGCTGTATCGCACGGAGGAATATCCTAGTGAGAGATCCTTCAAACTTGTGCGACCGGTGCAGCATACGCTCAACATGAAGACCATTCCTTACCTCCAGGTACCCATGGTGAAGGGATGGAGAGTACGTATTTCACTGCTAGTCATGTTCTCCCTGAGGCTACATTCAGTGTAATAGAGGAGGTATGCGAACCGCAAGGCCGATAGGCCGCGCGAAAACTCGGAGTGTCCAAAGTAGGAGCTCTCAAAACATCGCATCTCCACCTTCATAGCTTCTCTGCCGCCCGCATCAACCTCGCACATTTCTACGCCACGACTGTCGCAGGCGCCATCGTATGCGTCGCCGCTACCTCCGAGAGCGCTGAGGTGTCACACACGTGCAGCTCCCGCGCCCCGTGTACGCGGCGCAGAGCCGTGTCTACGACGCTCGGCCTTGACCCGTGCGCCTCGCGCCCATGCGGCACGTCGACGTGTAATGGAAACGACCGCGCATGTTCTTCCTGAGGAAAGTCTGTCGCCGTTGAGTACGATAAGCTCCTGCAATGATTAAATATTAACCACGCAGGACGACTACCCCCCTCGGCCAGCGCGAGGCGTACACCTTTGCATAGTGGGATGTAGTCTGCAGGGTCGTATTCAATGCTCTTGGTCGGTCTTCGGAATCGGACGTCACTCCGATCGTACGTACCTACGTGCATCAGACTCTCCATTCCGGCACAGCTTGATAGAATTTGGTGTGTTCTGTGGCTCGCACGAGGCATTCAGCATATATACAACGTCAATTATGAGCTAAACGCGTATCGTCCGACCCCCCTCCTCTCAACCACGACCCCTCTGCCTCCGCCTCGGATTCGATCTGTGGTGCAGTACTCGAGTATAACAGATCCGTATCATGGTCAGGAATGAAATAGATTGGGCCTGCGAGAGAGGTGAGGAACTCCGGTAGCTCCGGTGGCCCAGCACGATCCGCTTCGCCGAAATCGAGACTTGAGAGAGACTGGGTTGATGTGCCACCCCTCCTCATAATCGTGTTTGTTTTGTAGAGAGCCAGCAGGAAGCGCGAGTTCAATATCGAGCTGAGGCTGCAGAGGATGGGGTAAGCTCGAAGAAATACGATGGAGCAGTACGTAGTCGACGGGTGCGGGCTTACGGCTCAACAAAGCTGATGATGTCGGTTGCTTCAGTCGCATGTGTTGCACTCTGCATGATAGGACGATGATCAACGGTCAAGGGCGATGACCATTTTGAGACACCGGGGCCGACAGATAATGCGATGGCCATGTCTGCTATGTTCAGGGAGATCATTGTACTATGCACAGAACTAATGTCAGCGCAAGTGAAGTGCAGAAGTAGTAGAAGATGTCATACCAGAAATATATGTTTCCTGTAGATCCGAGGGTAGACCATACTTATATTGTCAGGAGAGAAAACGATGAACGGTTCGTTGAGCTCACCATTCTCCCATAAGATCTGTTGCAAAGAAAGTCGTTGAAGGTGTGTCGACGTTTGACGTGCAGTACGAGTACACCGCCAGGTGACAATGATGGCCATGATGTCTGCGAGAATTATGCAGGTCCTTGACGCGATCACCCCTATTCAGGGCGCGGGTAAGCATTTGTTTGTTTGTATCTTGAGCCTCCTAGAACGTACATCTGCCAATTTCCGAGGTCATTGCCACGAGTTAGATTCGTACACCGGTTATAAGGCTTACGCAATATAAGTCGTTGTATTTGTGACAACGCCATCCAAACATCCGTATGGTAAAGGCAATCGGACGCTCAAATTCTGGTATAATGTCGCCTTTGATCGTACGCTGTGTCAGTACGTGCCGGGTCACGCATAGTAATAAGTCGACATACCGAACCCGCTACGACCGCGCTTATGGTGAGAAGCAGCACAACGCCCGTCAATATTTTGTTTCTCCCCGAGAGTGCATAGACTCTCAAGGTTACGAATGCTGGCGTATGGCGTGAGCTGAACTCGAGCTTTACGTCGTGACCTGATAACCCACTTACAGGCAGGACCGAGCGCGGCAAGCACTCCCACCACGCCTACCAGCCAATGGAGCGGAGTACAGCTGTTGAGCGGCACAGTGTCAGAAGCGGAGATAATGCATACTGGCAAGGACCAGTGCTGACCTCTGCTGCGAATGCGCCTTATTCTGAGTGCATCATGCGGCAATGACTCGGGAGCAAAACTCACTGTGTCCGAAAGGTTGCCGATCGCCCCGAGATACAGGACGTTCCATAGAATTGGTATATACCTGTTGGAGAGGTAAAGGATCTGCGAGAACGTGGGAGGGGCGTTTGGTGACTGCCAGACATATCGGAGCTCTTTTCCTAGGCAAAGAAGCGCATCATACGCGAGCAGCGCTATTCGATTCGCATATTGTTAATGGTCTCTTATATGAAGCGAGAACCTAGCCTGAAGCTTACTCGCAGCCATCACGTTGATGGTGTTCTCTTTCCTCCTGTGCATGCACCGTTAGATCATGTATCCGGAGAAGAGATATGCCATCATTGCACTGACGTTTCCTGATAGGCATAGATAGTCTCTGCAATAGCCATGGGGGTGAATGGGTTAGACATGGCTCGGGGCGCACGAAGGGAGAGTCACAGACGAAGGACGAAGTAGGGGACGAGGGATAAGATCTCAAATTCGACCGCGCCAGACGCTCCGGCGGCAACCCGAACCATACACCACATTCGGATAGGCACAGAAGTTCCCAATATACAAGCTCCCGGAACATCGCTTCTCGCCCCCTCACACCTTCGCCGCCGCGCGCATCAGTGCGGCGCACTTCTCCGCCACAACCACCGCGGGCGCCATCGTATGCGTCGCCACCACTTCCGGAAACACCGATGTGTCGCACACGCGCAGCCCGCGCGTCCCGTGCACGCGTAGCGCCGTGTCCACGACGCTCGGCTGCGACCCGTGAGCCTCCGCACCCATGTGGCACGTCGACGTGTAGTGGAAGCAGTCGCGCAGATTCTTCCGGATGAACGCGTCTATGTCCGAGTCACCGTCGCCGTCGGGCACGATGAGTTCCTGGAGTGGGTACCCCGTGCGCCGGATCTCCTCGGCGACGCGCAGCGCGAGCCGCACGCCCTTCCGGAGTGGGAGGTAGTCAGCTTGGTCCGTGAAGAACCCGAGCTCGATGTCCGGTCGCGCGCGGGGATTGTTCGATGCTAGCCGTACCCGGCCTTGAGACTTGGGCAGGACGAGCGTGGGGAGGAGCGTGAATACGCCCTTTCCGGGGATGTCCGCGTCCGTGCAGTTATTCGCGAGCGGCATGAGCTCGAGGTCGGGCCGGTTCGCAGAGATAGACGCATCGAGTGCGGAGGGGTCGGGCGCGACGATACGGCCAGTATGGTCGTCGAGCAGGCGCGTCGGAATCAAGCTTGTGATGCTCTGGAATGGGCTGGAGAACAGACCGCGACCGGTGACGACGTAGGTGAATGCAGCTTTGAGCGCGGAGAAGATGCTGTTCTCAAGCTGGTGCAGCGAGTCGGACATCGGCACTTGGTACGTGAGCGGAACTCCAATGTGGTCTTGCTGTGCTTGATGTTAGCTACGAGCTGTTGTGATCAACGGTGAATAGACGAACTAGGTGGTTCCCGACCGCGGGCATGTCGAGCACAACAGGCACGTTCTTTTCTTCAAGGTGACCCCTCGGTCCGATGCCACTGAACTCCCCGATCAGCTTCGTCACATAGACGAGTAAACGGCGCACTTACCTCAGCATTAAGATCTGCGGAGACCCCAGCGCGCCAGCCGATAGTACGACTTCACGTCTCGCCTTCGCGTAATACGTGCACTGCGCCTTCCGCGGGTTGGTGGCGGCGATATGCACGCCCCTCGCCCGCACAGTCCCGTCTTCGTCCGCCAAATCGAGTCGCGTCACGATCGTATTCGTGCATATCTTGAGACGCGCCTTGCGGTCCTGCGCGAGGTTGCCCGGGAGGAACGCATGGTATGTCGATGCGCGGCGGAAGCCCTTGTCCTGAATCACGTCGAGCGCGCCCATTACTGCTGCGGAAGCAGCGGGATTATTGAGGTCGTCTGCCCATGGGATGTTTGCACTCTCAAGAGCAGGAATGACTCTGCGGGAGAATATCAGGCTGACACTCAAGGACACGCAAGTGTGGCGCACTTGTCTACTATCTTGTACGGATATGTTTTCCATTGGCGGTTCACCCAAGGTCCTATAGGCAGTAAGGTCAGTAGGCACGCGAATAGTATTGTGACAATCACGTACCTTTCGTTCCGCGAAACTGTGATCCCGGGTGGCTGAGGGTTTCCTCCGACTTCGCAAAGTATGGCTCGAGGTCAGCGTATCCCCAACCGTCGCACCCGAGCTCCTTCCATCGGTTATAATCGCCAGGAGGACCTGAAAGTATGTATCAATCTAAATCTAAAGCAGACGTCGAGACACAATCACATACCCCTCGTGTACAGCAACGCGTTTATCCTCGACGTCCCGCCCAGAGCCTCTCCACGCATGACCTGGATCGCGCGTCCATCGAGCTGGGGCATGGGCTGCGACCACCACGTTGCGGCAAGGGTGCCATTGCGGTACGGGTTCCCAGAGATGAGCGGGATACGCGATGCCCAGGTGTCCGCCACCGGCCCCTGCTCAACCAGGAGCACCGATACGGAGGGATCTTCGCTTAGCCGTGAAGCCAAGACACAGCCAGCAGTGCCACCTAGTGAACGCACATAAGTATATCGCTGCGGAAATGATTTATGGCCGATGATGACTCACCACCAACGACGATGTAGTCATACGTGTATGTCTCCACGGGCACGGCAGGGTTGATAGGGAGAGGAGTGCCCACGTCCTGAGGACGCAGCTCCGGCACGATAGGCATCGTCCGCCTGTACAGGTATTTCAGGAAGTCGAGTTGATAGGGAGACTAGCCGAGGGGCGCAAATGAAGTTCGAGGTTGTGTTCCAGAAATCAAACCGAAAGCCTCAAGGATTTCGGGGCACTTAAAAAGGCTGCATGCAGGACACCTCAGGGGGTGGAGGTGGCGTAGGAACTTGAAGAGGCGGGCCCCTGAGCGTTTTAGCGGCGGATATTCATGCATAATCCGCCGCCATCACGGTCGCTGGGAAGAATTGGTCATGGAAGGATGTAAATTTTGAAATTACTGTGGGCCGTTGCTTGTGTCGCGGGCATCGGGAGTCGACAGGCGGGTATGTGGCGGATGGTAACAGTGTGAGACGGAGTGTTGGGGTCGAGGACTCTTGCAGCCTCTCTAGGTGCTACCGATTTAAAGAGTATGCACATGGGCTATTAGAACGATGTTGGACTGAACAGGGGTCGGCCTCGCAGGAGATATACATCGTGCAGATGAGAAAAAAAGATGATGAGGTGTTGTGGGCGTTGTGGGATGAATCCGGATGATCGGCGCGCGGAACCATATACGGAAGTAGCCGCGGCCGGGTATCAGATCTTCAGATCTTCGTACTGAACGCCGAGCGCTACCTGAGCGCTGAGCCCTCCTGAGCCGCAGCCACCAGGACACAAAATCTGTCAACACCCGCGCGGCCCTACTAGTGTCTCCCATCTTCCGCGCGATTTCAGAAATGGAACGAAATAATATCACAACTCAGCGCAAAGGAGAAACGAGACGGCGACGTGCGTCGCCGCCGCCCCGAGCCAGGCACAACAAGTTGAAGGCCTCCAAATCGCAACTTCGTAAGCTTTCCCTCTCAGAGCTCTTTGGCACCGTTCTTTCCCCCTGAAGCTACTGCTCATAACATACTGCACTACGGGTCACCACAAACGTTCAAATTGATTGCGCACTGTGACTCGCGAATTTGATCTCGTTGTCTGTGCTCCCGGCGCGCGCCGCCCACTACGCCCACTGTGTTCCCCGCTTCACCAGACTACTGCGAGGACACAAATAACATCCACGCAGTTTTCGAAGATAAATCCGCCAGTACGGTGTCTCAAGGCTGGCTTCCTGCAGAGATAGCTGAGCCGCACAAGGTTGAACTGCGCCGAGACCGCGAAGCTCCAGGCCGCAATCACTGGCAGCAGAGCGTTCACAACCGCGCATAGGTCATCGTAAGACTATAAAGTAGAATTCGCGGCGATGTTTGCTTTATATAATGAGATGATAGATCACTGACACTTGACAGTGCAATGGAATAGGAATACGATTCTTGCGAAGCTCCGCACGAGCTTCGTTCTCGAAGCCTGCGCGTGTGAACACGGAGTCCATCATGTCCGGGCTGACCGGCCGCGACATGATAGCACTTTTCTACGAGCAGCCTGATATAATCAGTGCCACCGACTGCGGCCAGAGCGACGAGGAGAGGTGCGGCCCACCTGTGGTAAATGACGATCGCACGGTTCGCACCGTCCACGAGCCCGAACGGGATGGCAAAGATGTCCAAGATGGACACGGATGGTGGGCGACGGTCGCCCGCACTGGATCCAGATATCACGCCCGCATGGCCGTTCCGTCATACAGGACGTCCTCCGCGCCGAACCGCTGTGCAAGTAGCGGGAAGCGCGGAAGTATTAGTAGCGCCGCCCAATATTTAGAAGCGCATCCCGCGGTTTGACGCATGACAGCTGGCGCCCTCGAGTGTGCGGTGCCCGAACGGGGGCAACTCCATCAGTGAAGCGAAGTTGAGGCTCTGCGCAGAGAAGATTGATCTGAACATGACGAGCCGCGCTAGCATCATCGAGGAAAGCAGAGAAAGAGAATCAGATACAGATACGAATACAAATACATCAGTTTATACAGACACACAACAAGAGCAGATCGTAACAGAAGTGTCCATGAAAGACCCACTGTAACCTCAACTCCGCCAGCGAGAACCCTTGTTCAAACTCCAGCCTAAGCGTCTCCAGAAGCCAGCCTCTTCTCCTGTATCCTCGCACTTCTACGCACCGACTCAGACGATTGCATCGCCGCTTGCGGCGCCGCTTGCGACTTTGATCTCGTCACCGGGCCCATTCTTTCGCTAGTCTTCGGCCGCTTGCTGTGACCCTTTGTGTTGCCCCGGGACGTCCGTGCGATGCCACGCGAGTCGAGCTCCGACGACTCCTCCACAAAAGCGTGCGACCGCTTCTTGGAAGGTTCGCGGAAGGGTTGCTGAGGATCGCCATGATATGTCCGCGGAGCAGGGATATCCGGGTGATCCGGGAGGGGAGGGAGATCAGCGAAGTGCACCTTTCGGACAGGCTGCCGTCCAGTGGCGGCGGCTTTTCCGAGTAAGGGAGCAGTGGTCACGCCTAAGGGCTTTTCTCCTTTCTTCTTCTCCTGCTTGGGGTCGACAACACCCGCCATGCCGGTCCGTTGCAAGCCACCGAGCAAGTCGCAAGCTTTCCAGTCGTTATCAGGCCAGCCCGACATGGCAATGGCCTCGTCGAAGACTTTCAGCACCGGTCCATAGTCCAGGGGAACCGGTGCAACGTCGTCATCATCGTCTCCAGAAAGGTGTTTCTTGACGAGCTTATTGAAGCTCCGGAGAAGGTGAGAAAGTGGCTTGTTTCGATATACGTTGAACCGGGACGCCTTGTGGTCGACCCAAGTCTTCTTTGCATCCGCGCTATCCTCGTCATTTCCGAATTTGAAAATCTTAGCGCACAGTTTTTTGCCCCTGTGGTTCCTATGGTCCGTATGCCGAACGACAACCCATAGTAGGACCCAGTAGAATGATTCGAGGTCGTGGTGAGTGTGGTGGATGATGCCCGGGACGTCGAGAATCTCGCAAGCCATAAAGTAATATGTTCCCTGAAGAAATCATCAGCCATGTCACGAAGGACATTCCGATCCAACCTACCGTGCGTTCTCTAAGTTTCGAAGGGTCATCAGGAGCAGTCGCCGTTGTCGTGGGGGATCCGTCGGGCGATCCGGAGGATGGGGATGAGGGAGACGGTGAATCTTCGTCTGTATTCGAAGGGTCGTCTTCCATCTGGCTGTAGTCGTAATCATGCAAAAACCCAGTGTACGCCTTCTTACTAGGCTTCGGTTCGTCTGAAATCAAGATATTGCCCACGCTGATGTCGCGATGCATCACACGCGCCTTCTTCCATGCCAGTTGATGACCTAAGGCATGATTAGTACAAGTCTGACTCGTCGATGAAGGCAACATGCGACTCACCCCGGATGGCGTCGCGTATGGCGCAGACAAGCTCGCGAGTGGACTTGAACTCTGTGAGCGGCCGGCCGACGTCGTCGATCACGATGCGCATATGACTGCGCTCCCGATGCCAAAGCTCCTCTATCTCTCCCTCTTCCTCGTTCTGTTTGGCCTTCTCTCTGGACTCAGACTCGATGAGTCGCCATGAGTACGTCTGGTGCTGAGGGTATGGGAGCGGAAAGTTCGCTCTTGGAGCATAGTCTTGTGGGGAGCCGATGCTCGATGCTGTGGGACACGTCGCACTGCCGACGGAAGAGAATAGCCTTGAAGAGGATGCTGCGTTGAATGCGCCTGGCGAATCTGGCGCATTCCTAGGGTCTGCGTCACCCGATGCCGCCGCTACACCCTTGCGACGACGTTCCGTTTCCTTCCACCACCGCACCTCGAACTCACCAAGATCGCCGCCACACACCATGGTGGCGAGGCCATGCCAGTCCTCTTCGTCGATATCGCGCTGCAGCCGTTGGTAGAACTTCGCTTCCGCCGTCCGGACTAGCTGTCTCCACGCTTCCTTCATGATCTGTGGCTTGACAGGGGTGATGCGTGAAGGATCTGGTTCAAGCCGGCCGTTCTTCCAGATGCGGGTGTCCTCGATGGCCCTCCAAACCATCGTCGAACGTGAGAACAGCCGTCCGTTCACGTCGACAACCTGGTAAAGGAGGTAGGGAATACAGCGACCAGTCGCTTCGTCGTAGACCTCGACGCGTCGTCCTTTGGAGACCTCGGCGACGTGCACCTGCCAATGCAATATTCGCGCCTTCTTCAGCTCGCTCCTCACCCATTCGTCATCTGCACTGGTGAAGCTCATCACCGTTGGGTCGTTTCCGACGATGTGCGCGCCGACGACGGGGTGCGTGAAGTGCCAATAGAACTTCTGCAGTAACCTTGGGCCATCCTTCTTGATGTTGAACGGCACGGAGACGAGCGCGCATGTGTGGTCGAAGCGTACGAGGCGGACGGTGTTCCCGTAGATGCCGACGACGAATGCCGCGAGCAATCCGTGGGTAATAATGAGGTTGCGCGCGTTCTTCGCGAGCTGCTCGATAGTGTCGGTATGCGTCTGCGCTTCCCGGATGAATGGGTCTTGGGTGCTTTCGCTCTTGCTCTCGATGACCGTGGAGATAGACCCCCACGACGAAGGCTCGCTCAAAGACTTTCCAGGGAACGAGACCGATATGTCGGGCGAGGTATGGTGATGCTGATTGATAAAGTCGTTGAAGGGAAACTGCAGTTTTTTCTTGTATGTGTTGACAAACTCGGGCCTCGCTTCAGCTGGGAAGGGCTTGACGAGCTTCGAGAGTCCCTGTACCTGTGGCGATTGTCAGAGTAGATAGTGCCGCGGCGTGTGGCTATTGCGTACCAGGTTGTCATACTCCAGTGTCTCCCTTCCCGGGCCGCACGTATAGGCCTTGAACGCATTCTGTATGTTGTTGACAGACGTATAGGGCGTAGAGCAAGGGAGGAGCGTGTCGATGAATTTGTCGGCGGTGTCGCCGTAGATGTGGATACGTCCGCTGAGCTCGCTAGCCCAGGCGTCCTTGGCAACGGCGTTCGACCGCTTCTTGTCTGACGTGCAAAGAACCGGGTGTTGGCTCTTTTCAGATCGGGGCGAGGCAGTCGTAGCCATACCTGAGTAGTATGCAGAAGAGTTGCAGTAGGAGCATGTTGAGATGGACATCTTTTATAGTCCTGCACTTGTGTTCGAGTTCTGGCTCTGTTCGAGGAGGTGGCTAAGATGAACAAAGGAGGGAGAGAGAGATGGCCAAGCGCCGATCACAAGCCATGCAATGCATAATGATGGAGCGGTCGGAGCTTACCGTCAGCAATAGTCTCTTTCGGAAAACCCGAGAGATCCATGAACTCACGGATGGAGGAAGAATAGGCGTGGCCTATTGACGATCTATGGCTGGCAGATTCACCTGGACGCACTTTTCGGTGTTCAGATGGCGGCGCGGATCAAGAGCAGTGGCTCAAGTGGCTACCTTGGCCTGAAATAGATTGAGGAGCAGAGAAAGCCCTTTGTCCTAGGCCTCGGGCACGGTGCACAATGAGTCTAGGAAGTTGCTGGTCAGCGCGTTCGAAATATGGACTCCGCCTTCGAGGCTAAGTTGACTCACTATTTACGGCTGGAGACGGGGCTGATGTATTGGAGGAGCTTACGCCTCCAGATGTTCTTGAAGCAAGATCTGAAAGGTGAGCGTTCAGCGGTCGCCGTGTGTTCGAGGTTGCTCGTCGCGGTGCACGCCACTGAGCAACTTGCGAGTTTGGCGCTAGCCAGCTTTAGCCACCCTTAGCGCCCAGCGCCGGGACCACAGCCAACTTGAAGTTCGCTACTATCCTTGTGCGGCCAGGACACCTAGCACGCACTGGAGTACAAGACATATCAGAGATCGTCACCGTCAAGAGGACGCAGCGCGCCGGAGCAGGCTGGTAGCGCGACTCGTTGAGTGTGTGTAGTGTCCGCCGCCGTGTCGTGCACGCCAGCGAGCATGATACTGACCTGCAGCTACGGGATGTTCACGTACGTACAAGTGTATTGATAGCCCCAATCGAGGACTGTCCGAACACAGTTTGTGATCGCTTTAAAACGAGCTACGTCCCAAGACGCGGGCCCCCGCGCGATGCGCTCCTGGATGTGCATGTTCAATCAACAGCACACGGCTATGCGAGTGCGGGAGTCGTACTCACCTTGGGAACATCAGCATGCGCCGTTGCAGCGCGACACATCAGAGCGAGACGCGGACTAGGAACACACGCACGATTTCAGGGCGGCCTCGACGTAACATCGTCGACATTTTGCTTTCCTTGTTAACGCATATCTTCCAGTCACCAGTGCAGGCATTAATCATCCATGGATATCTACAAATCTACGCAACAGGACCTTCAAATCACTGCAGCTCCTAGGGGCGCAAAAGCATTACCGGAATGTAATATACGCAGGGGGGTGGCCACCATGTAAAACTTCCAACCACGCGCAGTCATCACTCAACGTGCCCGTTCGCGGCCGCGCCGCTCGCGCTCTCTCCCTCCTTCAGCAAGAAAACCTGGTACAGCCGCTCGAAGCGCTCCAGCAGCTGCGCACCCGCGTCCGGGTGCTCCTCCCACACCGGCACCGCCATCACCCCCGGGCGGTCGTTCCCCCACCGGTCGTTCTCAGCCCCAAAGCGGAGCGTGAGCACACGCGGGGGAGCGGCACTCCCTGTGAACTTGCCAAAGTACGAATGCCAGCTCGGCCAGGGGATATCCTCCGGCGGCACGTGCACGGTGTCGCGTGCGGTCGGGATCGCGAGGAGCGGAATGAGCGCCAGGTGTACAGCCGCAACCGCTGCGCTGTAGAGCGACAGGAGAACGTGGGGCGAGCCGATAAAGCGCACCTGTGCAAGTGTCAGCGAATATGAATCAAGGGAGCCAAAGCAAATGCGCACGATGTAGAAGGCAGCGAGCATGAGGTAGCGGTAGCCGGGTATGGGGATGTTGAGCAGCGTGCTCATGTTCGTCGCCGTGATACCCGGGCTGACGATGTAGTGGTGGAACTCGCCGTTGGGCGCCGAGACGTCTGGTATTGATGGTGCGCCCTCGAATGTGCGGCGCTCGAGCTCGGCGACGATGAGCTCGATCTGGAACTTGGAGGCGTTGTACGAGTGCATCGTCTTCGTGAGCTGCCAGTCTTCCTTCAAGTCGAAGATGGGCTCGGAGTCGAGCGAGGACATCCAGATGACGCGCGCGGGCGAGCTAGTTTTGTGCGCGCACGCGACGAGTAGTGGCTGGACTGAGCGGTACTGAAGATAGAGTCAGTAAATGGCACGGCGGATATATCCAATGTCTTCGCCGAGCTGGAAAAAATGTATCCAGGGGAATGCCCCGTCACTTAACGCGAGGTCTCACGGAACGCGTTCTTTGGAACGTTACGCCTGAGACGGGCAGTCTCCCTCCCGATGAGCGGGGCCGTGGCGGCGAGAGCCAAGTTAGTCGCATCGGCCAGGAGGCGGCAAGAGGAGATGCGCAACGCGACGCGCGAGCTCCACTCATCCACATTTCATTCGCATCAAAGCGTCTCGTCAGTCCACCCGTATGTCACAGGGCAAGCTGAACGCGTTCTGGGAGATGGAACGTCCGCGCCGGGCGGCGAGACATCCCGACCGAGGCATTTGATCCTCTGGGTCGCGCGAATGCCCAGTTGAACCGCGTCGCACGCCGACAAGCCGCGCTATGCCCACTCGTTTGCAAGGGGAAAGCAGAAGGCTGACTCCGTGAAAACGGACATGCGCGCCCTTCCGTGGAAAAGTCCCGCCTGCCACCGATAGAAAGCGGACTGACGGCGACGGAGGCTATAGGTGAAGCACACTCACCAATACATAATGCCCGAAGACGTTACACTGCCACGTGTATCCCAGCCCGTCCTCGCTCAGAACACCGTTAATTTGCATGTTCCGTCGTGGGTGCTCAATGGCGTCTATTGGATGGATGAGCAGGTCGTACGTGAAACCCAGGATATCGAGGTGGCTGTATGTTGCGGTACCAGCGTTGAATATAAGATGGGATACGTATTCGTACCTGCAACAAAATGAGCAAAAGGAAGCAGACCAGGACACACACGACGCGCATTTGCCCGGCGTTCTAGTCCGGAACAAGCTTGTGACGGGATCTGAACCAGCCAGTTAGCCAGACTGGAAACAGGAATCCAGTGCAGGCTCCCGTACACTATCCAGGACTAAAACACCGCCTATGCGCGTCGTGATGGGCAGACGTACTTTTGGGTAACCGCCTTGCTAAATTCTAGCACACTCCTGACTGAGGAGAGGTCTAACCTCTCAATGTCCAGCCGCACGCTACTCCTAAACGCGACAGCGTAGGCGTGGTCCTGCGTGCCTTTCTTGAGCGTCGCGATATGCTTGTCCAGCAGTCGGTAGAGCTTCTCCCTCGCGTCCTGCGCGCGCTTCGGGTCGCGGCACGCCATGACAATCGTCACCCCCGCGTCCGGCGACCTCTCCGGAAGCTCCAGACCCTGCGCCTTCTCCCGCTCGACCTTGAAGTAGGGTTGCGCGTCCGACGGGTGACGAGAGGAGAGTTGGACGAGGAGGCGGTGGCATATCCCGAATCCCACCCCACTGGGAAGGATTCAGTTGGGCGCTCAGTGGTGTGGACGCTGCTCTGCTTACCCGTTCGCGCCGGTGACCACAATGACGAGCTCGTTCGACATGGATCAGAATGAATCACGGCTCAATGCAGCACCAGAGGCGAGAGCGTGGAAGGAGGGAGAGAGAGGCGTTGTGGTCGAGGGAATGAGGACAGCATATCGACCCATTTCGCGCTAAGTTACCGGTGAGAGATTAGATTAAGCGCCCTATCGACTTTCTCCATGGATATATTAGACGCCCGCATTCAGCCTGCCCGAAAGTTAAAATCTGAAACCCTCTCAGGGTTCGCGTGTGCAAAACAAATGGGAAACATTTTGGAGAAACCTGAAAGAACCACAACACAGATGAAACCAAATCATACACAGTACACTTAACGCAGCAAAGAGCCCCGGACTACAGAACGCACGGTGATCGTACAAGCATACATGGTACAACGGCTGAGTCCGATGACCATCCCCTGATCTGTCATGAACAGGAAAGATTCAAATCACCCCCAATTATACCCAAGCTGCCTAACGGCCGATACACCGTCAGCCTGCGTACGTATGATCTGTAACAGTGAGACAAACGACCTCTGTAAAGGGCGAAGCGAGACATCACTCACGGGTCTCCACACCGCTTCGTTCCCAGCGTCGTATCTTGTGTTCACTCGAGTCGCAACGGGAGCGGCGATATGCAAGATAGGCATAGCCTCTTGGGAGGTAGCGCCAGCCTGTCAGAGGTGAATAGTCAAACCTCGTCAGCCAACTCGGGCGACTCGAAGTTCGCGAGAACGGACCTCGGCATCCTTCCCAACCCCGAACATGGTAGCCGCAGCGCCACCACAGGAGGGAGTATTCCGGGACGGTGCGTTTTGTATAACCGTCGAGAAAATGATCGCACTGTTGAGCTCAACTGTGTCGACACCGCGACCCGCAACGTGCGATTCTCTCGAGTTAAGCCTGAGCAAGACTGGTTTAGCAAATCCAAGCGAGGAGGTCCTGCATGCCGAGAAAGAGAACTGACGTCGCAAGCAGCGAGTTGGCATAGACTGCAATCAAGGCGAAATGTGTAAGCCACCTCAGGCAAACTTCCAAGCAGGAAACATGCTTACGTTTGCTGAGTAGCATGTGCAATGCGATGAAGACCATATTGGCCGGCATCGGGGCAAATTGCTGGGCCAGAGGGTCAGCTTCCGCGGAATACACACACCAGCACCGTGCTAAGCATCAGCATCTAAGCAACGTACCGTGATCAGGAATGCGATGCCAACCACACTACACACGACATACCAAGACGAGACCCATCAGCGAGAGCATTTGGGGATACGAGGTTTCGGGACTACTCACCACGTAAGCAGGCCGTTGTTCACCACCCAATATGTTATCCTATCCAGTATCTATAGAACGCACCCGTGAGTGCCAAAGCGACACGAAGGTAGAACAGAGGAGGATACGTACGCTGTTGAGGCTGCTCGCCGTCCAGCGGATGTTCTCAGTTCAACGCGCACGAGGTCAACCACTGGACAGGATGAGAGCGCACCTTCTTCACGTCACACGTTGAATACTGCGTGAGCAATCCTGAACATGACAATGGAGGACGGAAGGCACATACGGACTCAGTTCAGACTTGTGGATTCGGAGAAGGTACACGAGCGACCCGGTAATGACGCAGTCCGCTAGCGTGCCGGAGCTTAGCCCGATAACCACCGTGACCTAGAGGTTACGAGTACGTGAACAGACAATTACGATGTGTTTTGCAGCAGTGTCACATACGAGAGTTCCGTGTTTGATGAGCTGGAACGATTTGAGGCTATCGCTGCATACACATAATCAGCCGTCGTATCATACGAGAGTTTGGGCAAGGCGAATATCCTGCTTACATCTGAATGACCGCGACTAGTACGCACGGCCGTGTGAGATCTAGATTAAAACAGGACGGGATTGGGTACGCACTAAACCCGAATACTGTGAAACGGAGTGGTAAGCTCTGGGGGCAAGGCACTGGCATACAGTACGACAGACGCACCCAATCGCATGACGGAGAGTATAAGCTTCGCAGGGGAGAGTCAATACCACTATCGCCGCAACTTGAAGACGACAGGACATACGATGAGCAGTGCCGGAAGCAGCCACTTGCGCCCCCCAACTGCGATACCGTGAGTGAGTAGGGTGACGTGATACTAGTATGTCATTGAACGTACGTATAAGGATGCGCCGAGCATAGAAGCAGTGTGCGATGACCGTAATGATTGCCTGCACCGTCACTATTCAGTATACGGTAGCTATGGAACATGCGAGTAGATCCCACCGTCAGGACAATCGTGGCCTACCCAAACAAACACCTCTCCGTCAGTGCGCCCGACGCGATTCACCGGATAGAGATCGTACGCACACTGAAGCTCCTGGAAGGATTACCGTTCATTACGGCAGCAACTCGCGGACAAGAGGTACTTACCAAACGGCATCCTCCAACGCACTTACGTTGCTGAAGTTGCGTATAAGATAGTGGTACACCATGTGCCATGTAAACGCGATGTGCGCGGTGTCTATCGCCCTGCAGAGGTGCGTGAGTCGCGCTGTGTGTGATACACTAACATCAGCCTGCTAATGACTTACAGAAGCGTCCAGACCTACGCCCACACAACACACGCTGTTCAGGTTCCAATGCGAATATGGGCAGCATAGCCACGTACTGTCCCTCGGATGAACCACGGGTCCCTTGTGAAGCGAGTCATATACATGTACGTTTGTGTCGTGGTGATTCCATATCCGCTACAGGTGCAGTTCCCATTGGTCAGCCACATGGTGAACTGTTGAGTGGCGAACTTGAGCACGTACATGTCTGTGATAAGCACCCCGAGCAGGAGCGCGCCTGCCGTGAGGTCGAGGTCGGTGCCCATGCGGGGCGGCGCTTGGCGCAACCTACGCGATCTGATTTGTTAGTTGTGGGGGCAGCGTCGGGCGTATACTGATACCACACATACTGGCGCGGAAGAGGAAGCGGGGTGGAAGTGGGGGGTAAACGAGGAGGCGGGAGGGCAAAAGGCTCCCGCCAATGCCTCGACGAGCATTAAAGCGAAAGCCGCGGCCACTTTGGTGGCGTTTGGGCAGGACGCTAACTGCGCTGGCAACTGTCTGTCCTTTCCTGGACGCAGCGTCTGTGCAATGGACCACCTCTGGCATCTGCGCATCAGCTGACAGCCCCTGAAAGCGCGTCAAATCCGCGAAAGGGAGTTCTGATAGAGGACGCGGGGTGAAAAGGCGGACTTGCACGAAGGGCGCGGTCGAAGTGCACGACATGCGCACGGAAGGCGGCAGGAGCGGGCAGTGCACCGTGAATGACGGGTGGACCATGGGGGGCAGTATTTGGCAGATGCGATGGCAAACGTCGGATGCGGACGGTGGTGGCCAGCACATGCGAGGCGCAAGCGCAGGCGGCAGCTCCGGAGCTCAGAAGGTCCGGAGGTACGAGCGCGATCGCACGCAAGCGCAGCCCCGAGCAGTTCTCGTTGCCAGCCCCGCGTGAGTGCTCAGCGTCCACAACTCTGTGGCATACCAAGACGTCAAGACCGTAGTACAAATACAACACAATATATACAACATGAACTCACAAACGAGAGACAATGTTCATACATAACAACCGCAGCATGTTCAGCCTGGGTATCGTGTTCGGATCATTCACCATTCCACCATCGGGTCCTCGAATAGAAGCATCGTCCGTATCCCAGCAAAGCAGCGCACCGCGCCGACCTCCTCGCCCACGCGCACTCTACACAGCGTAGAACACTGGCTCGCCCTGCGCGTCCGTCTGGATAGACCCATTGAAGGAGCACATCGACGGCTCGAGCACCCAGCCGCCCCGCGGGAGCGCCACGACCGATGCGGCCTGCGGGTACACCTCCATGATCTTCAGCTTCTCCGCGTCCGCGCCCAGCGCGGAGTCGCTGTCGGCGTGCAGCGTCGCCGAGTCCCGCGAGGAGTCGCCGCTGCTGCTCGCGGGGAAGAACTCGATGTGCGGGTGCTCGGGGAGCGGGGAGAGGAAGCGCGTGGCACTCGTCGGGTCCGCGGTGTCTGGGATGGGTGTAGACGTGCGCGGCACGGAGGTGGGGGGACTGGGGTGCCAGAGCGCGACGAGGAGGAGACTGATGGTCTCGGCGTAGGTGTTGGCGAGGGCGATGTAGAGCGCGGCGTAGTGGCCGTTGCGAGGATCAGTCGCGGGCAGATAGGAAAAAATGAGTTGCGCGATGTCGAGGAAAACGGGCAGCGCGAAGGACGATCCTGTCGCCATGCCAAGAGAGAAGCGCCGGCGAGGCAAGAACCCTGTGGTTCCGCGCCGCCTGTGAAATAGCAGAAGAGCTGCAGAGTACCTGTACGGTTAGCCCAGCGCTAGTCAGTATACGGTGTGAGTGTCGAGGCTGAGAATGCAACATACAGGTCGTCCACCGACTGCAAAACCCATAGAATCTGCGCATATTCCCTACCCCACAGGGCCAACCACGACGCAGCAGATATCCCGCTAGGGCGCAAATCCTGGCTTTTTTGGTGCACATCGTTTATGCATAAACCGAGCAAAACGAAGCGTGCGAGCTTCAGCAGGAAAGGCGGAAGGAGCACCGCCGTGCGGCGCGCCGAGGACAGCGCAGGCCACGTGTAGATCGAGCTGATATTGATCAGGAGGGCGGTCTGGGCGACGATAGGAATAACGAGGACGAGAGACACAAGTAAGTTGTTCGTTGATGGGAAGGATTCGCCCCGAAGCGATTGCGTCTATGTCCCAAAAAACCTCCGGTTTAGTAGTGGACGACACTCCGCTAAAGCGAGGAATGAACGCACCTGGACGAATACATTGATGGCACCTTGTGCCAATCCAAGTGCGACGACTGAGAGGCATCCGAGAAAGAACGAGCGTGGTTGCATGCGTGAACACACATAGCAGAATGCTACGGCAATCGGTACAAGGAGCGCGGCACCAACCGTTCCGACCAAAAGGAGTGCAAGCGCGGGATCGATAGAGGGAGGTGTAATTGAGACCGCACTCGACGTGCTCGGTGCACCAGTATATGTTGGTGGCCCAGTAGTTGTCATCGGGGGCGATAGGGTCTCAGCGCGCGAGCTAAGCGTATGCGGCTTATAAACAGAGCGGTGACGTCCCCTATCCGTTTGCAGCAGCTTCTCTTGTCCCTTGCGCAGAAGGGGCTGTGATATGCACAGGGTCTATGATGGAAATGGCAGATCCCACTATACCTCAGCACCAGCCACTGTAATCAGCTCCTATCGATATTGTCAGCGAGCCATATCAACGTGAAAGCGGCACAAACAACCTAGGGCTTGCAAAATGCGAGCATATTTATTCCTAAGACACGTCGTAGGATGGGGACAGGGGACGCAGATAGCGTGGGCAGCCTTGAGCGAGATCTGTCATAACTGCGATGACGACCGTGGCAACAACGCGGCGCGGGGCAAACAGTGCCCGCCGGAATCTGTGAATGATATATCAGTCAGATGGACGAATGCCGCGCGGGACCCGCCTCTGAACGAACACAAACCTTGTCGCTCATGCTGTCCTGCCTCTCCAACCCTCCGCGGAGCGGAAAGTCTCGCTCCGTCAACTCTGTCACATAGCGAAGAGATCGTAGTCGAGGACAGCAGTGTTTGATATACCGACATACGTGGAAATCAATGCGCCCATAGACACCGATGTACGCGCTCAATACGCCACATCTGTGGTAGAATGCAACCCTTTGCTCGCAGCTGCGATGACTCATCCCAATGCAGCAGTTTATGCCTCGATATAACCAGGGGTTTGAGGAAGAGAAAAGGAGCGGCTCGTGCTCAGGAGGCTGCAGGCTTGTAGCAAGCCACACCCGGTTATTTCCGGCAGTGCATCGCCACAAGCAACCGCCCGCTGTCCGCTACGGGCCGACCATCCAACTTTCCTTCTCCCCGTCGTCTCTTTTTAGTCGACGCGCGGCGCGCCAACTCTCTCCCCTCTATCTATCGATGTCGGTCGCGACCTGAGCGTAAATTGTCATAGAGATATTAGCTGCTATGGAACACATAGCTTGACACACCCGCAGGCAGTTCGACATCCTTTCGAGCTCAGGCGCCGCAGATTGATATGGAGATGATCTCGCAGGTGAGCTTGTTCCGACTCGACGTTGGCTGCAAAAACCTGGCAATATCTGATTTGATACGTTACAGAAACAGATGCTTCCTCTCACATCTTGGCGGGCGCAAAAGAGGACGTCGACGAGCCTTGTGTGATAGCTCATTGCGCACAGCTGAGTGGCCTGATGTACGACGCACACTCGCAACGTGATACGACTGTCTAGTCGTGCTACCGAGAAAACCGAGGCCTATGTGTATGCCGTCGTTCAAAAGGCCTAGCTGGAATCACGCAATAGGGCGATCCAGCTCCGAGGATCCCGTACTACCGGCCCCCATTCCGCCCTTCGGTTACGAGTGAACCTTTGCAGCTGCAGCCAAGACATGGCATCATCCGCATCGGCGAGCATCGAAAGGGCTGTGGTTATATCCGAGGCTCAGAGCACATAAGTTTGCCTTCTACTGATCTGTTGCAGTATATAATGTCACATTGACCCAGGAGGGTCTCCTGCGCCATCGCCGTGGTTGTTGCAAGTGCGCTTCATCTTTTCCTATGCGCGTTCTGTAGTCCCTGTAGGGTACTAATATTCCCTTTTAATAGCGCTGCTCGTGTACGATGCGCTTCTCTGCATCGACTTGGAAGTCAAACATGTCTGGCGGTCGCCTAAGACTTCTCGCAAGTTCTCGCGGATCCTGTATATATACAACAGGTACCTGTCCATCCTATGGAACATCCTGACCTTAGGCGAGATAGGCGCTATATCGGATACCGTGAGTGCGTCTCTAATGTCAAGGCGACACGATCTGAACATACCCTTTTCTCACAACCAGAGGTAGCTGTTCGCCTTCACAAATATCCACATTTAGTTTGCTGATGCTGTGAATTTAACCAGCTGCACTGCGCTCATGTGGTTCATGAATATTCTGGAGGTGTTGACTTTGCTTGGTCCTGCCGGTAAGTGCGTTGACTGAGGATACGCGTATGTCGCTAAAGCTCCGCTTACACGGTACTCATAATGCAAGCGTTCACCACTCTGAGAGTCTACGCACTCTCAAAGAGAAACAAGATGGTGACTGGGATCGTGCTGCTGCTGAGCCTGGGTCCGTTTGTCGTCAATGTGGTTCGTTGTTTCATTACCTGACATGCGCCAAGCCTCGCTGATAGGACATACCGATACAGTGCACATTTTACCAGGATATGGCCTTAGATCTGCCCCCGCCAGAAGGCTGTACGGGTGTCATTTCTGGAAGAGCGTCAGCATATATTGCGTGAGCACTCTCATCTTTGAACTCGCGACTGCCATTAATATCGGGATTTGGCAGGTGTAAGTCCCGGTCACTAAGACTCGGTATGCGCAGCCAGCGAGTCACCATTGACTTTCCTGAGCAGCGGTTATTGTATCGAGGTCCACTTTGGTCCTCTCGGACATTCTAGCTATCATCATCACCTGGTGGAGCACCCATACTGCCCGCCGACTGTCGACACACATGCTCCAGCGGAATTCTCTCCAGCGGCTCGTGTGGGGTAACGGTGCGCTCGAGGATTCTTTTCAAGTGTACATTACTCGTACGCTGACCATATACGTCCCGCCAACGCTCAGGGAACGTCTATTTTGTGTGGGGATGGATTGATTCCTGCACTGTGACATTGCTCAAATATATCGTATCATCAGTGCACTGGTATCGCTGAACACAGTGGATATGATCCTCATTGTGGGTGTTTGGTTATACGGGCACGTCTCTGATTTTCCTAATGCATCTTCATGTTTCTCAGGCTTCGAAAGTAGTATCTGAAGTATTCAATTACATCATCCCCTTTATCGACCCGTAAGACCGTTCCACATAGAGCACATGGTCTCTGCCATCGTGGCTGACCACAGCGCTACTTCCTCCGGCAGCATCAGCATGATATTGAATTGCCGCTTCCTGCTCTGCCTCTACGAGGCCGACGCGCCTCAGGAAAGGGAGAGCACACCATCAACTTCCGAGTCGTCCTTCTCGACTCTCGACTTCGGTGGAGGAGATCGGTCGGTGGGGTCATCGGAGCTCCCAGAATTCCTCAACTTGTTCGCAGGCACGATCCGATCCACCCCTGATGATAGCCCGGAGCTGCACACCTCTGAACCGACCCACCAGCATGCGCGGGAGGTGGAAGTCTTGGATGGAGATGCTGGAGAGCTTGGAGAGGTCGGAGAACAACTCTGACGGAATATTCTATCTTCTCGACCTCTCGCTCTCTCGATGGACATTTTGGCTTGAAGTATATCAAGGATCACAGGCATCCTAGTTACCCAGAGCAGACCCTTGCGTACGCAACGATATACCCCTTGTATCATGGTTTCTTACTCAAGCCCTGTACGAATACACGATGATTCGCCAGCCCGAACATAGCCGAGTCAGGCAAACTTCGAGCCCAGCCGATCGCTTGGACTCGTTCGATCTTGCATCCTCCGCTCATGTCTCCTCTCCAGTCGATGGCACGCCTATGTCTACAATCATCACCACGTCTTTCCATCGACCCCGAAACGTCGTACTAGTACTACAAGGCTCAAGCTACACGTTAGAGGACGTTTTCAACCGGTTTGTATACTTGTTGGCTCGCGCGCGCGAATGGCTCAAGCACGCAATTCAAGCTGGTGCGGTATCTGAGCTGGCTGCTTGACTCATTCCAATACTGCCGCCACGTCGTTCCGACCTTTCAACTGCATTGTCAACCTTCCGTACGGCAACTCTAGACTATGAAGAACTAGGAGCCAGGTGATATGTCCCTCGGCCTCGTATTCTGCTCGCGTAACGTGGCGCGTACACTCGCGCGTACTCCTGCTCTGCAACACCATGTTTGGCACTCTCGCTTGCTCTCCGCCTCCTCCCATACCTTAGGTCAACAAATTCCCACAACGACTCTCGCGGAGAAGGAGAGCACCAAGTCGTTCGCGATCGCGTCGCGGTTGAGAGACGGACGCGCGCTCGCGCTGGATGTCTGGTCTGTGTTCAAGTGAGTCACATCGTCTTGGCCGCGAGAATCCCCGCAAACAAAGTGTACAGCGCAGCAAACCTCCCACCAGACTGTATCAACCTCGGGCAGGGGTACATGAACTTTGCCCCGCCGCCGTGGGCGCGCGAGGCCGCGGAACAAGCGCTCCGGTCGGTCGAGGGCAATCATTACTCGCCACCGAAGGGCAGACCACGGCTCCGGAAGGCTCTCAAGGAGTTTTACAGCCCGCAGTTTGGCCGGGAGCTCGATCCTGAGTCGGAGATCGTTGTCACGAGCGGGGCGAACGAAGGTGAGCCACTCACGCCTAACGTTATTGAAAGCCGGCTTGGGGAGTTTGAGCGGCGAGAGCTACGGTGCCACCGTGGAACTGGAGTATGGCTCAGCCGTGCATGCTAGGGTTTAGTAGGGGCCCGAAGTCCTGCTATGTAGATTGGTACCGTATTGCTCACCTGCGGGTGCGCTGGTACAGGACTGCATTTGGACTCTGACACGTTCATTAACTCGTTTCTTACACCCGTGCAGGTCAATATGCGGCGTGGACGGCGTTCCTTGAGCAGGGCGATGAAGTCATTATCTTCGAGCCGTTCTTCGACCAGTATCTGCCCTCCATCGTGTTCAACGGTGGCAAGCCAGTCTACGTTCCGCTTCACCCCAGTACAGAACGTGCACCTGGTGCAAAATTCGGCAAAAAGACATGGAATATTGATTTTGACGAGCTGAAGTACGTTTTCTATCTCTCCTCTATTCCGCCTGAAACGAAGAGCGAGAGCTGACGTGGGAGCACAGGCGTGCGATCACGCCCCGCACGAAGATGATCGTGCTCAACACGCCACACAACCCTGCAGGCAAGGTCTTCACGCGTGACGAGCTTGAGCACGTTGCACAGCTCGCGGAGGCACACGACCTCATCGTCATGTCTGACGAAGTCGTGAGTCGCCAAGTTTTCCAGCCTCAAAATAGCGATGGCTAAATGCAACGATTACTCCCGCGCGCATGGGCTCCTATGGTAGTATGAAAGCTTGGTGTTCGATGGGCGCGAGCACGTTCGTTTCGCGACTTTGCCTGGAATGTGGGAGCGCACAATCACCGTCGGGTCCGCAGGCAGTACGCCCATACGTCTTCTTCCTACTCTCGCTAGCCACTCAAATTCTTCGTCTTGTCCCGGCACACAGAGCTCTTCGCTGCGACAGGCTGGCGCGTCGGCTGGCTCATCGGCCCGCCCGCTCTCATCGGGCCCACGTCCGCCGCGACGACCCGCATCGTCTTCTGCACGAATTCGCCAATGCAGGAGGCCGCCGCTGCGGGGTTTGAGCAGGCGCGCGAGCGCGGGTTCTTCGAGACGCAGCTGCGCGAGTATACGGAGCGGCGCGCGGTGCTCGTGGATGCGTTTGAGCGGCTTGGGCTGGAGTATGCGTGGCCTGAGGGGAGCTACTTTGTTTTGCTAGTAAGTTCACGTGGGGTTGAGGAGGTGCAGTTGCTGATCAAGGGCTAGAATATTTCGAGAGTGCGCTGGCCAGAGTACTATACTTTTCCCGCAACGCTCAAAGGTCGGGGTCGAGATTTCAAGTGCGCCCATTGCCCTTACTGTACAGCTACATTGTTTACTTGAGCTGATGACGTGTCTACTCTGCAGGGCAGCGTGGTTCATCGCCAACGAGGTCGGTGTATCGTCCATCCCCGTGAGCGAGGTACGCAGCGCGTTTTCAGCTTCCACGAGATCTTACACTGATGCGATTCCCTGACTTCTCTTCCTGCGCGCTGCCCGGGTTTCCCCCGCTCACCGTCAGTTCTACTGCGAGGAGCACGTCTCGATTGGCGAGAACTACGCGCGGTTCGCGTTCTGCAAAGACCTCGACACCCTTCGGCGTGCGGCCGAGCGCCTACAGCGACTGCGCGACTTCCTTGTTTGAACTTTGAACGACAGCGATGCCGCCACCGCGTTGCTTCGACCGCGGGTTCCACACGGCGAGGTACCCGATGCCCGACTGGCGCAGCTCGGGCGCAGTGTACGGCATGGGCGCGCTAGGGGACATCCTGGACATGCCGTGCGGGTTGTATGAGAGACCGCCCGAATTTGCATGGCCGCACTTAGATGAAGGGCTCATCTGCGCAGGCGGCGCGCACATCGTGGTGTACAGTACTTCATTGTTTGTGTAATGTGTTTTCGATTTGCTTGCTCAATTGGACACCCATGCGTCTAACATCCAAATCCCACCCCGTCCAGCGGATCGACACACCAGATATTGCCTGTCCATCCTGTCCATCGACGTTCACATGTCATGTCCTCTCGCCTCTTCCGGGCCCCGTTCGCCTGGCCCTTTAACTGCCACCCACACTGGCTTCACACGCTACTACGTAACATGGACCCACGCCAGCTCCCGGGCTTCTGACGACGAAGATTGCAAGCGGGCACCGCACGCATGGGCATCCTGAACATCACAGCATCTCCACCCTCGCATGCCACAGTGCTCCAGGAACTACCATCATCAGCGCGCGTAGCGGAGTGCTTCGTGGCGCGCTCCTTTGAATCAATGGCACTGCATAGAAATGACCGTTTTCCGATAGAGAAAAGGATGGGAAAAGGCAGCATTAATCAGACAAAATGTAGTAGCCTTTCCCTATCAGGAATGTGAGAATAAATGACAAACTAATCGCCGTCGAAAATCTCGAACTTTTACAAGACTAATGCGGGACAAAAGAAGCAGCCCTTTCCACTTGTGAACACGATAGCATATTTGCTAGCGGAAAGGGTATTGGAGATGATCAAGATCGGCCAGTATGGCAAAGGCTACGCTTAACTCATGATCGCATTACAACCATCTTCGGAGAGCAAAGATGTAAAGTTTCTCGTGGCATCATGCGGTACGATTTTGCGATAGTATTAATACGAAGCCTATTAGAGGCAGAATCATGGTTTAGATAACTTAAACATTGCCACGCCTTTTGTCCGTACGCAAAGGCTTTCGATTGCTCGATGTAAAAAGCGATCATGATCACCTCTAGAGAAATGCTAACATGTTGCCTC